GCAATAACCCCGTTCACCCTGACTGTATATATTCTGTTTGTGTAAATTTTGTTTACAATATATATATATATATATATATATACACATATATAATTTATGTTTATGTTTGTTAATAATTCCTGTTTATTTAACTATATATTTGTTAATACTATTGTTTAAATTTCTTATATTTTCATGTATCTTTCCTGTCTTGCAAGGAGCACCTGTAACATAAATAATTTCCCCTCGGGGATCAATAAAGTATTTCTGATTCTGATTCTGATTCTGATATCTAGAACAGCTTCTGTCTGGTATGGGTGGTTATATAATGGTGGAGCACAGTGTGACGCTGCAGTGTGTTCGCCGCTCAAACGTCTCCATTCACAAACACTCTCCATCTGCACTGCCTTGTCAAGAAGCCCTCATGTCGTGCCACTGTGCTTCAGAGCTTCTGGCCCTCCTCTTCCTCCCTCTGCGCCCCCCCTCTGCTCCATCAACGTCAGTGATCAGCTGGCTGATAGCAGGGCGAAACGAGGCACAAACAGAGAGGGGAGGCCTGCTGGACTCTGCTGTTCCTCTGGTATAGAATCTGTGGCCATGATGGCACTGGTTACTGTGCAATTTTGTTCAAACTGAGCCCACGTTTGGGTCCATTTTAGACGACAGCTGGTGGAAGCATCGTGGCTTGCTTTGACTGAAAGCACAGGAATATTTTAAGAATAACTCTACTTTTTTTTACACATAAAGGTCAGTTTACAGAGAACTACTCAGTGCTACTGCTGTGGCTCTGGAGGCGATTTATGAGGCCTGAGAAAATGAGTACGTTTGGGCTGGCAGACTATGGCCCTGTCTTACACCCGACGCAAAGCAGCTCACAGCGCTTTCAGACCAACGCAGTTGCGCCTATGGGCATGTAGGTCTTGAAATGAGGTGTGGTCATGTGCATTGTTGGCGTACTGCCATTTTGAGGCAGCAGAAAGCAACTGTGCCATTGACCAACAAAAACCCAGTCTGTAGTGAGAATGGCACGAGTTTCCTGATATATTGTAAAATGAGAACATAGCAGAGATCAGAGCAGAGCTGCAGAGCGCCCAGATTATGCACCGTTTAACCACAAAGTGGAGTTGGACGTGCCCTAAATGCACTTGCACCATGCATTATGGGTTGTTTAAACAGGGCACTATAAATTTATAACAGAAAGTTACAAACTTGGTGCGTGCAGGTTGAAAGATGTGTGTGATTAGCAGGCAGCGAGGGTCTAATGTAAGATGCAATTGAGCTGTATCATGGGATATGTAGGATCTAGTGTTTTTGGAGTTTCAGCCATACTTGAGACTGCAGTTGCAGCGATATACCAATTTCAAGGTATACTGTGTTATAAAAGTTGACGGTTATCACACCGTGTACCGTGCTTATCTATGATATTGAGAAAGAAAATGCAACTGGACAAAGAATCTCAAAGAGGAGACTTTTCACACATAGTTTCAATTATAGTAATAAAACATTTGTTCAACCAAAAATAAACCGTCCGTTTCATTGCTTTAGGGTCACTCTGACTGATAATAATATAAATTCTGTAACACTGTGATACTGTGAAACCAAGATATTTTCTGAGGCCGTGAAAATCTCACTCCGTTGCAATCCTACTATGTTCTGAATATTAGGGATATATCTGCAACTGCTGATTCGTTTTTGACTGCTCTTTCGATCCGTCTTTTTTGAGTGTACTAACTTCACTAAAGTGCAGTATTAAATTGTTGGAGTGCTCCTTCAAAACTCACAGAGAATGTTTAAAAATGTAAATAAAAAATAACCAGCTGAGCTCATGCAGTATGGCAAAACTTACAAGGAAAAGTCTGGTGTTATTTTATATTTTTCTTACTGTCAACAAATCCTATAAAAAGAAACCATAATGTGTTAATCCGTCTCTTCATACGTTATGACTTCCTTTCTGTGGCTCTCAGCCTTAAACAATACGTAGTTTGAAGCTGCAACAATCAGTCAATCAAGTTGTTGTCAACTATTCATTTAATCACCAACTAATTTGATAATCAATAAACCAGTTTAAATACTTTTTTTTATTAAGAAACAAAAGTAAAAATTCTCTGATCCCAGCATCTTAAATGTGAATATTTTCTAGTTTCTTTACTCCTTTGTGGCCGTAAACTTAACATCTTTGCATTGTGGACAAACACAATATTTGAGGACGTCATTTTAGGCTTTGGTAAACACTGTTCAGCTTTTTGTTTGTTTGTTTTTTCCAGTTTTTGACTTTTTATAGACCAAAGAACAAATTGATTAATCGAGAAAATAAACAACAGATTAATCATCAATGAAAATAATCCTAATATAGTTTCTTTTTTTAAAAAAAAAAAAAGTCTCTGTAGTTTCCTGAATCAGCTGCTCACTGTGATTTTTCTCCAACAGGAAGAAATCGTGCATTTGTCTGGGACTATTTTCTGCAGTGGATTAATCCACATTTGGTGCTTTCGTGAGTATCTGTGGCAGCAGGACGGTGTATGTGGGACTGAGTCAGAATAATCTACAGTGTGTGTGTTCATGGTAACGAAGGAACATGTCACCCAGTGCAACAGGGTGGCTCACTGATGTGTGAGTCTTTGAACAACAATGGAGCGCTGCGGCACAGAGGAAGAAGATGTATCAGGCTCTGATAAAAACACAATACTTGCTGGTTTTGGGATTTCCACGGGATTTGATAATAACAAAAACACAGAATATCACCAGACTCCTTCCAACAAAAATATCTTCACCTAGAGCCAGAACAAAGAGAGAGGAACTGCGCTTTAGGACACACATGTGATTAAGCTTACTTTAATCAGTTCCGTCACCTCAGTGCCACATTTTGACACCAGCACAATGTACCAGGACGGTTTCAGGCCGCTCACCACCACCTTTGCCTGTGTGTGTGTGTGTTTGATCAGCGTCAGAATAAGGACCTACTGTTCCCTGCCTGCCTGTCTCATGTTCCTTTGCATAGACTCCCATCTGCCCTGCAGCACACTCTCCTGTTTCCCTCCCAGCAGGGCCACTATTCATTATTCACAGTGTCAGGTTCCCTCTCTGACACCGCGAACGCTCACAGCTCAGCCACAAAAATGTCCGCAGCTGCATATTTGCACACCCGACACATCGATCCCACACAGACTGTCTCTCACTTTCAATATTTCACACACCAGTTTCATATGACCTTATTACACTTAGTCACTTCCAGTGGTGAAGGACGTACTCAGATCCTTTACGTGGGTAAAAGTGCAAATACTACACGAGCCAAAGTGAAAACCTTTTTATTCTCTTTGAACCAAATGTTTTTAAAACCAGAGGACTTATTATCATTATATTATTATTACAGTTTTAAATGTTTGGGCTCCTTCTTTTACTGTTTATACTTCTTCTTTATTTTAATTCTGTTGTCTTAACCTCTCTGTACAGCACCTTGAACTTATCGTCTTGTATAAAATGTGCTTTATAGATAAAACTGCCACGCCACACTGTAAAAATATTTCACCACAAGTAAGAGTCCTGCATTGAAAATGTTACTATAATAAACCCGAGGCTTCAGAACAGGAGTCAGGTCACAGTGGCTAGGTCCATTATTGTATTCACTCTGTGGTTGGCATGCACACTACAAGTCTTGCTAGCTAACGTTACTGGTCTGACTTGTAGAGTACTTGCAGTAGTCTGGGGCCGTTAGTGGCCGTTTTGGTAAGGAACCGGAACCAGGGCGAGTGAGACAGGATCCGGAATTCGATGGATGCGCGTTTCCGTCAAAATAAAAGCACCAAGCTAATAAAAATGTGTTGAAACTTTTTAATTTAAAGAATATAATTTACAAGAAAAGCCCCAAGCCATTAAGTTAATCGATTTTCTTACACCCCTCATCACCCCAAATCGATGGTGCGCCAGAATTTAAAGTTTTACTTTGGTGAACACTTTTACTTTGGTGAATTTGGTGAATTCCGCATCCGCTCTCTAGACAGGAACCAGAATCCAGACAAAATTCAGAGTGAATAGAAACCAGGCTCTTCTCCTTACGTGAAGAGCCTGGTGACGCGAGGCTAACTTGCAGAGACTGAGCGGCACAGTGTTGCAGCGGTTAGCATTGTTACCTCACAGCAAGGGGGTTCCTGGTTCGAATCCAGGGTGGGGGGTTCGAACCAGGAGAAAACCCACACTGATACAGAGAGAACATGCAAACTCCACACAGAAGAGCACCCCCACCCTGGGTTCAAACCAGGAATCCCCTTGCTGTGAGGCAACAATGCTAACCACTGCACCACTGTACCACCCAATGAGGAAAATGTATTTTAAATAACTGAAAGTTTAAGTACTCAATGCTGACAAATGTCCCCTGTGACTGGTTTATTATTATATATTATATAATTAGGTTAATATGACTAATGCATTAATGTAAAAGCAGGATTTTACTGTTGTAGTTGGTTGTAGTGCTGAGTGAAAATATTGCTACGGTGAGTCCATGAGGACCAATTAAATCAGACTCTAGTTCAGACCTCCTCCAGCCAAGGCCAATGGTGCATTCACTGGTGCATTCCACTATGATGGAAAAGCTGTTGTTGTTTTATTGTGGATTTTTGTATTATATGTTGCATTTATTGCATTTTAATGTGTTCTGATTGGCTGCTACCTCGGCCAGGTCTCTCTTATAAAAGAGATTTTCAATCTCAATGGGACTTACTGGTTAAATAAAGGTAAAAATAAAATAAAGGAGAAGCAGCATTTTTTATATATGTGAAGCTGGACCTATGAAATGTTTCTGCATGAAAAATGAAAACTATATTAAATTATTGGGTGTTTAATTTCCTGTCGATAGATGTTCTTGTACATTTTCACATTTTGCATGCACAAATATTAATTTGTAATGTAATTAAAGCTGTCAGATAAATGTCGTGGAGCAGAAGGAGAAAGAAGCATGAGTACAATACAATACTTGAGTACATGAACACTGGTCACCACAACTACCATGACACCATGAGGTCACTGACCATGGAAGTAGCTCTTAACCTTGAGGTATCCCACACTGAGCCGGAGCACGGACAGCTTGTCCAGGCGACCTCTGACCTCCTCAGAGAACGGCAGCAGCTCAGTGAGTCGGTCCAGCTCTCCATTCAGACGGTCACGGTGGCGTTTGGACGGATTGATCTTCACAGGCGGAGGCTTGACACTGAAACAACACACAGGGACAAAGAGCTGTTGAGTGATGCCTGCTTGCTAAAACATGTTTGCTCTGCTTGATGATCGACAACACACAGCTGGAATTTCCATCTCGAATCAAAGTGTGGGAGTTTTTGGTAAAAAGGTACATTTTTCATATCCTAGAAGCTTCACATCTGAGTGTGCGTAGATGTAGGAGATACTGACACACTGACTGTTTCTGTCATGAAAAACAATACCTCTGGTAAAAAATTCCAGTGTTTGAATTTCTAAGAGACGATGTGGGCTGCTGCCCAAATAAAATGTGGACCACATCAAACGACGCTTCAAGAGGCTGTAAGTGTGTCTCATACTTGTGTTATTACAAGACTGGAAAACCCTCAGAGTTTCAGTAGTTAGCACGCTCACTCATTCTGTGTTTGGGAGAAACACCTGCAAATATTAGATTTACTGAGACTTCATTATTGAAATAACGTCCACGAAGTTAGATGGAAATTAGTAGGAAGCTGTGGTGCTGCTTAACTTTATTTACATATTTAGGTACTTGTACTTCACTTGTGTCGTTACTTTTCCTACCATCTTGTAATCCACCACACTTGAGAGGAAAATATAGTGCCATTTACTATCATACAGGTTGAGTTACTTTATAGATCAAGATTTTCATATACAAAACACAGTAAGAGTTTATTAAATGTGATGTTTTATTAAAAAAGTACAGTTTAAACAAGTACAGCTGAAATGATTAGTCAATGAATCAATTAGTCAATCTGTTCTTGTTGTTTTTGGAGCACAAATACAAAATATTTAATGGTTCCAGGATCTCATTTGCAGTAATTTGCTGTTTTCTTCAGTCTAAGATTAAAATAATTTAAATTTTGGGGGGTTTGAATGTGTTTGTTGGACAAATCAAGGCATCTGGAGCACTTTTCACAGTTTTTTAAATGTTTATAGTTTAATCAATGAATTAAAAATAATCTGCAAGTACCTCAACAACCAAAACAATCATTAGTAACAGCCCTTGTGTGATTTATTGAAACCTGCGGGAGAAGAGCTCTCGCTGCATAATAGCTAGCAGGTTAGTAGGTTAGCTGTGGTGCTAAGCTACACAGCACTGTGGCTAGAAAATAGGCCATACAATAGAAAATGGAGCTCAATCAGTTATATTTTCTCTTCATCTTTAAAAAGAACCTGTCTTATAATCTGTAAGTCAAGCTAGAGCCAACTTTTACTGTAAAACTACAAGTAGGGCTGAGAACCATGCTAGCAGCTCTGTGAGGCTGAGCTAAATGCTAACACAAAGATGCTACGCAAGTCTACTGTTCATCACTCTAGTTTAGCATGCTAACGTTTGCTAACGTTTAGCATGCTAACGTGTGTAGGAAAGTACAGTAGCTAGGTACATTTTCTGAAGTACTACACTTAGGAAAAATATTGAAATACTTGAACATTATTTAAGTATTTATGTATAAATACATATATATATATATATTTTATGCCTTTTAATACTTCTACTTGCACTACATTTGACTGAAAGCTTTAGTTACTTTTTAGACTAAAAACATTAAATATATTATTGGTACATGGTACATTTAGCTTACATTATTTTTACCTTTTTTCCTGAGTTGTATTTTGCAAGCATGACTCTTACTTGTAGTGGACAGAGCCCAACTGATACTGGACTTTTTTTAGGCCGATGCCGATACTAATATTGGGGAGTATAATAATTCTGATATTGAAATATTGGTCGATTATACAGTTATATATAAGCAATTATCCCTCAAATACTTGTGACAAACATACTGGAGGCAGGATATTTTATCGGCAGTAGCTCAGTTCATAGGGACTTGGGCTAGGAACCGGAGGGTCACCTGTTCAAGTCCCCGTCCGGACCAAAATATGGAGCGTGGACTGGTAGCTGGAGAGGTGCCAGTTCACCTCCTGGGCACTGCCGAGGTGCCCCTGAGCAAGGCACCGAACCCCCCAACCGCTTGGAGCGCCTGTCATGGGCAGCCCACTCTGACATCTCTCCACTTTGTGTTACTGAATTTCCTCTTGGGGATTAATAAAGTATATAAAATTAAAAAAAAAATTTAAAAAATTATTTTATCGTTGAACAATAAACTTTATTGTCAAAAATGACATTAGTGATCAACTACTCCGAAAGTATTTGCATATGGATTCAAAACTTCAGCTGCAAATTTGAAAAGTTATTTATTCAACAGAAGACAGTGTCCACCACAAACACAAAGTACAACTGAGGCTGATGGCAATAGCTTGGTCCTAAATGGTCATCTCTAGACGGTATCCAGAGATTTGCAAAAACTCCTGTGAGATATAATGCGCCATTATCTTTCCCCAACCCTTATCAAGTGCCTCGTGACCATCTTAAACCAAAGTCTGACAAATCAAAGATTTGCCCTGATGGTGACACTAAAGTAAAAGTCAGAGGAACACCAAATTTAGCAGGATTCATCCTCCGGGGAACATGAAGGTCTGTACAAAATTTCACAGCAGCCCATCAAACAGTTGTTGAGATAATGACGGGCCCACTGCTGCTGAATGTAGAGTTACATCATGAGTTTGAGACGGCATGCATCTGTTAATCTTTCACTTGGCCTGCGCCTTTATTACTACAAATTACCACAATGTAATTCCTCTCCAACATGTCGGGGCATGCAGCGGCCTTGTGAGCCATTCCTCCCTGACTAAACACAGATCTGAGGACAGAGATGGAGGGAAGAGGAGAGACAACAAAGCAGGCAGGAATGAGGAGATAAATCACAAGGAGCACAGAGAGAGTAAAACGTCAGGGGGAAAACATCAGGACTCAGAGTGGAGAAAGAAATAAAGGGACAACTGAAGAAATGTAATGATTATAGATAAAACAGACTCTGTTGGGAACTCTGTCGCAGCTGTCGAGTCAGAGGTTTGGCCTGTGATCACCGTCCTCATTGTGGTAAACAAAAGTTGGACACAAGCAACAGGCAGCTCATGTATCTTAGACGGTAATTTGGCACAAAAGGACGTTGGTGTAAAGACGTGAAGATGTGGGCACAGATGAATCTGCGGAGTCTTTTTTTAGTGTCATCGTCTGATCTGTCAAATTTGTTTTCAGAGTCGTGGATGAAACATCTGAACTACACTTAAAGTTCAATTGTTCTAATTACACCAGGAGTCCCGACGCTACTTCATTCAGTAATAATCCCAGGAATTACACACAGTTCTGCCTCCAATCCTGACGATGTGTTTGCATAATACTTTGCAAAACACAGCCTTACACTGGCATTTGTTCAGTTATGGAAAACTTTCAGTATGAAACCCGCATACCTGCATGTCTGGAAAACTGCACAAACACAGCTTAAACTTTTAATTTAATTTAAAGGTACAGTACACCCTGTCTGGTACAGGTGGGAATCATCAGGGGCCCCTTGATACGATATTATCATGATACTTAAGTCACAAATAAAGATTCACAATATTGGAAATTTTTTTTTCTGCTGCTACCGGATATGTTTATATATAACAACTTATTTAGCCAATAACTCATGCTGCTATTGATATATCCACTCTTTTCCCCTGAATCCAATTATTTAAAAGCCAATATTGGCTGATACAGATGATGTACCAATATTATCAGCACGTTGACTGATTCCAATATTTCATTTTAAGCCAATATCGGCAACACCGATGACCTGCCAATACTATTAACATGTTGGGCAATTCTGATATTTCATTTTAAAGCCGATATTGGCTGATGTGCCAGTATTGTCAGTGTGTTGACATCATCGGACCATACCAATGGCATGCCAATATTATTAGCATGTTGATTGATTGTGATAGTTAATTTTAAAGCCGATATTTCAGAATGTTGACTGATTCTTGTAGTTCGTTTTAAATCCAATATTGACCGACACCGATGACATGGGGATGTTATCAGCATGTTGACTGATCCCGATAGTTCATTTTAAAGCTGATATCGGCCGATACCAATGACGTGCCGATATTATTGTGCATCCCTTGTCACAGTACGATATCACAGCTCTGCAGAATCATATCATTAGTACAAAATATGAATAAACTGATAAGCTATGCTTTATTATTGTAGAGCAGTGATACTCAACTAGCCGCCTGAAGGCCAGACACAGTGCCATGTGGCCCCCCAACCATTTTCTAACTCACCATGACAATAAGTTGATTCAAGATGGGATTTTTTATTAATATAAATAAGGAGCCTGGGCAATAAAAAGCATCAACAAAGAGCTTGTTTACTAAGAGTGCCGGGGGATGACCCCCCTGACCCCTGACAGACGTCCAGGCTAAGCCCCTTAATGTCCTCAAATCCTAGAAACACCTCTGTGTAAACCTGACCTGTGCCATGCTTCTACAACTGGCCCCTAGCCACCTGTTGTCTTGCAAAAGTGGCCCCTGGGCAAAGCAAGTTTAGTATCCCTGTTGCAGAGTAACCTACCCGTCAGAATATAAAGTAACTGAAATCAGCTCCAGCTTTACGAGCTCGAATAATGAACATAAATATTTATAATCCAGTAACATATATCATTCTGATATCGGCCATTCTGCATCAAAAGGACTTTTACTTTTATTACTTTAAACAACATTTATATGTGGGGCCCATGTGAGTAGTAAATGAGCTGAAAAAAGGCCCTGTATGGGATTGTCCAAGGTATCCATAATGGCCCCACGGGTGGTTTTACCCAAGATAAGATGCCCACTTTGGGGCCATACCCACTTGGTACCCAGGTGGCTGTAGCATAACCCATGTAGGGCCCACTTGGGTTAACCCACCTGTGTGAGCAACTGATATGGGGGCGATTACGGAACTCATGGACGATCCCATATTGGGCCCAGTTTCAGCTCATTTACTAACGACACAGGGCCCACATTGAAATGTTGACTTTGATTTTTTGAAATTTTGTATTTATGGTTTTTTTGTATTTATTTATTTATTTTTACTAATATTTTTTAGGTTTTTTTTTAGCTTGCATATTCTTCTATTTCGTTACTTAATTATTTACTTTTTTTTTTTTTATAAAGGTTTTTATCTTGCCTCTGGTGTTTCCCTACTTATGATAACGTACATCAGTTTATGTGTGTGTGTGTGCTATATAAATAAAATTTGTTTGATTGATGCAATTTTGAATGCAGTACTTAAACTTGTATTTACTTGTATTTCTACATGCACCAAGTTTCAGTAAGTACAAATATTTCTCCCACCATCACCTGCCCGTCTCACCTTATCTGGCCTTGACGTCATCACCTTCGCGTGACACTTGCTGCAGGTGGACTACCTACCTGCCCACCCCCCTTACTCTGTCCCGGAAATCATAAATCACTGAAGTAAACTAAAACAACAACCTGTGTGGCTCCAGGTGGAGACACGAGGTGAGTGTAAGTAGCTTGGCAGCATCTCTACTAATAACAATTACTCATTAATTATGACGGTGCTGATGACTGATTGATCCGCTGGTAATGACCCGTATTAACCCCTCCAGCGGTGCACAGAGCTCAGGCCTGTTTCATAGCCTGAGTTGACACTAAAACATGTTTTAAATATAAAATCTGACCTTTTCTGGACAGGCTTCTTCCTCCTCTTCACCGCGTACACTCCTCCATTCCCCGGCATGGTGCCGCTCTGGTTCCTCCTCAGCTCAAACTTTCCTTTCACTTCAAAGAGCAAAATAAAAGCAGCATAAAAAGTTTAATTCTTTTGAAAATGTCCAGACACACCCCGTGTGTTCCTCTGCTGCCTGGGTCCTTAAAAAAGCAGGTTGTTTGAGACGGACCCAGCTCAGTGTGACACAGCAGAGCAATAATCCAGACACATGACGTGTGGCAGCATTTTAGCAGCGACCCTGTCGGTCACAGGCTCATTTAAAGAGTCGTGAAGTTTGCACAGGGAAGTACAGCAGCACACACACACCAGGCTGTCCCCCTGTGTGTATGTCTGCACTCTGCAGCTGCTTCAGCCAATCACAACCACTGTAACGTCACTGCACGTCTGTCTCAGCCTCTGTGATTGGTGCACAGCTCCTCCTTTGTTTATCCTCCCTGTCCTCAGCTGTGAAACACACACACACTGTACAGTGTGTTACAGTTCTGTGACTCTTTACAGTCAAAGTTACTCTGAGATTAAAAGGTTGTTTCCTTCCTGTTAGGATGTAAAGTTTGACATAAAGTGACAGCAGCTCAACTTTCCATCGACTCCACCATGTTTTTCCACCTCCTGTAAAAATGTTGTGTAACCTGTAACTGTGACTCCATCCAGTGGCAGGTGACGTTAGCACAGGGCTCTGTCAGGGGTGAAAACAGGAGTGAAAACTAAAGCAAAACAAGAAAACCAAAAAAAAACATATGAAACAAAACAAAGTAAAATAAAGCAAAATCAAATAAAATACAACATAAAAACAAAATGCGAAAACAGCATAAAATTAAACAAAAATAAAATAAATCAAAGTAAAGTAACATAAAATAAAATAAAATAAAATAAAATAAAGCAAAATAAAATAAATTTAAATCAAAAAGACAATACTATTAAAAAAGTTAAATAAAATAAAGCAAAATAGAATCAAATTAAATACCATTTTAAAAAGTAAAAATAAATAAAATTAAATACCATTAAAAAAAGTAAAATAAAATAAAGCAAAAATAAAATTAAATACATTAAAAAAAAGTAAAATAAAATAAAGCAAAATAAAATCAAATTAAATAACATTTAAAAAGTAAAATAAAACAAAGCAAAATAAAATAAAATACCATTATAAAAGTCAAATTAAATAAAGCAAAATAAAATTAAATACCATTAAAAAAGTAAAATAAAATGAAGCAAAATAAAACATAATACAAAAAAGTAAAGTAAAATAAAGCAAAATAAAATAAAACTAAACATAAAACAAAACAAAGTAAAATGTAACAAAGTAAATAAAATAAGGCAAAATAAATTAAAAAAAAAAAANAAACAAAAATAAAATAAATCAAAGTAAAGTAACATAAAATAAAATAAAATAAAATAAAATAAAGCAAAATAAAATAAATTTAAATCAAAAAGACAATACTATTAAAAAAGTTAAATAAAATAAAGCAAAATAGAATCAAATTAAATACCATTTTAAAAAGTAAAAATAAATAAAATTAAATACCATTAAAAAAAGTAAAATAAAATAAAGCAAAAATAAAATTAAATACATTAAAAAAAAGTAAAATAAAATAAAGCAAAATAAAATCAAATTAAATAACATTTAAAAAGTAAAATAAAACAAAGCAAAATAAAATAAAATACCATTATAAAAGTCAAATTAAATAAAGCAAAATAAAATTAAATACCATTAAAAAAGTAAAATAAAATGAAGCAAAATAAAACATAATACAAAAAAGTAAAGTAAAATAAAGCAAAATAAAATAAAACTAAACATAAAACAAAACAAAGTAAAATGTAACAAAGTAAATAAAATAAGGCAAAATAAATTAAAAAAAAAAAACTCACCTTAATAAAGTAAATATTTGTCACATATATATTATCAATGGTGGAGTAAGAACTCAGATCTTTTACTAACGTAAAAGTTGCAGCACCACAGTGAAGAAATACTGTCACTGGTAAAAGTCCTGCACTCAAAATCTTACTAAAATAAAAGTTCATATGTATTAGCATCAAAATATAGTTAAAGTACCAAATATAATTATGCAGAGTGGCCTATTTCAGAATAATATATATTCTTTGATTATAGTTATCGATGCATGAACGTAATTATCACTTAATGATACAGCTGGTAAAAGTGGGGCTCATTTTTATTACTTTATATACTGCTGGGTGGCTTAAATTTCATGTTAATAATCTGATTCTGCTCAGTAAATAAAGGTGTCAAGTACATGTCATGGAGTAAAAGTATAAAGTAGCAGAGGTGAAAAGTAACTATGTACATTTTCTTGAGTTGCCACTTTTAGTAACTAAAAGTAAAATCAAAGCACCTAATATTTAAAACGAAATGAAGTACTCGAGGAAGTCTTACGCATGTTTTGTTCACCAAATATTATTTATTAAAAATGACCAAAATACATGATTGTTATAAATCTGACTGCACCTGACAGTTCTCACACAATACTCCAAAATAAAAAACACATTTATTGCATAATCATTTTTGTTTTAAACAAAACTACAGTTTCCAAACAGGAAATTATCTCAATCATGAGTTAAAAATCATAATTTTTGAACAAAGGCACTGACCACTGCCTTTACAGTTCAGACAAAGACATTTATGTTCACATACATGGATTCTGTGGCTCTTGATTGTTTAACGACTGATTATTCAGACATGACTGGAATGTGATCGACCACGTTAAACTCAGAACACCAGAGACTTTGGTTTTTCCCAGGGGAACTCCTCTCTGCCAAAGTGACCGTAGCAGGCGGTGGCCTGGTAGATCGGCCGCTTCAAACCCAGCTCTCTGTTAAAAGAAGTTGATATCACAGTGTCAGATATTGACATAAAAACACGTAATGACGTTTGGGCTAATGAAAACTCGACATACTTGACGATGACCCCAGGTCGCAGGTCAAAGTTCTTTTGGACTATCTGCAGCAGCTCGTCTTCGTCCCTGTTCGATGTGCCGTAGTGAAACACTGAGATGGAGAGTGGGTGGCTCACACCAATCGCATACGAGATCTAAACACAGATATATCAACACTTTGAGTCATTATTGATCTGTCATCAGAAAATCCTGATCCTGACCCGACCCTAACTGACCAATCAGACTGCAGTGTTCACAGCTCCACCTTAGATTTTGTTTCTACTATTACGTCCAAAAATGGTTTTATCCTCTTTTGAAAATAAAAGTAAAACAATGCACAGTAGTGTTAGCTTAAGGGCTATTACACAAGAAGGGAGTAACAAGTGCAGCTTCATAAACGTCCTCACCTGAACGAGGGCTCTCCTGCACAGTCCAGCTTTGACCAAAGACTTAGCGACCCAGCGTGCCGCATATGCTCCGGAACGATCCACTTTGGAGTAGTCTTTTCCAGAGAACGCCCCTCCTCCGTGCCCACCCCATCCTCCATACGTGTCCACTATGATTTTACGCCCTGTCAGTCCTGCATCACCCTGGTGATACAAAATCATCAGCTCCTGCTTGCCCACACATTTAATCATATTTTTATTTTTATTACACTTCCCTCTGTGGTTCAGTCCGCACTCACCTGTGGACCTCCAATGAGGAATTTCCCACTTGGCAGCAGATGGTAGATGGTCTTGTTGTCCAGGTACCGGGCGGGAATGACGACATTCACCACCTTCTCCATCAGATGGCGTCTGATCTCCTGCAGGGAGATATCTGGGCTGTGCTGTACTGAGATGACCACAGTGTGGACACGCAGAGGCTCCATGGCGCCCATGTTGTCTTTATACTCCACCGTGACCTGCAGACAAAAGGGCAGATATAGAAACCAACCGCACAGAGAAGATACAGCAGAATTTTTGGGGGTGTATTTATTTATAAAACAGGAAATGAGCGGAGAGAACGACGTGATCCCCCCTTTTCGTTTGTCTTCTGAAGTGTCTCACTTGTGATTTGGAGTCTGGCAGTATCCACGGACACTCTCCGTTGAGTGACAGCTCCTTCAGCCTGTAGTTGAGCTTGTGAGCCAGGAGGATGGTTAAGGGCATACACTCCTCGGTCTCATCGGAGGCGTAGCCAAACATCAAACCCTGAGAAGACAAGCAGCTCGATAAAGATGGAAACAGTCTGAGCAGTAACGTTAGCAAAAGTTTACAATTAATTAAACTTAAGTAAATACAATTTTAAAAAAGAGCTTTTGAATGTTATTTTGTAAATGAATTTTTCTTAAGCTGGAGGAATTACAAAATCTCTCCACCACTTTGTTGGTCCTCAAACTTTTCATCTAGTGCCACCAGTAGATTAAAGATTTCAAGGTGGTTTATGACCAAAACAAATGATATTTGTGTTTCACGACTCCCAACATTGCACAACAGGCACACCTCAATCTATTTTTGACCCCGATCCCAATCAAATTAATATTGAGTATCTGCCGACACCACGTCCTGAATACTTGTATTTTACTGGATAATGCAGCTTCACAGTGTGCACTTAAAGGGATAGTGCACCCAAAAATGAAAATTCAGCCATTATCTACTCACCCATATGCCGATGGAGGCCCTGGTGAAGTTTAAGAGTCCTCACATCACTTGCGAAGATCGGCGGGAAGAAAGGCTAGCACACCTAATGGCTGACGGCGCCCCAGACTAACGTCCAAGAACACAAAATTGAATCCACAAAATATCTCCATACTGCTCATCCGTAGTGATCCAAGTGTGCTGCAGCCCCGACATAAAAAGTTGTTTGGAAAAAAGTCATATGAACTCTGTTTTTAGCCTCACTGTAGCCTGTAGCTCTGACTGATTCTCTGTGCTCAGCGTTCACGTGTGCGCGCTTGTGCGAGACCAGCGAAAGCATGAGCTTTGCTCACCCATGTTTACATCACGTGACACGTGCACCGCAGGGGGAGACAACGGTAGCCACAGAGCTAAAAGATAACTTGCACTACAGTCTTTTAGCAAAGGACAGCCCAACATGTCTGAAGACTTTGAAATTGAGGAGGAACAGCATTTCTTTGTTGAGCCGTATTTGTTTGAGCCCGAGTATACGGACGGAACTCAGGCTACTGGACGAAGCAGCTGCCGCAGCTCATGAGCCTCAGCCAGCCACAGAATACCAGAGTCGAGCACTGGAAACCTGGTGGTGTAATTGTTTCAAATGCAAAGCAGTGCCAACGGATGAGGAAAGTCTTTGCTGCTCAGACTGGGAATTGGCGATGCCTGCACTTGAGAATCTGGACATCAGTACTGACGAGACTGCTGCTCTTCAGAGACCGTGCATCACCGATCACTCTGAGCGCGCACACGTGAACGTGGAGCACAGAGAGGCAGTCAGAGCTACAGGCTACAGTGAGGCTAAAAACAGAATTCATATGACGTTTTTCGAAACAACTTTTTATGTCGGGGCTGCAGCACACTTGGATCACTATGGATGAGCATGTTGGAGATATTTTGTGGATTCAATTTTGTGTTCTTGGACGTTAGTCTGGGGCGCCGTCTGCCATTAGGTGTGCTAGCCGCTCCCCCTGCCGATCTCCGCAAGGGATGTGAGGACATCCCTTCCCATCCCATAAAACTTCACCAGAGCCTTCCTCGGCATATGGGTGAGTAGATAATGGCTGAATTTTCATTTTTGGGTGCACTATCCCTTTAAAGTACCTTAAAGTTATTCATATCAATTCAATGTATATGCTCAACAAAACTCCCTGCATCCAAGCTGTTTCTTTAAGTTTTGTTCTTATCTTTATTTTAAATGATAAAGGATAAAATAACAAACCCCCTCTTTAATGTTTCTGGCCTTGTCAAAATGTCTCTGTCCCTTTAAGAGAGTATTCTCCAGTGTTTGTTGCTTCAGTGCAGACTCAACCTGAGTTACCTCAATGAACTGTATTCCACTGATTCAAATAATACCCAAAGAACCTTTTGAGACATGTTTTGAGACATAAAAATACTCTACTCATATTTTTTCAGAAAAAAATTGTCATCTACTTTGTTTAAAAATTTCTAAAATGACATTTTAAACTTACATTTTCTCATCTAACACCTGGTGAGTACCTGCAGAAAACGTCCTGAAGGGACCTGAGTGCCATGACTCTGACTATCAATTAAAGAGGGAAAAAGTAGACATGGAAGTTTTACATAAATTAATTAGGCTTAGAAAAACACACAATGCTAATTACAGTTCAGGCTGTAGAAATAGTTTTTAGAAACAGGGGGGCAAAGTCCCTCCTGTTCTGGTGCACCCCATGGGACCTGATTTAGGAGAAATAAATACATCATTTTTTGATCCTGTTTGAATTGTGCCATGAATTACACTGATGATATTTGTCAATTTAAAAAATGATTCTGCAAATCAAGAGAGTCACAGTTTTTCACAGGTTTGTCATGTGAAACCGCTTACTGAACTACATCTCTCGTCTTGCTAACCGTTATCAACACAAACATGGCTGTTACTTGGCACATTTCAAATTGCAAAAAAAAGACAGGTTTAGAAAATTATTTAAAAAAAAATAGGAAAAGCTGGGGAAAAACGATATTTATAATTTTTTCTTATATTTTTTATATTTTTTATTTTATTATATTTTAAAAATAAATTCTAGTATTTTTTTATTATATATTTTTTATAATTATTACATTTTCAAATTATGTTACAGAATTATTATAATTTCTAAGCACTCTTTCCAGGTCATTTGTTTGTTTTTAACTGTCTTTCTTTCTCTTTTTTTAAATTTATTTTTTAATATTAATTTTTGGGTAATTTCTTTTTCTGATGCTCATCGCCTTCTTCCCATATTTTAAATTAATTTTAAAAAAAACAAACAAGCCAATTAGCTCAGGTTTCAAAGGGTTCAATAAAAATGAAGTAGCCAATTAAAACAAAGGGCAATCAATGACAACAGTCACTGACTCTACTGAAAACTGTCGGTTCATTTACCAAAATGATTTTTCACAACCATTTTTACAACATGAATCAGTTCTGAATCCAGGTGGTGAAATGTTCTACTGGACCTGGTCTCCTGCACCGATGTCCTCCTGATCTCTGCCTTCAAACACACAGTCGGTGATCTCCACACACTGCGGCTCCAGCGCCAGCAGCACGTTACAGGTCTTATAGTCAAAACCTGCAAAGCACAAGTCGGGACTCGTTAACTAAACATCCCCCAGAAAATGACACACAAACTCAGTCACTGAATAAGAATCCCACCTTTTGACGAGTCATCATAACCAATCTTCTTGACTGTATTTCGGACTACTGACTGGAGATCAACGATGGCCTTCGACGTCACTTCTCCAACCAGCAGAATCATGCCCGTCTTCGCCACACACTCTGTAACGAGATGTTTTTAACAGACAGAAACACGACTCAGGCACTTGGAACAAAATATTTTACTGAGTGCATTTTGTACATTTCTAAAACTCTCAATTCTTGTGCACTTTTTGAGGCAGATTCCTAGAAAATTAATTGAGTCAAGAGAAGAGGGCATGAGGGGAATGTCTGTGGAAGAAGACTGGATTTACTATTAATCAAAATGTTTCAGATGAGCTGAAGGCATCCAATGAGCATCAAGATAACGCTGAGCTGAACCTTGGTCTAAAGAGCAAACACTGATGCAGTCTAAGACAATTGGCTGTTTAATTATTAGTTATCAAAATACCTTGGACAGATTAGATTCCAACAAGTGTTGATTGAATTGAATGACTGATTTTATTTTTCCACCTGGACCTTTATGCTCTGCCATTTCTCCTCTAATCATCAGGCTGTAACCTGTGGCAGGTAGGTAGGTAAATATTAGGAGTTTGGTGCATCCAGATAAACAGTTAGTCCTCATCAAAGTAAAATGATAAATAAACATCATATGTGACATGTTACTCACCACAAGCCACTTTAGAGTCCGGGTCTTGACTCAGGTACGCATCGAGCACAGCATCACTGATCTGATCACACATTTTATCTGTGAACACAAAGTCAGAGACGTTAAAAGGAAAGAACGATACAGATATTATCAGTGTTGTCAGGGACGTAGCTTCCATCAAGAACACGGAGGTCATGTTTTATGTTTTCAGGGTTATTTAGGGTCAAAGAGAGAAGAAGAACGAATCAGAGAGTAATCAGAGAAAAAAGGTGAGCACACGTTAGCAGGTGTTGGGCAAGTGGCCCATCTGCAAGGAGCCAAACAGCACCGGAAAAACACTGATTTTAACATGAAACTGCTTTATTTAGTGTTTTTACTGGTTTAAATAATTGGATCTGTTTGTTTTGGAGAGGAAGAGACGTCTGTGGATAATTCAGCTCCTGGTAAAAACATCTAGATTTTAAGTTATCAGAGATAAAAGGTGAGCATAGATTAGCAGGTGTTGAACTAGTGGTGCATCAGCAAGGAGCCAAACAGCACTGTTTTTAACCACCTGATCGGTTTATTTTTGAGATGGAGAGACCTCTTCTTATAATTTGGCTCCTGGTAAAAACCTCCTGAACGGCTGGATCTCAAGTTATCAGAGAATTAAGGTGCTGGGCTAGTGGCGTGTTTGTAAGGAGCCAAACAGCACCGGAAAAACGCTGATTTTTAACGTGAAACAGCTTCATTCAGTGTTTTTACTGGTTTAAATAATTGGATCTGTTTGTTTTAGAGAGGAAGAGACGTCTGTGGATATTTCAGCTCCTGGTAAAAACCTCCTGAACGTCTGTCAGAGAAAAAAGGTGAGCGCACATTAGCAGTTGCTGGGCTAGTGGCAAGTCTGCAAGGAGCCAATCAGCACCGGAAAAACGCTGATTTTAACATAAAACTGCTTTATTCAGTATTTTTACCAGTTTAAATCATTGGGTCTGTGTGTTTTGGAGAGGAAGAGACCTATGCGGATAATTCGGCTCCTGGTAAAAACCTCCTGAACGTCTGGATCTTAAGTTATCAGAAAATAAAGGTGAGCACACATTAGCAGGCTCTGCGCTAGTGGTGTATCTGCGAGGAGCCAAACAGCACCAGAAAAACACTGATTTTTAACAAGAATCTGCTTTATGCAGTGTTTTTACTATTTTTAACCAACTTGTCTGTTTGTTTTGGAGAGGGGGAGAATTCCGCAGATAATTCAGCTCCTGGTTAAAACCTCCTGAACAACTAACACTGAAGGAATTCTAACCAGGAGCTCACGCTTTGCATAAGGGAGAGGTTTCAGCTGGTTGCAATCTGCAATTTTCAGCGCTAGATGCCACAAAATATTTTCTACACACTGTTCCTTTAAGGTAAGATTTTGAAGGCAGAACCTTTACTTGTAACAAAGTACTTCAACACTGTCTGAGTACTTCATCCACCACTGCCAATAGTAGCTACAGAAATTATTTAAAATTAGCTCCACATTGATGAACTACAGCATTAAAATACTCTAAGTTATGTATTCTTTAGTGATAAAAATGATAGAAAATACTATCAGATTATGACACACAGTCTGAAGGGAGCCATTCTGCATAATGAATTTTACTTTTTAATACTTCTGCCCTGATGAACTCGGGACTTTTACTTTTATTTCAAGTATTTCTGAGCACTTCTTCCACCACACACACACACACAAGGAACATGTCCAGACAGAGCACTACTCTGTGCACTACAACCACACACACACACACACACACACACGCACACACAGGGAACATGTCCAGACAGAGCACTACTCTGTGCACTACAACCACACACACACACACACACACACACACACACACAGGGATAGATGGGTACAGTACCGGAGTGTCCTTCTCCAACAGACTCGGATGTGAAGAGGAAAGTCTTCCCCCTGCGGGCTCCGCTCGGGTTCATCTTCAGCTCGTCGGTCCGTCGGTGCACAAGTTGAATTTAACGGAATTAACGGCGACGGTACACTTTAAGTTAAAGTACCGTTTGATGTCCGCCCACACTGATTATAAAAATCAATAATCAACTCTGGAGGCTGGGCTGAGGTATTTGAACCGGAGTAAACTTGATTTACTACAGGCGGGTTTAACGGCAAACTACGGAAAGTAACGGTGTAAGTGGTAACGCTACCGACAGCAGTAACTGATGTAACGTTTCATTAGTGGTCGTTAACAGTCAATAATGTAAGCCCAATAAATACACACAGTTTATTACTCGTCTTTCGTTGGGCTCTTTAATGACAGCTGTGTGAGCTGAAAGAGGAATGTTTACAAGTGCAGGTCCTTCAGGCAGCAGCACGGACACCCCCAAGGTACGGTGTCCCATTTGGGTCAATATTAAGTAAATAAATACAAAAAAATATGATTTAAAAACGGATATACATATGAAATCAATAAAGAAGACTGTGGGAAAAAAAGATAAATAAACCTGAAATAAGTAAATGAGTCAATAAATAAATACATGTAAATAAATATAAATGAATAAATAGGTTTTATTTTAAATTTAAAACATTTTTCCATGACTATTTTAATTTATTTCAGGGGGAATTTATTTCATAAGTCCACATTTATTTATTTTAGGGGATTTATTTTATAATGCCACATTTATTTAGTTTAGGGGATTTATTTTATAATGCCACATCTATCTATTTTAGGGGATTTATTTTATAAGTCCACATTTATTTATTTTAGGGGATTTATTTTAATAAAGCCACATTTATTTAGTTTAGTGAATGTTATTTTATAATACTTCATTTATTTATTTTCGGTGACTTATTTTATAATGCCACATTTAATTATTTCAGGGGATTTATTTTATAATGCCAAATTTATTTATTTTAGGGGATTTATTTTATAATGTCACATTTATTTATTTTAGGGGATTTATTTTATAATGACACATTTATTTATTTTAGGGGATTTATTTTATAATGCCACATTTATATATTTTAGGGGATTTATTTTATAAAAACACATTTATTTATTTTAGGGGATTTATTTTAATAAAGCCACATATATTTAGTTTAGAGAATGTTATTTTATAATACTTCATTAATTTATTTTCAGTGACTTATTTTATAATGTCACATTTATTTATTTCAGTGGATTCTATTTCATAATGCCACATTTAATTATTTTTTTATAATGCCAAATTTATTTCAGAAAGTTTTCTGATTCTGATACTGCCTGTCTATTTTTTTTTTTAATTGATTTGATTGATTTACTGTTTATCAGCCCACAAATGAGACAAAAATTAGCTAAGTCCCCTGAAAAAAATGAATGTGGAGTTTTGAAATAAAAGTCCACTGAAATAGACAAAGTCGCCCTTTGAAAAAAAATCCTTTTATGACATTCCATAAAGTTAAAGTTTTAAAGTTTCAAAATATAGCCAAGTACCAAAAGCAGAGGAACTCCTACAGAATGGCCCATTTAAGAATAATAAATATGAAATTACTAATTTATATTTAATTTATAATATGGATTCAACTGTATGAACATTTTTGAGGCGATAATTTGTGGTGTTATTGTTTTATTGGGTTGTATTTTAATGAACGATGTCTCTGTCTTGTCTCTGTGGACAAAAACACCAATTGCAATATAATGTAAGGTGCTGCTGTTATTAATGTTCACAGACACAAACATCAGTCACAGGAACAGCTTCCCACAGAGCCGAGTAAACACAACAAACCAAAACAAAAGCACATCATCATAAACTTGATAAAAGTTGAGATTTATTGCAGGGTTAGTCGGATATGACGCAGTATATTTTAGTACATGTGATTGTTGTGTCCAGTCCTTGTATTTAACCCTACAGTGTCAGAACATTGTGCTCATGCATTGTGTTAACTGCTGTTGGTTTATAATATCTTAATACCTCTGTGTTACTTCACTGAGTTGTATCAACGCTAAATGTTCCAACTGTACAAAGTCCATCATTACTATGATTACTTCTATAAGGCACAGCCAGCGTGGAAGGTTACATACTGCACTGTTTGTCTTTACCATTGGTCTCGATGATCTCAGGTAATAGTACGGTCATTTATATATTCTTAATTTGACTTTAAGTAATCATATGTCAACATCGTTAGTATTTGGCAAGCACTCACCAAAGTGCAGCACACTCCCAGAGTTCAGTTAGTGACTCATGGCCAGATCCTCTTTATCAGGGAAGTAAATCTGCAGTACTGACAGAGGCATTTCTTTCTTTTCTTCTCTAAAAGATCTATATATGGATTTAGGGTTTATGTGACTGATTAATGAATAAGATAACCTCTTGACTACGAAGTACATTTACACAAATATTGTATTGTACTCAGCTACAACTCTGAGTTACGTGGACTTTACTTCCGTGTTAACTTTATGCTACTTGCTACAGCAATGACATCAGGATGTCATTTGGACTAGATAAGTATGGTAGGGTGCGTCCAAGAGAGGGAAGATGATCAGAACCAGAAGGCAGCTTTGCAGATGTTCAGCACAGTTACAAATACCTACACAGAGTAAGGCAGGTCCTGAAAAGTCAGCTGAACGGAAAGAACAAGGTCCGAGCCATCAACACGTACGCCCTGCCAGTCATCAGATACTCTGCTGGTTTAATAAGCTGCCAAAGGAGGAGATAGAGGCCGCTGATATCAAGACAAGGAAGCTTCTCACAGTGCATGAAGGGTTTCATCCCAAGTCCAGCACCCTGAGACGGTACACTTAGTCCAGCACCCTGAGACTGTACACGTAGTCCAGCACCCTGAGACCATACACTTAGTCCAGCACCCTGAGACTGTACACTTAGTCCAGCATCCTGAGACCGTACACTTAGTCCAGCACCCTGAGACCGTACACTTAGTCCAGCAACCTGAGACCGTACACTTAGTCCAGCATCCTGAGACCGTACACTTAGTCCAGCACCCTGAGACCGTACACGTAGTCCAGCGCCCTGAGACCGTACACTTAGTCCAGCACCCTGAGACCGTACACGTAGACCAGCGCCCTGAGACCGTACACTTAGTCCAGCACCCTGAGACCGTACACGTAGTCCAGCGCCCTGAGACTGTACACTTAGTCCAGCACCCTGAGACCGTACACTTAGTCCAGCAACCTGAGACCGTACACTTAGTCCAGCATCCTGAGACTACATTTAGTCCAGCACCCTGAGACCGTACACTTAGTCCAGCAACCTGAGACCGTACACTTAGTCCAGCATCCTGAGACCATACACTTAGTCCAGCACCCTGAGACCATACACGTAGTCCAGCGCCCTGAGACCGTACACTTAGTCCAGCACCCTGAGACCGTACACGTAGTCCAGCGCCCTGAGACCGTACACTTAGTCCAGCATCCTGAGACCATACACTTAGTCCAGCACCCTGAGACCGTACACTTAGTCCAGCACCCTGAGACCATACACTTAGATGGCCCCCAAAGATGAGCTGCTGAGTGAATACCTCAGGCAGCAGAGGAGGAGGAGGAACCATCATGGAGGGACAAGCCCCTGCACGGCATGTACCACAGACAGACTGAAGAAGTGGCAGACATCAAGAATTCTCACCAGTGTCTGAAAACGCTGGACTAGAGACAGCACAGAGGCACTAATCATGGCAGCACAGGAACAGACTGCTGGTAGGTGGTGTCATATTTCTTTTTATACTAATGAGATGTGCTTCTTGTACATATCACGTTAAATGTTTAAAAAGTGAAACAGTGTTAACTCTTGAATCTGGGTGCTGACCAGAGCTACCCTCGTGTTTCCAAACAGCCTGGATGAAGCCTATTTGCAAACTGTCAGCGGCTGCTGAAACAAGCTGCACAACACAGGATGAGGAAGTGAAGCAACACAGTGACTTCACCTCTGCTTTATTGCCTTGCAAATTATCTCTCTGTTGAAAGCAGAGCCCTTTGCCCTGACACATCTGCTCAACACCGGTCTGTATTCGTTGTAAAGCAGCTGATGGTATGTAAACACACACACAGAACTTAAGATACATGTTTTAAACTGAAATGTGTTGTTTATTGTCTTCAATAACTAAACCACAGGTATAAAAATAGTCAATGAATGTGTGGAAGCAGAGTTCATGAAAAGCAGGAAATGAAAGTACTGCATGTTCATGATCCGACTAGAGGTCTTTGTGGCGACGGAGACCGGTTCCTGTTGAGCCAATGAGACTTTGATTGAGGCAACAGGCGGTTAATGAGTAACTAAGGAGAAGGTGCAACCTTCAGTTCTCAGTGAGTGACTTCATACAGTCAGAAGAAGCTCAGATCTGTGTTTGTTTGTTGTAAGCAGCAGGACTGGATAAGACAACTTTGTGGAGGCTTTTTGTTTTTATATTTTGGTTGTGACTGAGAAACAGAGCTGCTATGGTGAGTGGTGACTTTTTACACACCCCAGTTTAAATTTAAGTTAAATGTTGACATATTTTAAATATAATCGATTGTTTTTCATCTTGATATCATCTAAAATCATCTCTGTAGGTTGATCCATGTCGCACTTTGTGTTTACCAGGTTTACTTTGTGCTTGAGGTTTTCATGTGACACACACACACACACACACACACACACACACCTCTGTAAACTGACTCACACCTGATAGCGCTCTTTTCCTGTTAACCTTTTAACATCCCTGATGACGGCCACACGCATTTAGTCTTACAATAAAGTTGTGCTTTAAAATACAACCGCTGCTGGAGTTTAACCTCTTTAAACCTCTTAAAGGGACAGTTCAGATGTTTTCTAAGTGTCATTGTTTGAGGTACTTATACACAGTCAGTGTATTACCTACAGCAGGCTGGAGTTCGACATGGAAGTAAGCAATGTACTGCTGTGGACGAGCTCCGCAACAAAAACATATTTCAGCTGCCTATAAAAGTCAGTATCAGTTTCAGTTTGCACTATATTTAGAGTGTTTTCACTGCTTTACTTTAATGTCAGACAGTGATTTCCAGTGAGAAAATGGAGCTGTTACATCACTCTCTTCAAAGCCAGACTCCATTGAGAAAAACAGTGATTTAACATTGCTGAACACAGGAGCTGCTGGTTTACTGCCGCTTCAATCAGCTGGTTTGTTTGTGTTATTTTGTGACTTTGGTGTTTAAAACGGTTAGTTCAGTTTCACCGAAGTCACACAATGACACAAATGAACTAAGTGATTGAAGCAGCGGTGGGACGAGCAGCTCTCTTGTTCAGTGAGATAAAATTACTGTTTTTCTCAATAGAGTCTGGTGGCTTTGACAAGAGCATCGATGGGGAACTGAACACCTTCCCAGTCGAAATGGGCTGTCTGACAGCAGGGTAAAGTGATGCAAACAGTCTAAATATAGCATACACTTAAATTGATATTGATTCTCTTAGGTGGCTAAAGTACATTTAGTTGCTGACCCCTCCACAGGAGTAAATAGCTTAGCTTCTCTGTCAGACTCCAGCCTGCTTCTCCAAACTGGAGGCGTGCTGACTGATATTTACTGTATGTAATGCACTGACTATGGATAAGTACCTCATACTACACCACTTCCAAAAAAACAAACTATCCCTTTAACAGCCCCCTTTCCCATTATGTAGCTCTAAAGTGTAACTTGTGTATGTTTCAACCTGGACTGGTCGAGTATTGAGACACCGCTGCAACCGGCAGCCACAAAACAGAACCACATGTAACCACTTGGGGCATTTGCACACTAAAAGTGCTTGTTTTTGTCACTGACAGGCTCAGGTTGTTATTATAAGTGTCTGACAACATTATGGAAAGGATCCCTACAGAAATAGACGTTTTAGTTTAAGCAGAAACAGCCCTGAAATCACCATCACCAAACCCACCAGACTCCATTTAAATAAAGACTAATTTTAGTGTATATAGAGGCAGCATGTTGTCACATCTAACTGGGTGAGTTAAGGGTTAATTTAAACCAAACCAGAGTTGGTGATTGTTGGAACAGAGAATAGACGAACCAAGATGGTTTCTGTGAGTTTTATTTTGTTTCTATCAACTTTGAATGAAGTGTGTTATATGATGATAAAATTACTGTTATTTAAATGGAGTCTGGTGGGTTTGGTGATGGTGATTTCAGGGCTGTTTTGGGTTAAACAAAAAGGATCTTACTCTTTAACACAAAGCTCTATCTCTGTAGGGATCCTTTCATAATGTTGTCAGACACTTAGAGTAACAATCTGAGCCTGTCAGTGACAAAAACAAACATTTTAATGGACGTAACTTGATGGTAAGTGATTACATTGCAACCTTTACTTGCCTTACTTAGACACAAAAACACGAGAAAATAGCAGAAGTTACCCTTTAAGATTGGACAAATGTTATTCTTTACTAAATGAAAATCAGTACGTTTCCAGTCACAGTGAAGTGGAGCTACAGTCCCAGCTGGACGAGGACATTTAACTGGCCTACTGTCCTTGTCCCAGTATACAAGCACGGGAGGGGAATCCATTTATTGAGCCAAGTATGTGCGACTCCTCTACGATAGGTGGAGATATGCCCCCTTTCAGCTTGTTAGTATTGGACCTTTTTCCTGTTGACCTATTACGTCACAGACCAAACAATGGACAAACAAGTTAGCTACGGTTAGCTAGCAGCTAACTGCTACCATGGTGGACAACTTTACAGCTCTGTACATTTGGTCCGTCCAAAAAGTCACGGCTCTGGATGTAGATTTCTCCATGTTGCTACCGGCTTCTTCTTCTCTTACGCATTTAATACTATTGGACTTCAGGGTCAAAGCCTGTGGAGCATGCTCAGAGCGCCTCGGCCAGATTTAGTACGATTTCAGTTGCACTATCATGTTTATCCTACATGTATTTTAAAAGTCCAGTTTTAGTGGAGCTAACACAAAAAAAATCTATTTTCTCTAGTGTCATGGAAACGTACTGTCACATCTATTCTACGTTAGCTTGTTCCAACTGTTCACTGAAGCTACAGAATGTGAGGATTACACCAGCTCAAATATTCAACCCAAAGACCCCATTAAATGGAAATATTCTTGATGTCTTGTACATAACATTTTTTTATTTTTGTCCCCAAAATTATTTGACATTTTTAGTAACTTTGGAATCTCTACTAGAATTTAAAACAAAGATCTGTGAGGAGTTTGAACAACGTTTAACAGCAAAGTGTGAGCTGACATTGACACGTCTGATGGGTTTTAGAGGTTAACACATTTGTGAGAAGTGAAATTTGGTCATTTACAATTGTGACTTGAGGTTTCTGTGCCTTCATTTCACTTTCAGTGTGGTTCACTGGTGGTGCCATGGTTTAGTTTCTGACTAAAAATAGAACAATTTCCCTCCCTGCATATTTTTCTCAGGCTGACACAACCTCTCAGTCGCCGGCCCCTGGCTCGTCGGCCAAACTCGACCAGGTACAAGGTCAGGTCAACGAGGTGAAAGTTATCCTGAAAGACAACATCAGCAAAGTGCTGGAGCGAGGGGACAGACTAGATGATCTCATCGGCAAGACTGACGACCTGCAGGCCTCCGTAAGTATCTGATAATGATGGCGGCCCACAGTGTGAACTCTTGACCCCGTGATTATTGATAAGGTTTTCATTAAAGCAACAAGTCTGTTTGAAAAATGTGTTTTACATTAGTAGAAAATAACTTTACTGTACTTGAGTACAATTTTTCAGATACTTTACTTAACTATTTCCATTTTCTGCTACTTTATACATCTACTCTTCGACATTTCAGAGGGAAATATTGTACTTTTTTTTACTTGCCATACTTTTCAGATTAAGATTTCACATTAAAAAACACACCACAAGCTGATAAAATACAGTCGTTTCGAACCTTTTTGCCTTGTGACAAAAAAAAATCGATGCTTATGTGGGGCCCTTTGTCATGTTATGAGTTCATCAGAGAGACATTTCCCCTTTGAACTTCCCAGATAAGTTCATGTAAATAAACTGTTTGAGGCCCAAAGAGGTCAAACTAAACAAAATATTTAACAATATTTCAAATAATACAGAAACGTCCAACAAACGAAAATGAATTTGTGTATCAGAACTTTGTGTTTTTGTCTTGCTGACCAATTATTAATCTCACGACCCCTCAGATTCATCTGGTGACACATGCATTTTCACTTAAATACTGAAGTGAAACTTATCTATACTCTCTTCAAAGCCAGACTCCAATATTTAGGTTATTTAGTGAAAATGCATGTGTAAAAAAGTACTGAGCATACACCTGGTTAAGTGACACTCGGATTATACTGCATGAGTTGTGTCAGAGTATGTAAACAGATGTTTTAATATAGTTTTGCTGTTGTTAAACATGATCACCAGTCAATTAATTAATCAATATCTTTGCTGTTTTCAGTGGAGGCGTGCAAAATAAACATTATCTTTATAAGTTAAAGGTAACACAGCAGGACTACCTAATTTACTAAAGATCATTTTATAAGTGAGGTGTTCCTTTAAGGCTCTATAAAACTTTTATCCCATGTGCAGTGATACTCCTTAGTATGGAAGCCCATTGCTGCCAATGTGATGGGAAAAATAAATCCTGTTGGTCATTATAACGGGAAACGTTCTCAAAATAATGACTCACTTATCACAAAATATTGACTTCATATTGCCAGACATTAGGAACATGTCTCAAAATCATATTTTAATAATCTTGAAATTACTTAGTATCTCAAAATATTATGTCATTGCTTTAAGCTAATGTCATTTTTTTTTCTTAAAGTTTCTCATTATGTTGCAAAACTGAGTCATTATTTGAGATTAGTCATTATTTTGTCGTACCAAGTCATTACTCTGAGATATTGCATCATTATTTTGGGATATTATGACACTATTCTGAGAAAGTTTCTTGCTATTTTGTGAAACTCAATTATTATTTTGAGATATTAAATCATTATTTTGTGATAGTCATTATATTGAGATGGTTTCTTTAAATTTTGCGATATCAAGTTGTTATTTCAAGACACTGTGTCATTACTTTGATAGTTTCGTTTAATTTTGTGATACTGAGTGAATATTTTGAGATATTGTGTCCTAATTTTGAGAAAGTTCCTTTAATTTTGCAAAACTGAGTCATTATTTAGACAAAGATTCTTTTAAAGTTTCTTTTAATTTTGTCAGATCACTTCATTATTTCAAGATACTCTGTTATTTTTTTGAGAAAGTTTCTTTTCATTTTCAAGTCACTATTTTGATAGTTTCTTTTAAGGTTGCCGTACCTTGTAGTCATTGTTTTGAGATATTACATCATGATTTTGGGACATTATGTCACTATTTTGAGAAAGTTTCTTTTTAATTTGTGATACCAAGTAATTATTTCCAGACACTTACTTTGTCATTACTTTGATGAAGTTTCTTTTAATTGTATTAATTAAAATATCGAGATATTGTGTTCTTATTTTGATTACGTTTCAATTTTACGAAACCGAGTCAATTTTTTGACCAAGTTTATTTTAATTTTTTCTGAAACCAAGTCATTATTTCGAGATACTACGTTATTATTTAGAGAAAGTTTCTTTTAATTTTTTGTTACTTAATCATTATTTTGACATATTGTGTTATTGTTTTGGGATACGACGTCATTATTTCGAGATACTACGTCATTATTTAGAGAAACTATGTAATTATTTTGAGAGCGTTTCTTTCTATTTTGCAATACCACGTCAATATTTCAAGAAACTATGTTATTATTTTAAGAGTTTATTTCTATCTTGTGATACCACGTCATTATTTCAAGATGCTACGTCATTTTTTTGAGGAAGTGCCTTTTATTTTTACGTTATCACGATTATTTCGATACTACGTTATTATTTTGGGACACTATGTCACTATTTTGAGAAAGTTTCTTTTAATTTAGCAATACTTAATTATTATTTTAAGATAATGTCATAATTTAGCAATACCAAGTCATTATTTTGAGATACTGGATCATTATTTTGAAAAGTTTCTTTTAATTTTACAATACTAAATTATTATTTTGAGATATTGCGTCATTATTTTGAGAATGTCTCTTTTAACTCTGCCATACCAGGTCATTATTTCAGGAAAGTATGTCACTATAATAAGTTAAAGGCTTTTTTCCCCTTCACATCACAAGGCAGTTTTCATCTTTCTTTTTCATTTGCACGACCTATGAAAACTATTATGTAGAATTAGTGGAGTTCCCCTTTCAGTAAAAGGATCTGGGTACTTCTTCCATCACTGGTGTTTTATCAGGTTTCCTTTATGTTTCTTTTCAGGCTGACTCGTTCCAGAGAACATCCACGCGGGTTGCCAGGAAGTATTGGTGGAAGAACATTAAAATGATGATTATAATTGGTGTGATCGTGGTGATCATCGTCGTCCTCATCATCCTCTTCGCCACGGGTGTTATTTAAAATCCGATCTGTGCTCCTTCACCAGCTCAGGACTGAAAACAATGACGACAGCGTATAAAGCTCACCCCTCTTTTATTGGGCTTTTTAATTGCTCTCATGAGAGTCTCTGATCATTTCAGCTCAAACAGATAAGATATATTTATGGAAATTCAAAGGATACGTGATTTACTGATTCAGTTTCTCTGCCGTAAAGTTTCAAATTCAGACGTGCAAATTGTCATAAACTTGGCTGAAATACTTCTTTGAACACTCCAACAGTCATGAACACGTACTTGTAATATTTCACAAAGGATCACAAATCCAAATGAGCATTTATTATTTTTATTTTTTCGCATTTCATGTCCAATTAACTGTATATACTGTGTGTTTATGACTGTCAAACTCTGTAATAACATATGTAATATATGACTGATGACTATGATAAAGAGGATAAACTGCAACAACGTATTTCAGGCATTCTTCACTACCACAAAACTGGATATATGTGTGATCTGTTGCAACCAAGCTAATATTTAAGTTATGAAATAAATGAAGCAAATCCACAAATAGCATTTGAGAACATTAAATACAAAAACAAGGAGGGATGAGGAACGCAAGCTGCTCAAACTCTGCAGCAATCTAAATAAATGCAAAACACCAAAACGTTTTTAAGATACAACAAATACTCGGGTAAATATGGGAGGAACTGTTCTGTAGGTCAAAGTGCTCTTCGTTTTGTTTTAACAATCAGCTTAGTGATCTTTGCTGGGAACCATCATCTGTCTGGCCAACGCTCCACCAGCTCACTGCCGCCTGTCATCACTCTGACACCTATGGGAAACAAACAAAAACAAATCAGCTATAGATGAATAAAAAACTGTCATATCACAAAATTAACAGGAATCCCCCGTGTTTATAATGTCCAATGTTTTAAAAACATAAGAAAAAACAAACTGAGAACAATTATTTTAACACTTTTACAGTTAAAAAACAAACAGTTAGTCCATAAGCTAGAAATCCTGAGGTGCAATAAATCGAAGACGTCAAAATACTAAATGAAAGAAACCTTCGATTGGTCAAAAAATACACATTAAAGAAAGCATTACATGCTGGAAACGTCTTGTTTTACAAAAGGTTATTAAAAGGGAAAATTTGTTACAGGAAAATTAACAAAAGAGGAGTCTTTTCCATCGCTGTGAGTAACACAAAACAGAGCAATACATTTACACAAAGTAAAAGCACTTTATGCCCCCAACACAGTCTTGTCCAAATACGAACCAGGTTTTAGCTCATGGACTACTGCCTACAAGAGCTAAATAAAGAAACAAGCATTTTAGATAAGATTAGCAATGCATATAAATTAACAATAGGAACTGGAAAGTCCAGAGAAAGCTGTACGTATCCTTTGAAAAGCAAATAGTTATTTTTTCATATTTATAATCATTACTTGTGGGGGAGTAAGGGCCTGGAAAAAATGACAATTACATGTGTATATTTTAAGTTTTACATTACAAACAGTTGCAAAGAAATTAAAATGGAAAGAAAGATGACAAAGCTGGACGTGTCCCATATTGTTTAGTTTAGAAATGCTGATACAGGATGTTGTAAGACCATACCAAATGGCAGCATTCGAGAGCGTATGCTTCTCGTACCCGGTCCGCATTGAGCGGGCCCTGAGAGTATCTGGGAGTCAGCTCATGGCCTGCAAGGAAGCTCCGCTGGCAGGTACAAACAAGGTATGTCAGAGTTAGGAGACAACATACTTCCTTTTCTGTTTCCTTGCACATCCTTAACTTTGGCATCCATTTACTGTAGTAGCAGTACTTTACCTGTTAACTTTACAGTTAAAAAAAAAAAAAAAAAAGAAGGTGCAAAAGAGGCAGCAGAAGGCCGGCTGTTAAAATAATCGCCACAGAGTGTAGCCTCTATGTTACCACTACTGTAAAGCACTTGAGGGTGCTGAGAAAAAGAAATTTACAAGAGGAAATTATACATAATGTTACCAAACAGCAAATTAAATATAACTACTTTAAAGTTTAAAGTAAGAGGCGTATTTCTGTCTTTACATACCTACTTGAAGATGAGTTTCCTCCGTTAATACGGCTTGTAACTGTTGGTGTGACCACCACGCCGTGGCGACTTGCCATATCCACCAGATTGATCTACGAGTGTGGTACAAAATCTGATTACAGTCATTTTTATCATTTCAAAAGGGTTTAGAGAAAAAATGGAATAATGAGATTTGGGTCAACTCACTGTTGTAGTCACCGTATCCGTAATAGTTGTTGTACCCGGGGTAGTCATAGCCACCATATCCCCCATAGCCTTGATTACTGTAACCATAATTGCCATAATTCCCATAGCCTTGATTCCAGTAGTTGCCATAACCCTGGTTCCAATTTTGATTGGGACCTGCAATTAAACAGGGTTTTAATCAAATCACTGCGGTTCTTGTCGCACGACCTCACAGCAGTTAAAACTTATTTTTTCAGCCTCAAAGCCATGTGCTTATTGCTGGTTGGTCGGTCGGTCGGTAGGTAGATAGATAGATAGATCTTTGTCATTGCACGAGTACAACGAAATTGGGGGGCGACCGTTCCAATGCAAAGAGCCAAATAAAAAGCATGAGAACAAAAGATGAATACATTATGACTATAAAAAGGAAGTAAAAAAACATATAACGCAAAACATTGCACATTACGCCCACAGGTGATACGATCATATTGCACAGAAGATCACAGTGTGTTCAAAGTGTTCATATTGAGTGCAGTAATGACTCTGGGATAAAAACTGGTTTTCAAAATAATCAGATCAGGTCTCTTTCATTCATTATTACGCCTCATTTCCAGTCGCGTATGTGACTGGTGTCTGTAGATCTGTAAATATACGGATGATGCCTCTAGGGATGTGTGCGATTAGACGTCTCAACGATTAGACTGGAGTTTTAAAACAGCGCGGTGGGAAATTAGAGAGATGTCCTCTCATAAACCAGCGCGTTTTGGCAGCACTTTGATCTAGAAAATGAATTCAGCAGCATTTTATCTTTATGGAGACGTTGTATTATTTGTTAACTTTAAGTGAGTTGTTGTGAGATAATGTGCAGGTTTACATTCATACTGCACAGAGCCAAATGCCTCTCATTTCAGCTGGAATTTAATTATTATTTAGTTGTTTTATTAGCTCTAAAGTGAGTTACTATCATTTCTGTCAGATAGTCTGCAGGGTTCAATGTGCCCCACATTTCAGAGGCAGTTTATTTATTTTAGATGTTATTTTAGTGGTTAACTTTAGACTGAGTTGCCGTCATGCTCACGTTCATACAGCACAAAGTGTCTCATACTTCAGCTGCATTTAAAATCCAACATGGTTGTTGAAGATTGTGATTAAAGGCTTCAAAGGGCTCTTAATGCACACAATATGTTTTGGGGCAATGTTTCAAACACTTAACAATAAGTTGTGATAAATTTCGACTGTTTTCTGAGTGTTTTTCTTTTTTAGGCTAGTCGACTAGTCTTAATTAAAGTTTTCGTTTAGTCGACAGGGAAATTTGTCGCCAGGAACATCCCTAGATGCCTCTAGTGTCCAACATAAGAAGGTGCATATCTTTATGGAGGGATGAAAACCTGATAGAAACTACCTGTAGTTTTGAGGTTCTACCTTCTTCTTGAGGTAGGGAGCATGTTCAAAAGCTTCTGGGGTGGTCACATTCAAATTGCAATAGGTGCAAGTAAACAAAAAAAACAGACTGTGCAAACTTACGTATTTTAAAGTAACAAATGAGCACTATCGTTACAGGCTATATGCATTATGCTGACATGCTCTACGGAAACCAATTATGTGACCTACAGTTTTGCTCTAACATCCACATTTTTTCACAAATTCAAAAGAAAAAATAAGCAGACTGAAAATCAAAGGAATAGAAATAAAAAATATCTTGAGCAGACTATTTTAAGACCCCTTATATCCCCACTTATCTGTCGGCAAGAAAGTGAATAAGCTTATGTCACAAAATGTTGAACTACTCCTTTAAAGAAATGACTGCAATTTAGTCAAGTTGGTCGTCACTATATTTTCTTATTCCAAATAACTTACTGTTTAGTAAGGATTTAAATGGTGCATTATTTCCACTTTACTTTTAATACAAACATCCTCAGCACTCACCACCGCCTCTTCCTCGAGACCTGGTGGAGTATCCACCTCTGCCTCCCCAGTACTGCTGCTGCTGGTACTGCTCCTTGGACATTGCCACTTTTATTTCACACTAAAGACACACCAATTAAGTTGATTTATTCCCACAGACACATCATGTATCAGTTATATAAGTCATAATAATATGTGACAGAAAAAGAAAAAACAGCGTGTACCTTGCTTAGTCCGATATTGTGATACTTCTTCTCCATGATGGCCTTCACCGGCTCCTCCTCTTTGAACGTGATGAAGCAGAAGCCTCTCCTTTTGTTTGTTTTGTTCTCCATGGGAAGTTCAATGGACTCCACCTGTTCACATCATCAACAAATGTAGAAAACACTGATTATTTATCATGCATGTACACTGGAGAGAAATTCATAAAATGGATAAATGTGATCCCAAAAAGCCACAGCACCAACTCAAAGCCAATCTCACCTCTCCGAAGGCACCAAAGTACTCTCTGACTTTCTCCTCAGGAGTGTCTGGAGAGAGACCGCCGACAAAGATCTTCTTTACAGGCTCCTTGCTCTTCATGGCTTTGGCTTTTTTGGGGTCAATGACCTTTCCGTTGAGTTTATGCTCCTTCTGTGTGGCGACCTTCAAAGCAAAATAATCGATCGACAATAGGGTCAGACAAATAATCTTTTAAGTGTTAATCCACAACTGAGCCCAAATGCAATGGATGTTTATTTGTTGTTAGCCAAAGAATCAGACTGGATTACCTTTTTTTAGTTTATTGTAGAGCTTTAACTATTTTCATTATCAATGAATCTGCTAGTTAATTTTGTCAGTTCATTACTTAATTGTTTTATTTTATTAGCTGCCTGGAAATGCAAAAAAGTTTACAACTCAGGTTGATAAATCTCAAGGTGACATATTAAAATAGTAAAAATTGTCCAAAACTCAAAGATATTTGGTTTACAATGATCTATAACAGAGACAAGCAGCAAATGATCCCATTTGAGAAACTGGTAACAGCTGATAACTAGCTTTTTTTGTCTGACCTTTAAATCCCTATGAAAATCTTTATTTTGCATGACACGTCAGTACTGTGCATGTGGCTTTATATGTACTCTGATTAAAATGTAAACACTGCTCATGGGAGGAGGACAGTACCTTGTCAACACTTTCCGGTTCTTTGAAGAGCACAAAGCCAAAGCCTCTTGAACGGCCAGTCATGGGGTCCAGTTTTAATGTGCAGTCTACAACCTCACCATACTTGGAGAAATAATCCTTCAGGTCCTTTTTAGTGGTGTCCCAGCTGAGCCCTCCTACAAACATCTTCCTGTTGACAAAACAGCAAGAGGACACCATGACTCATAATGCAGATAAGGACACATGTACGTGCTTAACTGTAAGTTCAGTGTAATGTACCCATACCCCTCAAATATAACCTGTAAGGTCAGTGTAGTGTACCTGTACCCCTCAAATATAACCTGTAAGGTCAGTGTAGTGTACCCGAACCCCCCGAATATAACCTGTAAGGTCAGTGTAGTGTACCCGTACCCCTCAAATATAAACTGTAAGGTCAGTGTAGTGTACCCGAACCCCCCGAATATAACCTGTAAGGTCAGTGTAGTGTACCCGTACCCCTCAAATATAACCTGTAAGGTCAGTGTAGTGTACCCATACCCCTCAAATATAAACTGTAAGGTCAGTGTAGTGTACCCGAACCCCCCGAATATAACCTGTAAGGTCAGTGTAGTGTACCCGTACCCCTCAAATATAACCTGTAAGGTCAGTGTAGTGTACCCGTACCCCTCAAATATAACCTGTAAGGTCAGTGTAGTGTACCCGAACCCCTCAAATATAACCTGTAAGGTCAGTGTAGTGTACCCGAACCCCTCAAATATAACCTGTAAGGTCAGTGTAGTGTACCCGAACCCCTCAAATATAACCTGTAAGGTCAGTGTAGTGTACCCGAACCCCTCAAATATAACCTGTAAGGTCAGTGTAGTGTACCCGAACCCCTCAAATATAACCTGTAAGGTCAGTGTAGTGTACCCGAACCCCTCAAATATAACCTGTAAGGTCAGTGTAGTGTACCCGAACCCCTCAAATATAACCTGTAAGGTCAGTGTAGTGTACCCGAACCCCTCAAATATAACCTGTAAGGTCAGTGTAGTGTACCCGAACCCCTCAAATATAACCTGTAAGGTCAGTGTAGTGTACCCGAACCCCTCAAATATAACCTGTAAGGTCAGTGTAGTGTACCCGAACCCCTCAAATATAACCTGTAAGGTCAGTGTAGTGTACCCGTACCCCTCAAATATAACCTGTAAGGTCAGTGTAGTGTACCCGAACCCCTCAAATATAACCTGTAAGGTCAGTGTAGTGTACCCGTACCCCTCAAATATAACCTGTAAGGTCAGTGTAGTGTACCCGAACCCCTCAAATATAACCTGTAAGGTCAGTGTAGTGTACCCGTACCCCTCAAATATAACCTGTAAGGTCAGTGTAGTGTACCCGTACCCCTCAAATATAAACTGTAAGGTCAGTGTAGTGTACCCATACCCCTCAAATATAAACTGTAAGGTCAGTGTAGTGTACCCATACCCCTCAAATATAAACTGTAAGGTCAGTGTAGTGTACCCGAACCCCTCAAATATAACCTGTAAGGTCAGTGTAGTGTACCCGTACCCCTCAAATATAACCTGTAAGGTCAGTGTAGTGTACCCATACCCCTCAAATATAAACTGTAAGGTCAGTGTAGTGTACCCATACCCCTCAAATATAAACTGTAAGGTCAGTGTAGTGTACCCATACCCCTCAAATATAAACTGTAAGGTCAGTGTAGTGTACCCGTAGCCCTCAAGTATAACCTATAAGGTCAGTGTAGTGTACCCGAACCCCTATACAAACTGTAAGGTCAGTGTAATGTACCTGTACCCCTCAAGTATAACCTGTAAGGTCAGTGTAATGTACCTGTACCCCTCAAATATAACCTGTAAGGTCAGTGTAATGTACCTGTACCCCTCAAGTATAACCTGTAAGGTCAGTGTAATGTACCTGTACCCCTCAAATATAACCTGTAAGGTCAGTGTAATGTACCTGTACCCCTCAAGTATAACCTGTAAGGTCAGTGTAATGTACCTGTACCCCTCAAATATAAACTGTAAGGTCAGTGTAATGTACCTGTACCCCTCAAGTATAACCTGTAAGGTCAGTGTAATGTACCTGTACCCCTCAAATATAACCTGTAAGGTCAGTGTAATGTACCTGTACCCCTCAAGTATAACCTGTAAGGTCAGTGTAGTGTACCCATACCCCTCATCCTCCTCGTTTTTACTGGCGTCGATCCTCGATCCCTCGGCCTCGCCCCCCATCGGGCCAGAGTCCCCGGCCGCAGACATCGGGTCATCACTGTTTGCCTCTCCATCTTCTTCCATCCTCATCATGGTCGCGTCATCGCTGAATTCATAATCGTCCGCCATTGTTTTGGCTTTTGGAAGTTGTTGCTAAACTCAAGCTACGTCAGAATTTCCTGCAGAAGCTAAGCTGTCAGCTAACGCTAGCTAGCTAGTATATTTGGTACCTTTACCTGTAACTCTTTGCGGTAATTAGAGCGAGCTATCTAATTAGTTAAAGTAAATTAAATTATAAAGTGCGTTTGAATTTCGGCAAACTGGCTTTCAGAGAGGCACAAATTTCTTTCAGGTGCTACAATTTGACAGGTGATTTGTGTGCGACGTTTTGTTTTCATCGCAGCCTCTCTCCTTCTGCGACTGCGTCTTCTTCGTGTGGCGTAATTGGCGGGTCGCAAACAGCTTTCAGATGCAGTACCGCCACCCAGCGGCGGAGTGTGGAATAATTATCTACACTAAAGCCATGACAATACAAAAAATAAAATAAAATAAAATTGAAATAAATCAATTAAACAAAAAGGAAAGTTATCATCATCACCATTATTATTATTATTATTATTATTAGTAGTAGTAGTAGTAGTAGTAGTAGTGGTGGTAGTGGTAGTAGTGGTAGTATTTATCTGAATAATAATAATACATTTCTGTTTATTAGTCTTGGTCCATTTTTAACCACAGGCTATCTCTCTGATGAACAGTTAAGAACAGTCATATGCTGTCAGTAACGCTGTAGCACCAAACATCTTATGTACTTCCCTGTCCCTATAAATTATAGAGGCTGTTTTTATAGATTATACACACTGTTTTTAAACATGTAAATATTAACACTGTCAGTATGAATATTAAAACACTGTAGCACTGCCAAATCCAAGTACCTCATTTAGAATAGTATCATGGGGTTACAGCCAAATATATCAAAATATATTATTTTTCTGTAAAAAGCTTTTATGGAAAAAACCCCAGAACATTCATAATGTTGCTTTGCATCATTTTTTTGTTTGTTATGTATGTTAGTATGTTATTTCCATGGCCTGGAGAGTTCATTTAATATCTGTGAACATGAACTACACAATACTCAATTAGAGGGTCAACCCAAAAATTCCATGCGACCTGGGACCCTTTGATACTTTATTTTGAAAGACTTAAGACTATATATGGAGCTCTTAATATGCCAGAGTGTAGCTGTAAGAGTTGTAGATAATGAGCCTGTATAATAGGATATCCACAGATTTAATTTATTTTTATTCCTAAATACATATTTGTATTTTGTTGTGTTTGTCTGTTTATTTTACTCCTCGTTTTGGTATTATAATCTGTGAAATGTTTCTTGTACGTTATCTTGTAAAGGCAGTATGGGTGGGGATAAAAATTAAAATGTCATTTTTCTTTGTCAGTTGCTGGTATGCCCTTTTTCTTCCATAAAATATGTTAAATAAAATAAATAACACTCTTTCAAAGCCAGAAACCAGAGAGATGAGTGTCAAACTTGTGATGTTGTAGCATAAAAGGTCTGTAGCTGTTCCATACACACTGTGAATGAAACACAGATTTTTATGGCCCCACAGCACATTTGTTTTCTTTTTTATACCCAAAATGACTTTTATTCTATTGCAGTTCTCAGTTGTGTAACAGAAAATGTACCCATATATATAACCAGAACATTCCCCTAGGTGCTTCCACTGTCATCTAGGCTATAACATCTTTCTCAGTCCGCTGTTTGTGGAGCAGCTCCACATTTTATACCCTATGACATCACAAATTTGAGTTTTAGCACTTTAGTTTTTGGATTTTGGAGAGAGCAGTGATTTTTATGCAAGTTTTTGGACTGTCTTAGATGAAAGGAATTACATGTATGAATTTTTTAAATGGGTGAAGTTCCCCTTTAAGTGACAGGTTTATGGTTCCCAACATGAAATACAACATACCCACTGAAGGATTCATATTTTTTATTTCATTTTTTATTGCATTATTATTATTATTATTATTATTATTATTGTTATTGTATTTTGCTTTATTAAACATACTTTATTATATGAATGCTCTCAGTAATGCTCAAGCGGTTAGTAATGAGCAGCTTCCGGTCTGATTCTTCTTCGCCTCTAGTCTTTCCGGCAGACTCCCGCTCAGCAGCGCCCCCTCTGCGCAGCGGCCTGAACTGACAGCTGTGTGAAAACATGTGTGCTCACTGCTCCCTCAGTCAGTGTTAGCTGCGAGCTGATGGCAGAGCACAGTCAGTGACCAACAGCTAACCAGGTGCTACATCCCTCAACGCGTTGGATAACCTTTGACCTGCTTCACCTGTCCCGGGGTCAGTTAGTCGGAGAACCAGCGAGGAGCGCGAGCGTTAACACTGTGGCGGTGCTGCTAATTATAAGCTAACGTCAGCTAACTCAAAAATGGCCACTGTTTCAATTCCTGCTGGGACCAGTGCACTCTTGCTGGATATCGAAGGAACAACAACACCCATCACATTTGTAAAGGTGAGTTATATTACACAGATGTGCTTTTAATGCATATTTATTTAATAACATTTCATTTAATCATGTAGCGCTCAGCAACGGCTCATGCTAACAGATGACTGTCAGCAGTAGCAGCCCAGCTAAACCAGCTTAGCTTAACGGTGTTGGACCATTGTGGACTCACAGCTGTCAAACCTCTGTTTAACTCAACTTTTCCTTCTCTGATTGTATACTTTATTCATTTTTCTCTTTTTATTTGCTTTACACAAGTGCCTCGTTTAATACTTAATGAGTTCAGCTGGCTAACTGTCATAATATTGAGTCACTGCCTGATAATAACAGACCATATGCTACTTTTATTTCACATCGGAGTGTATGGAGATTAAATTGTCTCAATATTATTTGTTATTTGTTAATGTGTGATCTGTACATTTAAAACTACTTCCACAACTACAGAAAATGTGTAAACGTATAAAACAATTTTACAAATACAAAACAAATCCCAAATCTGATTAAAACAGACCATATGCTCATTTTATATCACAGTTGTATGGAGATTAATTTGTCTCAGTATTTGTGTGAACAGTTCGTCAACCTGTGTGTTAATGTGTATTCTCTCAATGTAAAACAACTTCCACAAATACAAAAAAATTGTAAACTCACAAAACTATTTTGCAAATATAAAACTAATCTCCAAATACACAAATAAATTAAAAAAATTAAACAAAAAGATTATGTGTGTAAAATGCAAATGACAAATAAAAAATTAATTCACAAAAAATCAATTGTAAATGTCTGGAAGATATTCACAAATGATTTCCATTCTTTGTAAATAGTTAAAATATATTCTCAGATATTTTTTATTTGTGGAATCTGTATTTACAGATCTGTTGTAAATTTGCCAAAAAAGCTTTTTGACTTCACAATTTTATTTTTATATTTGTGGAAGGTTATTTTACATTTAAAAATTTACAGATTAACACATGGATTGTTGAACTATTCACACAAACAATACTGAGATCAAATCTATCTCCATGTAGTCGTTGTTAAAAGTTTCCAGCTTTTAAATAAGATTCATGTCAATATCACAATTATAATTACAACTGTGCATTTCTGATTTTTATGAGAGCTCCAACTCTTTATTTTAATAATATGGAAGCACTTCAAATGCAAACATGGACAACTCAGGTTAGCCAAAATCTGACGTTCTTTGTTAAGTAATTAAACCAAAATTTAATGGAGATAATTCTATAAAAAAAAATTATCTTTGTAATCATAATGCTACAGCTCTTAGAAGTCATCAGATGACGTCACTCTAACCAGATGTTCATTCATTCCATATGGCATGAAAGCAGTATAACATAAGTATGAATACATAAGAAAGTAATGAGTGTTCAACCTTGAGATTTATAAATAAATATGATCCAGTATATTTGTGTCTGATGTTTTTTTTTCCTCTCTGCTAACACGCCTAATGACTCCACTCTGTGTTTTCCAGGATATCTTATTTCCGTACATCAGGGAGCATCTTGAGGAGTACCTGTCCAATCACTGGGAGGAAGACGAGTGCAAACAAGATGTTCATCTCCTAAAGAAACAGGTAACGGAGTCACAAGCCTTGATAGATTTAATCACATTTAAGAACAAATCTCTTCCAATAATCCAACAATATCTTACTATTATCAGCTATCAGGAGGGGAAACTTTGGCCCTTGATGTTCCTGTCAGTGTTTAAGAGCTGCAAGTATTGATCAGTTTTTAGTGGAGGGAATCACCAGAGGCCCCATGATACAATGTTATTGTAATTTTAAACGTTTTGGGATATGCTGGGGATTGCAGTAACACATATTGTGATTTATTTACCTATTTTTAACTGCTGATTATGACCTCAAAGGAAAATTTCATCATCTGTTTTATCTAATAAGATAAAGTTCACTTTTTATTGCAGTAAAATGTATCTAAGAAAGCTGTTGATTTTATTTTTCTAACAGACTTCCAAGAGTTTAATTTGCATTTGCAATCCTAGTAATTTATCGTATCAATGCAATATTGGCACGCAAAATTATGCGGGATCGATTTTAGTCCCTCACCCCATTAGTTTTATTGTCGATTAACCTGTCAGTCATTTTATTGAAAGACCATTTAATCATTTAGTCCATGAAATGTCAGAAATATGCTATATATAGTTTCCTAAGATTCAAGTTGACATATTGATATTGGTTATTTTGTCCAACCAGCAGTCCAAAACACAAATATATTTGTTTTAGTATCATAAGATGAAGAAAACCAGCAAATATTCACATTTGAGAAAGGTCAATATTGGTATTTTCACTTGAAAAAAAGAATAAATTGATTATTGAAGTAGTTGCAGATTAATTTTCTGTCGACCAACGACTTGTTTCAGTATTGTTACGTTGTTTAATTGCTTTTGATTTGCACAGATGATGGATTTGAATGATACATCTCAGCACTACAAAAGAGCCGGACTTATTTTCTCGATTAAATAAAGTTGATACAAAACAAAGCAAAAAAGCATGTTGTGTTCCAGATACCCAAAGATCTGATTTGATGCTCCCTCAATAAAAAAAAAACCTGACTGTCGCTGCAGATTGAAGAGGACATGAGACAGAACCGGTCGGGCCCTGTCCACGCCGTGGACCAGACGGTTCACACGGACGAGGAGAAGGCCATTAGGGAAGTGGTGGATAATGTGCTGTGGCAGATGGCTGCAGACAGGAAGTCGACAGCACTCAAACAGCTCCAGGGTCACATGTGGAGGTCAGCGTATGCTTCTGGGAGAATCAAAGGCGAGTAAGTACACTGACCATTTTCCTCACTTCAAAATTCAGACCTGTGTGCAGATGCTGACTCAGACTTTAGTGATGACGTGGCACGGTTTCCAGAAACGGAACTTGAATACTGTTTGTACCTAAACACTTATCGACCAGACAGAAAATTAATCAGCATTTATTCTGTTTTTTTTTTTTTCCAGTTTGTCAAAATTTACTGCTTTTATTTTCTTACGTGACAGTAAACATTTACAGTTTTGGACTCTAAGCCCGACAGTACATGTAGTTTTAAGACATCACCTTGTTCTATAATTACAATTTTTGGGCATCCTATGGACCACACGATGAATTCATGAATGAAATGAAGACAATTACATTCATCGATACTGAAAACAATTTTAGTTTGCAGCCTTTTAGACAATAAGTAAAAATAAAATACTTTAATAATGTAATTCTAATAAATTTGGGGTCACGGGGCGTCAGTGGCTTAGTGGTAGAGCAGGCGCCCCATGTACAAGGCTGTTGCCGCAGCGGCCCGGGTTTGACTCCAGCCTGTGGCCCTTTGCTGCATGTCACTCCCTCTCTCTCTCTCCCCCTTTCACACTTGGCTCTCCTGTCCATTAAAGGCAAAATGCCCCAAAAAATACCTTAAAAAAAAAAAAAAATTAAAAATTTGGGGTCACAGCCCCACGTAAACAATAATTTAAATAAAACCTTTATTATTCCTGAGCGGGGAAACTTAGTTGTCACAGCAGCACAGAGAAAGAAATGAATAGAAAAAGCCTGGAAAGTAACAGAAATAAATAATAAGTGTTTATAACTAAAATAAGAATTAAGAAAATGCAAACTATACAAAAGCAACTGTGTAATAATAATAATAATGTTTGTACTTATTTTTATTTGATCATTAATAGTTATTTTATGTGTAATGTTATCATTTGTCACAAGACAAAACTAGACTGATGTGTCAATATTTAAAGTATTATAATTATATATTAATCGGTGTTGAAGTATATCATAATTTCTTTGCAATCCCTTCTGAGATCCTGAAAATAGAAAACATCTGTAAACCATGCCAGAATTCTTAAAGTTTTGATTTCTGAGGTGATTGTGGGACCTGAAAACTGCATCAACGAGCTTTATGAACGTAAAGAAATAATATTTATCTTCTGATCTTGGTTTGCTTGTTAACAGGGTCTACCAGGATGTAATCCCATCCATCAAGAGATGGAGAGAACAGGGACTCAAAGTGTTCATTTACTCCTCTGGAAGTGTGGAGGCACAGAAACTGCTGTTTGGATACTCTGTGGAAGGAGATGTTTTAGATGTGAGTCCAGTCGCCGCTCTCATTGTACGTTGTGTTTTTCTATTAGTTTAAAGCAACTGTAAACTAATAAGACGTTCTTTTAATATTGATTCCAGTTATTAGACGGTCACTTTGACACCAGTATAGGAGCTAAAGTGGACAGCAAAAGCTACGAGAGGATTGCTGAGAGGATCGGCTGTCAACCGGAGGAAATCACATTCCTGACCGACGTCACTCGAGGTAAATATGTTAGCAGTAATGTGTTTAAGGCCGTCTTGTATTGGACACACTGAAATAAAACAAAGGATGTGCTCCTTCTATAATATAATATGATTTAATGGGCTGATCTGAAATCAGGTTTTTATGATTGAGGACTTGTATTATGTGTCGTCATATTTCCATGAGCCTCAGCTGTTCTTTGTGTTGGGTGTTAGCAGTATCATGTAGCATTTAGCTCAAAGCAAACCTCCCAAAGCTGCTCGTCTCCTTAAAGGCGCCCTGTGGAGTTTTTATGTAAACAAATGTAAACAAACAAAATTTCTGTCTACGTGTTTACATTCAGTGTTCAGTCAGCAGAACTTGTGTGTCTCCCTGAGGTCAGGCAAACATGGTGAATGCACTTCCTCCCCTGTTAAACATTTGCAAAGCTGCTTTTTCTAACAGTTTAAAACCTGTGTTGTTTACAGACTGTTTACAGACTGAGGCTACATCCACACAAATACAAATTTGTTTTAAAATGAATACGTTCTGCTACGTTTACACCCAGCGTCCACACCTAAAACTGAGGCTTTTGTAACTGCTGCTGATCCTGTTCAAGTTTAAAAAATCTTGGGATTGCATTTTAGGTTTTTGTTTTATTTTATTTTTTTAAATGATGATGCAGATGCGCACAAACACTTACTGAATGGGTCTTATCAGTCACAACACGTCCCTGATTCGTCACAATCTATCAGGTGACACTTTTGTAGAAGAAAACAAAGGACATCAGACTGACTACCAGAGCTTAATTCAACACGGATAACAAATTACAGGTGTTGCTGACCTTGTTGTTGCTATTGTTGTTCTCCCTCTGTAGTATTTCTGCAAAAACAATCTGCTTCCTGTTTACACCTGGATGGTCATGTGATATGTATTTACAGGCCTTAGTATGGACGGAGATACTTTCTGAAACGATGCTCAAACGCTTGTGTAGACGGAGACTTGAAAACAATGTTTTAAAATGAAAATGTATCGGCGTGGACGTAGTCTTACAGTCTTCTTGGTTCCAGCCCTTGTTGGCGCAACAGGGAACATACACATGCCGCAATTTTTTCGCCCTCAGATTCATTGTTTTCAATCTAGACGCGCACTGAAATGCCAGAGTGACACCAGAGTGGCATGCACGTGTTCCCAAGTGCCTGTTTTTCAGGGTGGAACAGCTGCAGATAAACTGTATTTACAGATCTGTTGTAAAGATAAACTAAGTTCAGCTCTTGGAACGCAGCAGTGTGCACCGCATATCATGTGACGAGGGCCAACCAATCACAGCTGACCGATATCTTTCCCTTCCTCTCTAAATATCAGTCTTTGGTAGATATGGAGAAGAAGTTGATCATTTTAGTGCAGAGCTGCTAGAGCTTTACATCTGTCTCACAGACACAGAAATAGCGCCTGGAAGTAGATCAGCTCTGCTCTCAGGATTTCAGTTAAATAGGCTACGATACAGAGCTTGTTCAGCACCGTACACCCTCTTAAAGCTGGCACAGAAAAAGCACAAGAGTAGCACCCATCGCCTGACCTCTCATTTCCCAGGCTGTTAAAGATGCAGCATGTGTACGGTCCCTTAGTGCCACCTGTTGATCAGTGGAACAGTGTGAAACCATGTGCATTATAACAACAAAAAATAAAGTGAAAGTTTGATGGGAACAGCATGCCACAAATAAATCTTAATACATTTCACTTTGCTTTGAGGCTGTGTTAATGTGGCTTCATATATTCACTCATACATTTGTCGTTGCAGAGGCTAAAGCAGCTGAAGAAGCCGGGGTGAACGTGGTGGTGGTGGTCAGGCCTGGAAACATGGAGCTGACGGATGACGAGAGGGCCCACTACAGCCTCGTCACATCCTTTAGCCAACTTGAACTGACGGGACGTGCTTAACGCAGAGCGTGGAGGACGGCAGGGAGAACTTCTGATTTCATACTGACCTGTTCCTTCTCTTCTTTGCCCTCCCAGCCCCCCCTCACCTCCCTCCTTTTTACAACTCTTAATGTTTTTGTTTGTTCCACGTTGACAGTTCAAGAGGTGTAGGAGATGCTGCTGGGGCTGCAGTCGGCCACCAGAGGGCCACTGAGGTCCCAGCCTGTAAGCAGTCGGTCTGTCAGGTCTGTCAGGATGCCTTCACGTGTATGGAATCAGATTTACGGAGCGCTACACGATCATCACTCTCACTGGACCATTTGATCGACCGGGAACAGAAAAGCTGTAGATAAAACAGAAGCAACAAGCCTGAAGGAAACTCCACACGTGACCTGTGAAGTTACTTTTTACCTTTTAGAGGAACCGAATCTCCAATGCTAAAACTTTCCAACTGTATGTGTCGTATTTGTAAACATGTTCCATCCATGTGCCGTTTCCTCCCTCTACACGTACACGCGTGACGCAGAAGTTTTATCCAGTGGTTGAACCGTTTAACGTTGTAATGTTTTAGAAAGTAGACCTACAGTATAGTGGTGCTGCTGACAGGAAGTTCTCATTTCAAACTTTGTCTTAAGTAGTCCCCCTCAGCAGGTGAATGGTGTCTATTTAAATGTGCCATCCTCGTAGCGTTGGTGTTGGAAAGTTACCATAGGAATTGCCAAATTGATTATTTATGTGTGTGAAACATAATTGGTATTATTCAGGAAATGATCATCTAAAAACTGCTTCCAATAAATGCCTTGTCTCACACTGACGTCTGTCTTCTCCCTCAGTACAATGTTCATGTTTGACTGTCTAAAAATACTTTGTGTTCCTGTATTAAAGCTTCAGACTGTAAATCTAAAACAGTGAGAGGGTCCAAATTATCCCTCGTGGTGTTGAGCCTCACAGGTACTAGTGTAGGGTTTATGTGTCAAACCTTTAAAGGAAAACTTTGACATTTTGGGAGAGGCGTATTTGCTGTCTTGCCAAGAGTTAGATCAGGGGTCAGCAACCTTTACAAAATCCATCTGGAGACGCAAAACACATTTGATTCTCATGGCAACACTGCGTATTGAGTCTGAATTAACCTATCGACATTAAAAATAGGTCTAAATGAGCATTCAAAAGTGTGTTTTACCACAAGATGGCTCCTCTGCAGTGGGCTATTTATGATTATTTGGTACTTTAGCTTTGCAGCGCTGGCGGTAAAAGCAAACAAATCCGTCCACTCTTTATTAAATTATGTATTTTCCAACTTGTCTAACTCTTCCCTTTAAAGGCCTTCACACGCCAGGGGTGCTTTTTTGTGCAATAAATTTGTATGTCAGTATATTTTTGTCAAACTATTTTTGGACGACTGTTCTCACACAGATGAGCAAATATCATGCAGCAAAAAGAGCTGTCATTTTTCTTCCAAACAAGGTCGGTTTCTCTGAGCTTTTGCACTGCAAATAAAGGCATCAACTTATCACAGTGTGCAAAAAGGAAACCACGTCACAATTTCACAACAATGGTGCCCCTGCTGCAGCTGTCACACATTGCAACTGTCATCAGCATTGCTGCCGTTATGAATAGATGTGATGCGAGCAAGCGATTTTTTTTGTGTCATTTATTCGTCACTACCCTGGTGTGTAGAGACCTTAAAATTTAGGAGTTTCTTTAAAGAATTACCACTGGAAATAAAGGCTTTCTGTTTTATTTTGTAACACAAAGGTCGAGATAAAAGTACAATGACTTCTTCATGTCATTCTTAATGTAATTCTTAACACTGAATCTGTTAAAGCCTAAACATGACGGACATCTAAAAGCACCGCACTCAGCCTTAAAGGTCCAGTGTGCAGGATTTAGAGGGATATATATGCAGACATGGAAAACAAAAAGTACGTTTTCTTTAGTTTATAATCACCTGAAAAAAAGAATCATTGTGTTTTTGTTAGCTTAGAATGATCCAGTTACATCTACACAGGGAGCAGGTCCTTGTTTATGGAGATCACCATGTTGCACCGCCATGTTTCTACAGTAGCCCAGAACGGACGAACCAAACACTTGGTGCTTCTCAAAGAAAAGGAAGGATCGGCCGAAGTTCGAGGAGGCTACGTCATTGAATCCCGTCAATGTCAAGGATCCTTTGAATTCTATCGAGGGCAGAGTCCTTCCTTCAGAGAATCTTCAAGGGTGCATGTGTGTATCCTCAGCAGGCATGAAGTACCCACAATTCTTTGCTTGTGATTTGCCAGAATTTAAGGCAAGGCCTCTTCAGTGACGCACACCTGGGCTTTTGCTAGCCTGTTCCAATGTGAGGAGTAATGCCCAGCCTCTGTAGGACCTGACATGGAAGGACCCGTCCTACAAAGGAAGCATCTTTGACTTTGAGAAGCACTGCCTGGCTCTAGATAGGACATTTGTGTTTTCACGAGCGTAGTTAGCAGCCGATCTGCGACAAGCAGTGAAGGAAAAACATATTTTCTTGACATGGAACTGTTTTATTGAGAGTTTTTACCGGTTTAAATCCCCTGTCTATTTGTTTGGAGAGGAAGAGACCCAATCTGCAATACTCACCACTAGACGCTCCTTAATCCCCCTAAATCTGACACACTGTTCCTTAAATAATACAGTATTAACTGCACAGTTTAATGACCCCCAGAAGCAGGACTAGCTGTTCCCCGCTTTCAAGTCTTTATGCTCAGCAACAGCTGGATTCAGCTTCATCACTCCAAAATCAGTGTTCAAGTTACTGTGAATAATCCACCATAAAATCACTCTAGATAGTTTTCACCCTCAATACTAAAAGATGCAAAAATCAGAGGACTAAAAAGGCATTTTTTTAAATATATTTTTACTGATACTGATCTCACATAATCCTCCAAAAAAGCAGTGTTGAAAGTGTTTAAATGAATTCACTAATAAAACATCCTTGCATACAAAGATAACTGATCAATGAAGATATGTCCTTCTGAATGCCTGTAACAATAAAACATGGACACAGGAAGCTGGCATCATGTGTAACTGATGATAACAGCACCTGAGGGTGTTTAAACATCAGACAGTCTAATGTCCCTACAGCTGGTCCGGCTGGTACCGGGATGCTTCAGAGAGTGTCTAACTGGCTCACCAGACGCCTGGAGCCATCTGTGCACGTGATTTCAAAGTGGCTGTGACGAAACTCGATAGCGAAGGTGCCGAGGAAGGCGAGGAAGAGCATGACCAGCGCCCACTGGCTCTGAGCTGCTGGCATGTAGAGGCGCAGACCCAACAGGGAGAAGTCTGCAGCAGAAGAGTTAAGGATGCAAGTGAGGGATAAGAGTGTTTGGACACAGAACATGGCAACCTGTAAACTCATGCTCTGCTGTCACAACCTGCATGTGGTTTAATAGAAATACATTTTTATAAACTGTAGGATTTGCAGTTTGCTAAAGATAAATAGTTTTGTAGTTTCACTGTAGAATACTTAAGTATGTAATCCCATTGAAGTCAATATTAATTTTTAAACTATTTGTTTTAAGTCTGTTGCTTCTTTTTTGAATGTGAAGTTTTAATGCTGTATGTTAAAACCTTGCTGTTGAGTTTTTAGTCTGTTTGTCTTTAATGTAAAACTTTTTATGCTCTTGTCTTGGTCAGGACTTCTTTGTAAAAGAGATTTTGAATCTGGGAATATTCCTGGTAAAATAAAGGCTAAATAAAAAATAGAAAATGGAGGAAATAAAAGTCCCCCTAAAAAAAAGTCCTCACTTTTAAAAAATCTATTTATTTATTGAACTATATTGACTAATTTATATAATTGTTTACATTTATATTTAGCTTTATTGTCTTGTTTATTTATTTCAGGATTTATAGAGTCAGAAATTAACCAGCTAAATTAACTTGGTTAAAGTGTACAATAATAATTGCACAAAAAAGAGCCAGCAGCCTGTTAGCTTAACTTAGCTTAGCATGAAGACTGGAAACAGCTGAAAACAGCTAGCCTGCCTATCTTATAAAGTAATAAAATCCACCTCTAAAGATCACTCATTAACACATATCATCTCATTTGTTTAATCTGTACAGAAACTGTAAAACAATTGATTTTGTACAGAGCCAGCCTGGCTGCTTTTCTGTTTACAGTCTTAGTAAAGTAAGACTATAAACACAAGCTAACTGTTAAGCTAACCATCAAGCTAACTGTTAAGCTAACTATTAAGCTAACCCGATGCTAAGTGTAGCTTCATATTTTATGGTACAGGCATGAGAGTGGTATCTTTAAGAGTACAGAAAACTATTGAACTCTTCCTTTCTGTCCTTTTTAAAAGATTTTTTTTTTTTAAATACAAATGTCAAACATTTAACAACTCCAGGATTTGCTGCCTTAAATATTTTTCGGGTTTTTGATTGTTGGTCAGATCAAACAATTTATCAAAGATCTTGGACTTTAACTGGAGAAAATCTATTTTTTTTAATTAAAGGATCAACTGCACGCTTCTTTGCCACCTGGCAACCCTTTTTAACTTTGCAGTAAATATGTAAGCTGAAAAATTGTAATGAAACATGTAACACTCTCCTTCTTATGTCACACAATTAAATTGTCGTCCGTTTTTTAATTAATTTTTTTTATTTATTGATTTTATTATTTTATTTCATTTATTTATTTATTTTAAATCTCTCTATATTTGTATACTCTTTTTATTTCTTTTTTATATTTATGGATATATATATATATTTTAAATTCTTTTTAATGAATTAATTTATTTTTTGTTTTTATCTTTTATTTTCTTTCGCTGGCGTGGCTTTCTCTGTTTGTCTCGGGTTGGTGGGTGGGTGGGGTTGATTACTGTCATTGTTTGTTCTATGTTTGTTTGTAGATGCTTTGTGCATCTTATTGAATTATCAATAAAAATACCTTCTTTAAAAAAGATCTTGGACTTTGTGAAATTGTAACGGATTTTTTTATTTATTTTGTAAATTTTTTTTTTTTTTTTTTACCAATTTCTGATATAAATAAACCAAACCAACCCAGTCTCACTCTGAAGTCGTCGAAAGCCGGTGCTTGGGAAGTGACTTGCGGCGTCAGACACTGAAAAAAAAAAAGCCGTCCTTTAATGTCGACATGATACTCTGCCAGTACTCGTTATAGTTTAATGGTGCTCAGCGGTGTCAGGGGGAAGCATGGCAAGACAAGAACGAAAGCTAAGGCATCAAAAGTCAGAGTTGGGCGGTTAGGAGTGGTGGTGGATAGGTCCAGCAAACACTGACTTTCACCCGGAAAAGCGGTTTTCAAGTCCTGTAAGATCCTAAAGCCAAATCCTGTTCTTTTTTCCTAAACCCAACCATGTGCGCTGGTTGTTTGAGGGGAAAAAAAACAACGTAAATTTGCGGTGTTGTACTGACGTAGTGCTTTTATTTTGAAAGATACTTCATGTAAATGTTAAATTTCCTGTGAAAACAGAAGTGTATTTTGAAAGAAGACAATGCATGTAACAGGCTGACGTTGACACAGTGTCCCAGAATGTCTGTGAACGTATGTGGACATGGAAAGTCCATGACCAATATGTGATGAGGTCGGAGTGAGAATGTGTCGACCAAACAACTAAAATGATCATCAGTAAAATGTACCAGAAAACTCCACAGGGCCCCTTTCAATTCACAATGTTCCTTCCTCTGTGAAGCTGGTATGAGTAAAGGATACAGAGTACCACGCAGACGGTGATGAACCCAGACAACAGGAAGCGGACGACGGCGGCCTTCTTCCCCTCATTGTGTAGATTAACTCTCAGAGTGATGTAAGACTGCATCCAGCAGAACGCAGCTCCCAGTCCAAAGGTCACGAACGTGCCAAAGTTATGGATCATCTCCTCAGTGAACACCTGAAACCAACATCAATCAGTTAACCCTGATCAGCTGCTGAACACGTGCGTCTGTCAGTAGTGCACGTTACCTGGAAGTTTCCTACGAGCGTCATCCCAAAGCAGGAGACACAGAAAGCCACCAGACAGCCGACGTTCAGCCACTGTTTGTCCATCTTGTTTTTCACCTGGAGGTATCTGAGGACGGCCAAAATGAACCCTGCAACACAGAGGAAGATTAATAAACTGTAATTTGACGTGTGGCACAAACCTGTGTGAACGTGATCAACACGGCTCGCACCTACGAACGCAGATAAGTTCATGACCTCGCTGAAGATGCAGCTGGCTGGTGGGAAGTTCCCCGCAATGCTGAAAGAGAAAACATTTGTGTTTGCAGCTCTGGAATGAATCATGTTATAGCTATGCTTTTATTGTGAAAAGGAAATGATGGGTGTGTACCTGATGAAGGGGGGATACTGGGATCCATTTCCTCTCCTAAAATCAAATAAAAGTAACTTTAATCCAAAGATAAAGGAGATAAAAAGAGTCATTGTTTGATGGAGTTAATATTGTTTAATTCTTACTTGTATTTAGCACCCAGGGGAACAATCCTCCCTTCACTGAGAGCCACAAAGTATCTGATAAATGCATCAAACACAGGAGAAAATAACATAATATTAGAGATGAACAGAGTTATAATACACTGTAGTGTCACCTGGTACAGGTGTGTGTGTGAGACAGACATACACAGATTATCAAAATGGATCCCTGGACACAGGCGTGTAACAAGCTCCCTCATCCCCTCTACACTGGAACAACATGACACGTCTTTTTGAGTCTCTTTAAAGATGTTTTTGTATCTTTGCAGTTATTTTAAGTAGTTGTTTTGCCTCTTCATAGTGTTCTGGTAGTCTCCTTGTAATCTTTTAGGTGTCTTGGTGGTTGTTTTGTGTGTCTTCATAGACATTTTTGTGTCTTTGTAGTTGTACTGTGAAGTCATTTTGTGTCTTTGCAGTCTTCTGAGCCTTGTGGAAGTATTTTTGTAATCGGTGAGGTGTCTTTGTTGTTTTTTGTCTCTGTCATTTTACATCTTTTTAAAAATCATTTTCATCTATTTATTGTCATTTGTGTGTCTCTAGGTACTTTTGTATCTCTTATAATCATTTCTGTGTCTTTGAAGTTATGTGTATTGTTTTACCTCCTCTTGTCATCTTTTAAGTCTCTGTGTAATCATTTGCTTCTTCATTTTTGTGTCTTTGTGTCTGAGTAGTTTTTTAACCTCCTCTTGTAGTCTTTTGAGTCTTGTGGTATAGCCTCCTTGTAATCTTTAAGGTGTCTTTGTGGGGGGTTTGTGTCTCTTTATTGACGTTGAAGTTGTTTTGTGTGTTATTGTAGTGATTTTGTGTCTCTACAGTCGTTTTGAGTCTCACCTTTGTAGTTGTTTCCATCTTTTTGTAGTAGTTTTGTGTCTTTGAAGTTGTTTTGTGTCTTAGTGATCATTTTACCTATTTATCCTTGTAGTCTTTTGAGTCTCGTGGTAGACTTTTTGTAATTGTGTCTCCTTGTAGTTGTTTTGTGTCTCCTTGTAGTTGTCTTGTGGTAGCTTTTGTATCTTTTTTGTGCCTTCCTGGTTGTTTTGTGTCTCCTTGTAGTTGACTTGTGGTAGCTTTTGTATCTTGTTTTGTGTCTCTTTATAGATGTTTTCGTGTACAGGAAATTGTTTTGTGTGTTTCCGTGGTAAATTTGTGTCTGTTTTAAGTCTTTTTGTGTCTTAATTTCATTGTTGTTTTGCATCTTTTTGTAGTGGTTTTGTGTCTTTGAAGTTGTTTTGTGTCGTTTTACCTCCTCTTGTGGTCTTTTAAGTCTCTTTGTAATCATTTTGCATCTCTTGATAATCATTTGCTTCTTTTTACAGTCATTTTTGTGCCTTTGTAGTTGTTTTGTGTCTCTTTATGGACGTTTTTGTATCTTTGTAGTAATTTTGTGCGTTTTTAGTCATTTTGTGTTTTAAGTGTGTCTTTGTAGCTATTTTATATGTCTGAGTAGTTTTTTTCCCCTCCTTTTCTTTTGAGTCTCACAACAGCGTTTTTGTAATTGTTTGTGTCTCTTTCTAGTTGTTTGCTGTCTCCTTATGGATGATTTGTGTCTCTATAGTTATTTTGTGTCTTGGTAGTCGTTTTATGTGTCTGAGTGGATGTTTTGCCCCCTTTTGTTGTCTTCTTAGTTTTGTGGTAGTCTTTTTGTAAACGTTTCGTGTCTCTTTATGGACATTTTTGTATCTTTGAGTCCTTGCTGGGGTTTCTGTGGTAGTTTTGTGTCTTTACAGTAGTTTTCTTGTCTTTTTGTCATTTAGTGTGACTTTGTTGTTACTTTTTTCTCTTTCCGTAGTCTTTTGAGACTCTTTAAATTTAATTTTGATCTTTTTTTATTATTATTTTCATCTATTTATAGTCATCAGTGTGTTTTTAAGATACATTTGTGTGTCTCTTAGTCGTTTTGAAGTTGTTTTGTGTATCTTTTGCTTCTTTTAACAATCATTTTTGTGTCTTCTTAGTCATTTTGTGTCTCCTAGTAGTTGATTTACCTCCTTTTGTTGTCTTTTGAGTGTCTTTATTGTAATTGTACGTCTTTTTGAAATCGTTTGTCTTTTTATTTGATCTATATAGTAATTTGTGTCTCTTTGTAGTTGTTTTGCAACTTTTAAAAATCATTTTGCATTTATCGCCTGCTCTTCATAGTTGTTTTACTATTCCCTGTAACTAACTCCAAGTCGCTTCTTGCTTTAAAAATGCACCTTACATAACCACTTAGTCATTGTGTTGCTCAGTACTTCCCCAATCCATGCATTTTTGCATAAACAAAAACAAACTTCATATCCTGCATACACTCATGCATGTTTCTAGGAAGTACTGAGCCTATGACTGGATAAATAAGACTTGGGTTGTACTGCAGTTGTGCAAGAGTTTGTAAATGGAATTTTTGATAAAATTTTGCTGTTGTTAATGTGGGACCCAAATTAGTTAGTTAATCATTTACATGGAGACATACAAGAATAACAGGTAACAGGTTCTTCAGGTAACACGGCATGACCCATTGATTTACAAATAGCCATTCTGTGGGTGAAGTATTCTTTTAACTTCAGTATTTAGTTGACACTGCTTGACTCATGTCTAAACCTTCCTGCCACAGCAGGTCCTCACTGACACTCCTCTGCACAGAGATTAAACTTAATCCTTCAGCACACTGTACAAAATATCACAAAGAAACCTTGAGACGTGGCTTCTTCTTCCTTAAATTATAATTATTATAAATTCTGCTGTAAATGTGGCGCTATAATTAACAGAACTTACACCACCCAGAGTCCAGCAGCAGTGAAGGCGGAGTAAAGTGGAGGCAGCAGAGCCCACAGGCTGCAGCTCCACATCTTGACTCAGTCTGTCTGGAAGACATTAATTTATAATATCATAATGTGGTGTGGGAGACATTTACATTACACACAGGCTGCAGCTCCCCTGCTTCATTCAGTGCTACTGTAGTTTCTGTATTTAATAATTAATGCATGAAAATAAAACTCAGTGACAGGACAGGAAGTGAGCAGCAGAACACTTCTACATGTAAACAGTAAAGATAATAAACAGGTTCTTCCTGTTGGTTTGTAAACAAAAGGTAACTGCTGTAAACTGTTGATGAAACTGCCGAACTTACCTGTCCGTCCCCGGGGGGGTGATCCGTCACCGGTCCGACCGCCGCTCTGCTCCGCTCAGCTCCGGGGCTGCAGGGCTGCGGGGCTCCAAGTGAGCGTGAAGGTTACGTTACAGTACGTTACACTGCAGCCTACATTAACTTCCACATTATCTGTGTTTATAGCGGGTAATTACTGTCGGTTACAGCTCTGACACACAGTGATAAGAGTGTGATAGTGTCTTCGTGTCATCACACAGCAGGTATGAGTCAGATTAACTTTGACAGGAGAGCGTTTCCGATTTTAGCGCCAGTCGTTTCAAAATAAAAGCGCCGAAACGTAAATCAATAGATAAAGAAATAGGATACAGTACCCTAATCATAGACTGTTTAAAAATAATTTAAATTTAAAAAAAACAAACAATAAAATAAAAAAGAATAAAATAAACTTAAATAAAAATTAAATTAAATTAAAAATAAAATAAAAATTCTTTTTTAAATATAAATAAATAAATAACTTAATTGAATTAACTTAATTGAATTAAATCAAAAATCAGATTTAAATTAAATTAAATTAAATTAAATATAAATCCTTATGTAAAACACACAGGGGCGGTAGAAGTACTCAGATCTTTTATCTAAATAAAAGTGGCTGTAATATACTATGAAAATACTCACAGTAAAAGTACTACATTCAAATTCTTACTTTGAGTCAGTGCAGTGAAGTTACTTTTAAAATGTAATAGGTTACAGATTACTAGTTACCCTGTTAAAAATATAATGAGCAATATAACTTTTTTAATTGCTTTACTGAAGTAATGTAACTTATTAAATTATTTTTTATTTTTATTACTTTCCTAATAAATGTTTTAAACTGGGCAATAAAACATATATACAGTGATGGAAAAAAGTTTTCTGACACCCCATGCATTTGTGAAATATTGCATTAAGAATCACTCTTAGGTCTTCAAGTGCAATTTCTTTTAGTACAGTCACAGCCAAAATACTAAATAAATCCTAAAAAAGCCATTAAAAACTTAAAATTGATTGGTTCCATAAAAATACATACATACAAATTTTGAGTATTGGGTCATTTTGGTACCAGTGATGAAGGTCGTTCTTTTTATTAAAAGACACAATTTTTGTTACCAAGCTTCGTGTCTACATAAAGCCAGCACATTTGAAAGTTCTTCAGACACAAAAATGGCTAAAACAAGGAACCTAACGCAGGAAACACACCTGAAGATAAAGATTCTCAGCCAGGAAGGGTACAGCTGCCGCCAGATAGCCAGGAAGTGCAGATGCAGTCCTTCAGCAGTTGGATACACACTGCAGAAATACAGACGAACCAACAGTTTGGAAGACAAACCAAGATCTGGGCGTCCAAGGGTTTCTTCAGCAAGAAGTGACCGCATCCTGATCCGCATGTGCAGGCAAAACCGCCGAATGACATCACAGGAGCTTCAGCAGCAGTGGTCAAACCAAACTGGTGTCCAGTGTTCCACCCGCACTGTACGTGGCCGACTTTTAGATCATGGCTTAAGGTCCTACAAGGCTGTCAAGAAGCCCCTGATCAATGAGAGACAGAGGTTAGCCCGGCGTCGTTGGGCCCAGGCACACAAGAACTGGACAGCCAGGAATTGGAAGAAGATTTTGTGGTCAGATGAGTCCAGTTTCCAGCTTTATCTTCCTCCTACTAATGTGAGGGTACGCAGAAGGCCAGGCGAAGCATTATCTCCAGCATGTACAGTACCTACTGTCAAGCATGGTGGAGGCAGTATCATGGTTTGGGGATGCATGAGTGCTGCTGGTGTTGGTCATCTCACTGTCTGTGATGGCACATTGAACTCTACCAAGTATTGTACCATTCTCAAAACCCACATGCTCCCTTCTGCGCGTGCACTGTTCCGTCGAGGTAAAAACTGGATGTTTCAACAAGATAATGTCCCTTGCCACACATCCAAGGCCAGTAGAACTTGGCTGCAGGAGCACAGTATCCAGGTCTTAGAGTGGCCAGCTCAATCCCCGGACATGAGCCCCATTGAAAATCTGTGGTGGATTATCAAAAGGTCTGTTTCAAAGCATAAACCAAAGAATTTAGAAGAATGAAAAGCAGTAGTTCAAGAAGAATGGGACAAGATTACCCCTCAACAGTGTGAAAGGCTCGTGGGGAACATGCCAGCCAGGATTAGAGCTCTACTACGTGCCAATGGCAGGACTACTAAATATTAATTTGATGATGTGATGGTTTATTTATTTTTTGTTCAGTTTTGAACACATTCTCTGTTATTTGTTGACTTTGATACCGACAATGTTGAGAACTGACATATTGAAACTGTCAAGAAATTAGTTTTGTTAGTTTTTCTTGTAAACAATAAACAAAAAAATATAATTTGTATTTGTTTGTATCTGTCTAATGCAGCCACACCTTTTGAAACACAAAAAAGATTTTTCCACAAATATTTCATGATAATATTTGAGATTGTGTAAAATTTTAAGGGTGTCCGAAAACTTTTTTCCACCACTGTATAAACTAAATCCACTGAAAAAAAGATATTCAAATGTAACCAATTTGTAATCATCAACATTTATATACACGACTCCCATGATGGCCAGGTGGGTCAACGACTCACGTGTGACCTTAACGGCTCTGTAAGGGTTCCCACCCACACAGAGTTTAAAGCCTGCAACTCCGCACCAGTCAGTTAGAACTGAAGAAGCTTCTTGGATGAGAGGTGAACGTCTTCAAGAAACTCAAGCAAGTCCAGTTGCCTACGATATAGCACTTACGATAACCATGACATGGATGACTGAGAGTCTTCACCGAAATCTCAAGCCTCTTAAGAGTTTTTCACCTTTGGAGCTCTCTTACGGGCTCAGATGATCTGCGAATAACTCTCATCTTTACCAGGATCTAGTCTTAATGTTAAGGAGAAATTCTGATTATTTTCGGGATTATTGTCTTTATTAGATGGGAAAGCTTTAGCGTGAAATGGGGAGAGAAAGGGGATGACATGCAGCAAAGGGCTGGAGTTGGAATCTAACCAACAGCCAGTGCATAAGGACATGGCCTTTGTACCACTCTACTAGGTGAAAAAATTCTCTACCCTGAGAAATTCATCCCGAGAAAGTGTCATAAGTTCAGGAACTGTTCTTGGAATTTTGTCACTCGAAGCAACTCATTATACTAGTAAGCTTAGTGACCACAGGCTCAGGTGTAAGCTTTGTAGACAGCACCTAAAATCAAAATGACGTGACATCAAACTGTAAATAAATACTATTTATTGAAAATATTGCATGTAGTCAATCTTAAACAAAGACTTGTTTTCCTTTATTAACAACATAAACTGAGGTTGACCGCTCAGACTACAGCCCTCATTGTAGTTGGAATGAAAATCAAGTACAAGTCTCCTTCCAGTTTCCTTCTGAGGTCTGATTAATCAGCTGATAATTACCTCCGATGCCATTAAAGACGACTTAGCGTTGAAGCATGCATACTTTAAAATTCCATTAAAAGCAGTTGCTTTTTTTTTAAAAAAAAAAAAAAAAAAAAGTCCATTGCACTCTGCTGAGCCTCATGATTACACTGAAACAAAAAGAATAAAAAACTGAAATAAAACATTAAAACGTCCTCAACAAAATGGGATTGCATTGCTTTGCATTGACGTATCCCACACACTGACAATATCTTGGTCCAATGTGTTTTTATGTAGTGACACCAGTGGTGAAAGTAAGCCAGTGAAAGCACAAAGAGGGGATAAGGGTACAAACAAAAGTCTTATTAGGTACGTTTTTAAAAAGGTTTAATGTTGCTGTAAAGGAGCAGTGTGGACGATTTAGGGGGATTTAGTGACATCTAGTGGTGAGGATTGTAGATAGCAACCAGATGAAATTTCTTCTAGTTTGAGTTCCTTCCTGCAGCACTCTTTGTTCAAGAGGTTTTTACCAGGAGCCGAATCATCTACAGAGGTCTCTTCCTCTCCAAAACAAACAGATGAAGTCATTCTAACTAGTCAAAAAACTGAATAAAGCAGTTAAACGTTACAAATCAATGTTTCTACTCCAACATTTAGCTTGTCAGAGACTCGCTGCTAGCCTAGCACCCGCTAAGGAGTGCTCACTTTTGTCACCGATAACTTAAGATCCTGACGTTCAAGAGTTTTTTACTGGGAGCTGAATTATCTGCAGAGGTCTCTTCCTCTCTGAAACAAACTGACTTAACTGTTCTACTCCAACATTTAGCTTGTCAGAGACACGCTGCTAGCCTAGCAGGTGCTAATGAGTGCTCACTTTTTTTCTCTGACCACTAAAGATCCAGACATTCTGGAGGTTTTAACCAGGAGCCGAATCATCCACAGAGGTCTCTTCCTCTCTGAAACAAACGGACCCTGTGATTTAAAGCGGTAAAAACACTTAATTAAAGACGTTTCATGTTGAAAAATCAATGTTTTTCTGACGCTCTCATCGCTAAGAGGCTGCTAACTACAGTGGCCGATGCAAAAACGCAAACGTCCCTATCTAGAGCCAGAGTTTGCTTTGTCCGTCCTGGGACACTGTAAAAACATGGCGATCTCCGTAGACAAGGACCTGCTAGCTATGTACATATGAACGTCTCATTCTAAGGTAACAAAAACACGACGACTCTTATTTCGAGGTGATTACACACCAAGGAAAACATACTTATTATATTATATTCCATTGCTGCCAATATATCCCCCTAAATCCGACACACTGGGCCTTCAAATACGAACAAAAGTCATATTAGCTTAATTTTAAAATAGCATCAGTTTTGCTTGAAATGCTTGTGAGTGATTACTGGTTTAAGTCAGTCTAATGCCCTGTTGTTTAACTCGTCTGTCTTCTCTAACCTGCGTCATCTGCAGGTCTGAAGCAAAACGCATGCAGGTAATGATGCATTATGTGTAAACCATAAAGCACGATGAACCTTGGAGAGAGAATCCTATGTGTTTATGGATTATAAAAAGGTATCTGAGCATTATTGTAGTGCACAAATATCGAAAGACTATAAAGATGAACAAGCTAATGATTGTGAGCTGAAAGCATGCTGCTCTGCTATGTCAGCAGTCTGATATTAATGCCGAATTCGACGAGATTTAAATGTACAAAATTTAGTTATGATCATCTCAACACACGTTGACAGAAATGCCCTTAAGATTCCTGAAGTTCCTGTTGCTTTTCCTACTTCTGTTGGTCTATAAATGCCATAGTAATTTAGGTTTAATTCCATATTCAACATACTGAAACTGTGCCTTCCTTATGTTTAGCTAATTCTGAGATTTTACTTTTATTATGCTTCAATACAATTACTGCATATTCATTTAATTTTCCTATGTTGATTCATTCGACTACAAGTTTGGATGAAAAACAAACGTTTGGTGTCGCGTGTTCTTAGATTAAAGATTGCAGTTGAATTTAACTCGTCTCAGCCTTTGTTTGCACAGGGCCCAGATTTTACTTTCACCACTGAGTGCGACTGATAGCATGGCTTGTGTTTGAGTTGTCAGAAAACGAGAATGGCACAAAGAAGAATTCAGCAGGATTTTTCGTACATCTCAGAATTCTTCCTCGTCCGCACTGCGAGTCTAAAATGGAGCTCCCTGTGAAAAGATCTCGACCGCTGAGCGCTCGCTCTCCGCCGTCCGCCGGTCACGAACTCTGGGAGGAGTTTCAGACGCCGAGTTTGTTGGCTTGTGTCAGCACCACCTTGAGCACGGGCATGAACGCTGACGTCTCGCTGAAGTTGCTGTTGCTGACTATGTGTGTGTGGATGTTGAGGCCCTCCGTGTAGGAGCGGGACTCTATACTCCTGGCTATGTTGTGAAGTCCTCCGACGATGGCGGGAGAGAGCTGCAGAGAGGAAGAGAAGAGTGTTAGTGAGAATTATCCTGTGTTAACTCCAGCACAGATATTTCGCAGGATGAACAATCAATGTGTCCTGATCTGTCTCAAGACTTTGGGCCTCAAGCATCAATATTTTTGTATCCTGAACCTCTCTTATTCTTTTTTATGTTAAATTTACTCGTGCAAGTTCTGCTCACTTCTGGACAGTAGGCTCATCCTGTGGAAATGGAAAGACTCTTCACCTCCAACATATGGACATTGGATTAAATGTTATGTATCATATACAATTTTAGCCACAAACAAGTCGCCCCACACTAATTTAAGAATCAGAATTTTAGCTGGATCAGTAGTTGTTTGTTGTGCAGTTTGAGGGGGTCAAAGCGTCTGAATGATCAAACGATTTTCTGGCATCAGCTGTCTTGCAGTTTGAGTAGTTCTATGGTCTGATTTCCTTCATGGCTGCTGTCAAAAGATCAGTTATAAACCATAGTGAGCGTATTTAAATATTACTGGAGTAGTGTTTTACATGTTGAGACTAAAACTGAGGTCTTGAATTAAACTGTGCCAGGGTCTAAAACTTAACAGACACCATATTGCCTCCATCTTCCAGCCATCTGCAGCTTTATACGTTTCTTGTTTTCGAAGGGAAAATGTGACCTGAATTTTTCAAAAATTTCTCATGGGTTTAGAGATCCAATTGACTAATCGAGAAAACAATTGGCAGATTGATAACCAGCCGGGACAACGACACAACAGCTGGAATTGTTTTCTTCTCATGAGTGTGTGTGTCATCACGGCAACATGTGGTGCTAGTGACACCAACTGTAGCAGCGACTACCACAGAAGCTGTTTGACTATTTTGGCAGGTATTCATATGTCTGTCTGTTTTCAGAGATCAAAATGAAGGCCAGGTTCGAAAATAGGTGCAGTCCGAGCGAAAGGGCTGCAAGTTTGGAAGGAGCTATTGGCCCCCGACTTTACACCCAGATTTGTGCAGTGGCAGTGACCCACCGTCTGACACCGGCTCACCGTGAGGAAGGAAACAGAGGGCTCGGCAGTAACAGAGCACCAGCTGCAGCAAGCCAACATGCCGCAGACTTCACTACAAGCTGACTGGCTTTAGAGACACTTTACGTTCTAAAACGAGCCACTGGTGTCTGACCAGCTGAGTTGCAGGTGACACCATCATACGGGTGCTTCTTGCATGAGGCCCATAAATACAATCCATTTCTGTTTTTAAATTCAAAAACAGCTTATTTAGCCAAGCTTTTTATCGTGTCCTCTGTCATGGTGCAAGAAACAAAGCCAAGCGGATACTCACTGTCTGCTCTCTGAGTTTATCATAAAGCGCTTCCAGACGTTTGTTGGCGTCATCAAGCTTCCTCTTAGTTTGCTGTAAAAGATAAAATAGAGAATGATTACACATCCAGTGACTGAGTTTGTTCAGTAGAGATAAATGTAACTGTTCTCCCAGTCAGTTAAACTCACAGGATCGGTAGCTACAGCCAGACACTTCTGGATGAGCCCCTCGAACGTGGTCTTCAAGACCAGGTGCTCATCGGGGATGGGCTTCTTCATGATCTTCTCAGCAGGGATGGACTGCAGAGGCTGAAAGGGTTAAACAGGGTCAGAAGATTAGAACAAGTCTGCTGTGTCAAACACATCTTTATATTCAGTGACACGTGTGAACTGTGTACCTGTATAACATCTCCCGTAGGTGCTCCTGGTGCGCCCTCCATGCTGGTCTTGGGCATTGCAGGGTTCAAGGGTGGAGGTGGAGAGGAGAGCTGCTGCTGCTGGTGCTGATGCATGCCTGAGTAGGGGACCTGGGCACCATGTGGGCCCTGGACCATGGCTTGAGGGGCCCCAGCAGGCATCGGCTGGGCCTGAGGGTCACCACCAAGTGGAGCCATGATGGGAGCAGTGATGGGGGCCGGAGGGGTGTAGTTCATTGGAACCGGCTGTGTGATGACAAACACATTTTATTCACACATATATTGTTACACCAGTGTTTCCCCTGACGTTATAATCAATACACTTAACATTTAAGGTTGAAATAATGTACCTTACTTCAAGTATAATGTTTCTGAATGTTGTGGTGTCATTTCAGCGTAAAAATGTTGTGTATCTCTTCAAAGACCGCAAAGAGACAAACACCATCAACCTGACAGCTGAGGTGATGCAGAAACATCAGATGCTGCGTCTCTGTGCTCAAATCAGCTGCCACTAAAAATGGAGTGCACCCGTATTCTGCCCTTTACGGTAAATGCATTTAAACGGCCCAGGATACACGTGAGGCTACGTCTGCTTTTCAAAATAAGGTGTTAACACAGAATATATACAAATTACATAAATGGAAATAAGACTGACTGGATTGTGTTCAAAGGAAGTATAAAACATGTCACCAGTGTCCCTTATAAATTAAGAAATCCCATTAAATTGTGAAAGAAATGACTTAATTCTTTGATTCTGAGTCACTGAAAAAAAAAAATCCTGACAATGACTAATTCAATTCAGGACATCTATGACTATATAAAGACTCAAAATCAAGATCAGTCAATCAAATACTGACAAACTGCAGTAACACACTTCAGTCAGCAGACTTACCTTCTTCTTTGACATTCTGTTCAGAGCTGGAGGGTCGTTCCAGCCGTTCTGAGGCCCTACAGGGGAAAAACAAAACCCTAATCATCCACTCATTCTCACACTACCAGAGCACAGTCTGTGTTCTGATTTGAAATGTGTCAGAGTTAGAAAATGATTCACTTTGATCACAAACTTTAAACATTTCAAGGTAAAGCTCAACATTTTCAATACACTTCTTCGCTTTCACGAGGAGACACAGGCGCTGCAATGGAGCTTTTCAAGTGTTTTTTTTTATCATTAAAGCATGTAAATATGTTCTAGTAAAACACAACATACAAGTATGAACCTGAAATGAATATAACAGGTTCCTGTGAAGAAAACAAATAAGTGTGTTTCCCAAAATGACAAACTTTACCTTTAAAACCCAACTTCTAATCTACATGTTGCATTGATTCTGCTGCACATATCCTACTATAAGACTTTTATTTTCATTAAAATGTGATCAAAATCATTTTAAAAAATCAAAGCAATCTTTATCGTAGCTCAGTGATTCGGTTCGATCAACCCATGCACGGTGACAACCGGGAAAAACACGTGCAAATTTGTTTAAGAAAAGCTGGACTTTTTTCAGATAAATTATTTATTTCAAGCTTCAGTTGGAATTAAAGGTGATCTCCTCCTGTTAGTTTGATCTATGTGATAATTCTCTGTATAACATCTACAAAATAAAATTACCTGCATCTACCATTTGGCATTTTTCTATATTCCAAAGACGACTGGTTTAATCCACATAACAGCTTATTAGAGTTGTGCACACTTTAAACTAAGGATGCTTTCACACCTGCCCTGTTTGGTTCAGTTCAATCTAACTCAACTTCGTTTGCCCCCTCAGTGTGGTTCGTTTGGGCAGTTGTGAACACAGCAATCACACTCAGGTGTGAACACACCAAAACAACCGGACTGAGACCTTCTTGAAGAGGTGGTCTCAGTCTGGTTCCAAAGGAACTCTGGTGCGGTTGGTTTGTGGTGAGAAGGTGTTCCGACCTGGATGTGAAGCAACTGCAGTCACATGACACATTGTTTGGGTTAAACATGAGCATGTTACAGTCCTGGAGGATTATTAATGTGCACCTCCTCCTGTACTGCCTTAATATGCACATTCAGCACATCCAATGCATCAAAACATTGTTTTCTAGTTGGAGCCGCGCCTCGTTTTCAAACTGTATGCTTTGACTAAAATGAACAATGACAGCAATATAGTCCACGATGAGCAGCGCTAAAATCAACCTGCGTAGTTGTCCCTCCATTGTGACATTAGAAAGTGTCACATTTATCTTGCAAGTGTACTCTTCTTCAACGTTTGCTTTACTTCCTGGATTTTTCCCACATGGAAATTCTGACCAATCAAGAGCAGCTTTCTCACACAAGGCATTTGATCTGGTCCTCTTGTAAATGCTGCCGTGAGAACACGAACCAACTCTAGGCAATTATACAACCCTGATTTGGACTAAAGCAAGATGACTCTCTGTCTGAAAGCAGCTTAAAATATAATTAACATCTATATGAAGTCTAGTTTTGAGATAAGACTTTAGTACATAAGAAGTTAATAAGCAGTTGGTCAGGACATTAAAGATGCTCTAAATTGACTGACTGATACTAAACACAGTTGTTTCAGGAACTTGTCGTGTCGTTAAAACCACAGTTGAGGCTGAGTGAGTTTGAGGATGATTAGAGTCATGCAGACCTGTTCTCTGAGAGGCCGGGATCAGCTGTGTACCTGAGACTCCGCTCGGTGGAGGAGGAAGAGGCATGTACGACACAGGAGATCCTGGACCGCCATGCTGGAAAGGCGCTCCGGAGGACAGAGGAACGTTATAGGAGGAGGAGGCGTTTGGAAAGAAAGGAGGATGAGAGGGAGGAGAGGAGGACAGGCACTGGCTGATGGGAGGCTGTCCGGGATAGACCGGAGATGTTGGCTGTGTGTACTGAGAGAGAAAGCCAGGCGGCTCTGCGGGAGGAGGAGCAGCAGCAGAGGAGGAGTACTGAAGAGGATGATAGATAGGAGGAGCCCCCCCAGCTCCAGGTGGGTACTGGTTGACCTGGGGGTAGGCTGGGGTTCACACAGGACACAACACATGCATGTTAGAGAAAAAACAAGAAGCACTGTTGCATGTTATACTATCATCATGCAACAGGACAGACTCAGTGGCAATAAACAGTTACAGTACAGTGCATGCTAACGTGCTAACAAGTCTCATTCATGAAATGTAAGTACATAAACTTAATCCGGATTCATGAACGCAGCGGAAAACTTTGAACACCAATCAACCGTAAAACGACACCGTCTCCCTCCAACTCCCCGGTGTGAGCGGAGACGGACGAATTGCTTTCCCACATCCACAAGTCTTTATAAACCAAAACTCAATCTGAAATACGGTCTACATCTCCCACATCGTGTCTCTGATAATTAAGTTAAACAAAAATGACATGCAGTTTGGTGCTGCGCTGCGTAAAAGGCACAGAGGAGGAGCGTGTTGGTTTGTTATTTTATTTATTCAGAGAACAGTGTTTTCCAATTTTGTATTAAGTCAATTTAAATAACTCATTCATGTTTTTAAGAACCCTAGAGATTTTGTTTGTACCTATAAAAAGCTACTAACAAATTGATGAAAGCTGAAATACACGTACATTTCCTTCAGCGAACAGTTTGCACACAAATTCATTCTGCTCACGTTTCATGAACGAGACCGTTTATGTTTAGCTCGTAGGTTACAAAAGACTCAACAGGCAAAGAGATAAACATATTAACAAGTTGCTCATTCTCATGTTCCGTTAGTGACTAATAGATCAAATATTACAAACATTTCCAGACGAAAATGTTTGTCAGTGTTTAACAGAAGAGAGAAGAAAGTTTGTCGTTCATGTTGCCAACTTTGTTTCCTACAGATAACATTTATACACTACTGAAACACTTCAGCAGTGAATGTCTTCCACAGTTACTGCATGTTTGGCAACATTCTTTTTAAATTTTAGAAACTTTTCTCTCCACGTCAGAGATTTATTAACCCTGCTAATATAAAGGTAACTCTCTGGGTAGAATACTTACGCTGGTACTGATGGGAGATGTATGGAGCGGAGGAGGCTGGAGCAGCTGAGCAGGGTGGTGGCATCCCGTACATGGGGTTTGAAGGCTCCACCTGCAGAAACACAAAGAAAACTCAGGACAAAAGACAGAGAATGTTCCACTGATAACGGCCTCTATGCTCCACAACACACAGACCGTCCTCCACCTAAAACATCGTACAAGTCGTCTGTACAAGCAGCTTATCACAACCCATATTTATGTTTACTGATAGGTGGCGAGCTCTAGTGGCCACAGTAATTATGACAGGAGCAAAGGGAGGATGTCTGGAGACGTAATATAAAGAGCTAAGTCCCCAAAGCAAGGAGGTCAAACGAAGACAGGCCTTTTACCCAGGAGACTGCTGTTAGTGTCACGTGTGAAACCAAAAGTCAACACTGAGTTATTTTAACTAACATAGTGAAAGTTGTCTCACATAAAATACTTAATTTTCATATGTAACGTTAGCTAACTTTTGTATTTAAGTTGTGTAACAAATGTACTTATTTTAACCCAAGCCATGATGTTTCCTGCTAAACTGTGACTGTTTCACACTAAATGTTACTCTCTAAAACTCATACATGTTATACATGTATGAGTTTTATGTTTTGAAAAGTGCTATATACATAAGATTTATATTTATATTTATATCATATATGTTTTTTGGGGGTCACTGACAAACAACCTAAGGTTTCGTTCAGGTACAAGAACGTGTTTCTTTGTTAAAATATCAGACATCTGTGTCTTAATTACTTCACTTAAATCCTTACTACTTAGATTTAATGTAGCAATGTAGACATGCACATGCTTTCTTATTTTTACACACTTAACTGGTTACATACTGGTTTTTAACATTGTTACATGATGCACATATTTTATTTTTTATATATTTTTACACGCTTCGTATTTCTACTTTCTTAAAATTCTCTCTGCTATACATCAGTGTTAACACAATATCTCCCCCAAGATCATTTAAGAATTTCTGATTCTGTTTTGAAGAACGAGATCGTAGTGGGGTTTTTTTTGTTTTTTTTTTAGATCACTGAATATCATAGGACAGAAACACTACACCTTAGTTTCGGTTTAGGAATACGAGTTAAAGGCGCTGTATGTAAGAATGTGGCCAAAGCGGTTACTGCACTCAAATTCAAAATACTGCCGCGAGTCGTGTCCGCCCCCCCTCCCCTACAGATTAGAGGTTGCTGCTCTGTGCTGAATTGCTGCGTTGTGCTCCGGCGTCCGGCAAAAATAGAAGTCCTGCGTATCTGTTGCGGAGGGCTCCGGAGTGCCGCAGCTGAGACAGAGCCGGAACGCAGCACAGCCGCAGCTGGTGGAAACACACACATTGACTAGAATTGAATCCTATCGGCTCCACTGCCAGCTTCTCTGCTGCTAACGCTGCCGGGATACAGCGGAGGAGGAGCCGGCTGCTAATGCTATGTACCGGGACACTGCTAATGCTGCTTGTCGTGCTGCTAACATTTGTTTCTCAAAACAATCAGTTGGGTCGATGACCCACCTGCACATGGGCTACAATGTATGATCGAAAATGAATAACAGTTGAAAGTATTAAAAATGTCCATCCCCGTCTAGTCTGAGTGGGCGGAAGTTTGCTGCATAGATCAGCCTCTCATTGGGTGGAACGAGCCACCCGCTGAAGTCCCGCCCTACCACCTCCAGTTGCAGTTTTCAACATGTCCTTTACTAACTTTTGCGGTGTTTGATCTTGCAGGGATGTAGCCATTTTTCTGCCATGGTTCGCATCCTGTAGGCGATATTTTTGTGGGCGTGTTACACCAAAACCTGTTTCCCCCCAGCAATATTTTTGCAAGCGCACTGTTGCTGTGGCACCGCCCAGAACGACTGTGATTGGTTGAAAGAAGTACAAGCAGCTGGGGCGTTTTTTTCTCCAATCTTAAAGTGAGAGTCGGCCCAGCCAGACCTTTCTTTTCTTGAGAAAGGTCTGGTGAGCGAGACTAATCCCCGTCTAGCTATGATGCTAGTTAGCCAACTTTGGCTAAAGCTTACCTGTCGAGGAGAAGAGTAGCCACTTCGACATCTGATTTCAAATTCTTCTCCGCTTTCAACCGTCTCCACCGTTCAAAAGCATCTCCTATATAGACCCTCGCTTTGCCTCGAATTTTGTCTTGGCGTTTTTGGGAATCATAACGAGGTGGTTTGGGTTTAGTCGCACCGTCAGCCATTATAGCTCAGTCGTAACTGTAACTGATGCTGAGACTCTACTGACTGCGTGACTGGTAGACGGCAGTGGGTGGCGCAACAGGCCAAAACACAAATTCAAAACATAAACATGATTTGCAGACCGTAAAAAATTTTTTTAAATGCAAATATTCTGGCTGTACTATTGTTGTCGGTGAGATCAGTATGTTATATGAACATTATTCCTTAGTCTCTGTGACATATTCTTTTTTTTTTTGTTAAAGAAAAAACACTTGTGGGGGTGTGTCACTTTCAAAATGGCCTCTCATTATAATCCATTGCTGTCACCCACCTGTGCTCACTTACTAATCAAAATTGGGTGACACCCCCAACCAAGCTTATAAAAATGTCCGCCCTTTTGCACCCTGACAAAGACCTTACATTCAAAACCAGTCAGAGTTTTAATGTAAGCAGCCATGTTTTGACATAAAGGCTTTTTAACTGAATTCAAATGCAGGAGTGCAGGAGATTCATCTTTCCCTCTGATTCTGTTTTACCAGAGAAGACATCTCACTCTGTTCAAACTACAAAAACACTCAGTCCACTCTCGGTTGTACAGTGGCATTACAGAGTGACAGTTCCTCCCTCATAAATGATCTTTGGCTGAATACAGACACACAAGACAAGTTTAATTTTAGCCTGTCATCAAGCTATTAACATTAATTAGGGAGAGCTGAGATGAGCTGGCTCCGGTAATGTTTGTCAGTCAGCTGTGGCTGAAAACGAGAAGCTGCTGCTGCTATTTTGTACATTAATTTTTGCTAATAAAAAAGTCAGACACCTTCACTAGTGAACACAAATAATGTTTTACATTTGGAACATCTCTAAAAGGCCAGCTTTTGTTCTCTGGCTGTAAGAATGAAGCTTAGTGTTACAAACAGAGGGCAGAATAGTCCTGTGTTACATTCTGCTAACGTTCGTTAGAGTGTGAGGAGTGATATTTGTACAGTAAAATCACAATACTTGGAGCACACAAAGAGAAACAAAAGAAGGAGTGAGCGGAGACATGCATCACAGGAAACCAAGAAAACAAGAGTGTCAACAGGAAATGAGATGGCGAGGGTGAAAGGCGCCACAGACATGAGAGCGGCCCAATGTGGGACATCAACAGCATCTGTAAACATCAGCAAAGGTGTGTGTGTGTGTGTGTGTGTGTGCAGGTTGGGTGGGCGGTCAGTGTACCTGCTGCTCTGAGGCGTTGCCTACTTGAAGAGGAGGAGGAGGGACATTGGGGAGGGCTGTGGGAGTTTGGTTACTCCAGGAGGTGACAGTGGAGGTCGCCCTCACCTGAAGCACACAGAGACACACGGCACACACCGATGATGGCCGCAGCATGGGGCGGGGTGGAAGGGGGGGCACCAAACAACACCACAATGCACAGGCATTGGATCAGAGCCAGGGTTCAAATTACAGAAACAAGTTAGAGTATTTTGCTGGCACACAGCCGCCTCTACAAGAAGCACATTATTCATTAATAATTCATGCGTACATTCAGGAAACAGCGTGTGATTTAAACCCTGGCTAGAATGGAAATCAAATCAATGAAATGGCTACAGCACGACAGCAATGAGCACTTCACCAGGAGGTTAGTTAGTACGTGACAGGAAGCTAAACCCTAGAAGACGTAACCTGCAGATGTTAGTGTTCAGAGGAAGAACAGGAAACCAGTCTGCCCTCAGGTCTGTGTGAATCCTGATGTCTAACCATTTTAACACAAGACATCAGGTTTCACACACAGATTTATGAGCGTTATCTCAAAGTGAAGGACAGTAAAAACTTCAGAGGTACGTACTGGCTGGTAATACTGTGGCTGTGCTGGGGCGGAGGCAGCAGGTGTAGGCATGGGTACAGGAGGTGCTGCAGCTGTAGGCTGCTGAGGCACCATGGCGGGCTGCATCGGGGTGAAAGGATGCCGGGGCAGAGTGGCGGCAGGCTGAGCCGGAGTCGGGGCAGGCTGAACTCTCTGGGTTTGAACCGGAGCCGCAGGAGCTGGGGTCGCCTGCTGCCCCAGAGCCCGACTGAGACGGTCACGGAGCTGCTGTACGGCAACCTGTACGGTCGAAATCAGAAGGATGAACTTGGGTTATTCTCTGTGTTTCATGATAAGTCAGGTGCACCAGGTCATTGTAACTTCAAACTTAGCCTAGTTAAATTAAAGACCTTTTTAAGACTTTTTAAACACCACACTGGCTGCTGTTTCATACTAATCTAGACAGGAAAGGTCTTAAATAATATTTCACAAGAATAAAACATCGTACCTCAGATTACAAAACATTGTGTGAATAACATCAGACTTATGCGGGATTTATACTTCTGTGTTGAATCAACGCCGTGCCCTACACTGTAGCCTGACGTGCACCTCCCCATTAATGTAACTACATGTCGTGGCGACGCAGACCTCCTGACCATCTCTGTAAGCTGAAACCATTTCCCTCAGTGGAAACAAAGCTTTTATTTACTTTAATTTCACAGATAAGAAACAAAAAAAGTGAAGACAATAAAGCCTCCACAAAAATAGCATTTTAAGTCCTGTGTGTGATTTATCCTGGCTTCATATGAGCAGAGGAAAACTCTGCTAGCTGCTGGGCTAATTTATACAATGTAAAATGCCATAGGCTTGTGCTAATAACGTTAGCATGTTGTATTTGTGGGGAAAATGTGTCCAGATAAAGACAAGTGTTTGTCTGTGAATGCTGCGAGTTATAGTGAAGCTGATTTGTGTACTTGTGTTTGAAATTGTCTCTATTAAGCCATGTTTAATGTGTGTTTAATGTGCATTTAATGTGTGTTATAATCAACTAAACTTTACAGCACTTCACAGAAACCTCCGCTGCCAACTAGTGTTCTGGAGGTGTAACTGCAGAGTGACACAGACACACCACGCACAAGTATAAATGCTCACAACAGCGTAGGCTACGACGTAGGGTCTGCTGCACAGGTATAAATCCCCCTTTAATAACAACATATTACCAGTTAGGGTGTGTTTGCATCTTCAACTTAGGTGCATTAAAAGTTGTTTTTTTTTGCCACTGACAGGCTCAGATTGTTATTCAAAATGTCTGACAACATTATGGAAAGGATCCCTACAGAGATAAACCTTTTAGCTGAAGAACAAAGTTGAAGATCCTTTTTGTTTAACCAGAAACAGCCCTGAAATCACCGTCACCAAACCCACCAGACTCCATTTAAATAAACTGTCATTTCATCATCATAAAACACACTTCATTCAAAGTCGACAGCAACAAAATAAAACACACATAAACCATCTTGGCTCGTATTTCCACTGTTCCAACAATCACCAGCTCTGGTTTGGTTGAAATTAACCCTTAACTCACCCAGTTAGATGTGACAACATGCTGCCTCTATACACACTAACATGACTGTTTATTTAAATGGAGTCTGGTGGGTTTGGTGACGGTAATTTCAGGGCTGTTTCTGGTTAAACAAAAAGGATCTGATTCTTTAACACAAAGCTCTATCTCTGTAGGGATCCTTTCATAATGTTATCAGACACTTAGAATAACAATCTGAGCCTGTTAGCCTGTTAAACAATTTTACTGGACGTAAATTGACGGTGCAAACATGCCCCGAGTGGTTACATTGCCTGTTTCATCGCTGCTGGCTGCAGCTCTCTCTCAATACTGAACCAATTTCAAAACTGTTGCTCCCATTTGTCACTTTGATACAGAAACTTGTGAAAGTAGGGTCCAGGTTGTAAAATGCAGAACTTGTGATACTACAGTGACTTCCTCTTTACATAGTTGACTGCACTTTTGACTGAAAGATGTTTCCCCTGTCTAAGAATTTAGAAACTTAACACCCAAACATAGTAATGGATAATTTGGTGCAGCCCCGTCCTGCTGTGTTACACACCTGGTTGGTGTTGTCAGGCAGGTAGGTGATGGCGGTGGACAGACTGCCCTGGGAGGCCAGCAGGTTGGCATACTGGCTCATCTTCTCAGCCAGCAGGACGCCAATAGCAGTGGGACCAGAGCGCTGGGTCTGCTCCACTGCACGCCGCAGCACCACCACCTTCTCCACCAGGTCCTGAAGGATGGAAACATACATCATTAGCACAACTAAAGATCCAAGCTGCATTACTTTGGGAGCAACAGAGCAAGCTGAAAACACACAATCTGACAACTCCTTTTTCCCTCTGTTCCTGTGTTTCCACCATTGTGACTTCATTTGGAGACGTGTTTCAAACCATGTGACAAATTTAAGCTCAATATTCACTCTGCTTTTTATTCTGTTTTGGTCTCTATCAACTCCGACAGAGCTTTTTGTCCTCTTAGCTGTCCGGCCCACAAATTTACCGAATCGTAGCATTGTTTTTTACCGTAGCAGGCAGCTGTTTGCAGAGAGAAAGCTCTAAATACCCACAGTACATGACCTACTCAGCACCAAACAGCAGACAGACACCTTTAGAGACAAGGTAAAGAGACAGATACTTCCCTCAGGAGCTGGTGGAGAAAAAAACAGAGCTAAAAGAGACTAAATATTGGATTTAAATTCATCAGATGGACAGAGGTGCTGCCCCCAAGTGTCCAGCTAAATCAGTTTTTGCATCTTGAAGAAAGAGACACACCTGAAGGGAGAGTGGACAGTGTCCGTCTTGAGCTCTGGTCCAGCACGACACAAGTTTCTCCACGTTTCCAGCACAGATGTAAGACAGACAGGCCTGGGCTTGCAGTTGGGCATCATCTGCTGCCTCCAGTCTGCCCCCGAGAAGGTCTAACCAACAAGACATGTTCAGTCAGAAGAGCACAAACTCACAGCTGAGAGAGACAAGGAAGTTTGATAAGATAGAAACTCTGAGATCAGGCAGCATGTGTCCTTGAACTCACCACAGAGGGAGGAGAACTCCTCGGGCTGAGCGTAGGTCACTACAGCAGCCAGAGCCTCCCTCCAGTTCTGCAGGTCGCACGTCTTCAGGATGTCGTGCCAGTCTTTCATCACCACGGCGCTGATCAGCTGCAGGACAAAAAACACAAGTTACATCATCGATAATAAACTCTCATTTGATAAAACTCTGACTAAACATTCTTACCTTGGTTATCTTGCTGTGTGTTTTCGTAAAATACTTCTTCTGGGTTTTCTCTAAGAGCTCGGGCCCTCCGGCGATGGCCAGGATGATGCTGTCTGCCATCCGGTTGTCATGGAGACAGAGCTCCACAGCTCCCTCGAAATCTCCAGTCAGCAGGGCCTGTGTGATCAGACCGTCCACATCTGGCAGAAAGACAAATAGTCAGTAACTACAACCACACATTCTTTTAAACGGGTAATTCAGTGACATCTGTGGGTTCATGTCATGAGGAGCTGAAAACGTACCTTGACTGATGCTGAGGTTGACTCCGTCTGCGCTGGCTGGCGTCGGAGCAGGAGCTGGTGCTGGAGCCAGATCCTCAATGAGCTCCTCAACTAGAACTGGAACTGGAACCTCGATGGGTTCCTCGACTGGAGCCAAGATCTCAGGAGGACTGGGCTCCTCCTCCATTGGAGCCGCCGTCTCCTGAAACACCAGAGAAACATCCCGTCACGTCTTAACGTCACTCCTCTCCTCCTCTCGTGTGTCGCAGGATACTGACTTGCGTAAACCTGCAGACTCTCCCCTCTGGCAGTTAAATTACCGTCATCTGATTACAACTCTAATGCTGCATGGTTGGTCCTACTTGTTTGTTACGTATGAGGAGCTTAAATGAAACCAATGAGGCATCTGAGCTCAAATGAAGCACAGTATTTGCCTGACTGACAGACGTCCACGTTAATCACACATGCTTCAGTGAGCTCTGATAAACTTCAGTCTTAAAGGGAGCTGTTAGCACAATAAGTCAAGCAAGTAGCTGCTCATGGACTCAGCCTGTACATGCCCACACAGTCCTGAGAAAAGGTCCAATCAACCTTAAATAAGTAAAATCACCCATGTGTGTTTACTGTCAGCTGGACTGAAACTGTGCAGCAATGGAGGTGTAAGGAACGACCAATTATTGGCTGGGCTGATCGTCATGTTTCACTGCTCTGCTAGCCTCTAGGCTAATTTATGTAATGTAAAATGTCATGGGCTTGTGCTAATAACGTTAGCATGTTGTATTTGTGGGTAAAAGTTGTCAAGCAAAAGACAATTGTTTTGTCTGTGAACCTTGTGAGCTGTAACGGAGACGCTTGTGCACATTTGTTTAATGTTGTCTCCGATATTAAGCCAGGTTTTATATGTGTTAGTTGAATCGATCAACTTGACTTGACTTCACAGAAACTCCACACAGTGGCATAGACACCACACTGTCAACTAGTGTTTTGGAGGTACAATTACAGAGAGTAGGCAGGATGAAATACATGTCGAGAAGCCGGTAAAAGAGCAATGTCTCTTTTTTAAAGATAATGTTGAAATATTCTCTTTTGCAACATTTTATTAAACAGTGGATCCTTAAAGGCATTAAAGCAAAATTTGTGTTGGAATTGTGGACTTTCATGTTCACTGCAAATGTCTGTTGGTTCAAAATATCTGTTGTGCGCCTCTTTGATTATTAACAATCTGTATCAGAATCAGCCCTAAAGAAACAAACGGAGTCGAGCACTGGAAACCTGGTGGTGTAGTTGTTTCAAATGCAAAGCAATGCCAACGGATGAGGAAAGTCTTTGCTGCTCAGACTGGGAATTGGCGATGCCTGCACTTGAGAATCTGGACATCAGTACTGACGAGACTGCTGCTCTTCAGAGACCGTGCATCACCGATCACCCTGAGCGCGCACACGTGAGTGCGGAGCACAGAGAAGCAGTCAGAGCTACAGGCTACAGTGACGCTAAAAACAGAGTTCATATGACGTTTTTCCAAACAACTTTTTATGTCGGGGCTTCAGGACACTTGGATCACTACGGATGAGCAGTATGGAGATACTTTGTGGATTCAATTTGTGTTCTTGGACGTTAGTCTGGGGCGCCGTCTGCCATTAGGTGTGCTGGCCGCTCCCCCCGCCGATCTCCGCAAGGGATGTGAGGACTCTAAAACTTCACCAGAGCCTCCATCGGCATATAGGTGAGTAGATAATGGCTGAATTTTCATTTTTGGGTGCACTATCCCTTTAATCCCTATAAAGGCCTACCTCATCATCCAAGGGGATCTCCTCTTCCTCTGCTTCCTCCTCTGGGACAACCTCGTCCACATTTTCTTCTGGTTGGCTGGTCGGAGCGTCCTCTGCATCTGGATCTTCTGCTGCTGCTTCCTCAGTCTCAGGGTCAGGAGCAGAGTTGAGTTCAAGTGTGGCTGCTGGCTGAAGATTTGCTGAAGCAATCATGTCGAACGCAGCCTCGGGAGTGTCAGCAGGTAGCACAGGTGCTGCTGCAGAAATCATGTCAAACGCTGCCTCGGGATTGTCAACAGGTGGTAAGGTGGCTGCTGCAGAAATCATGTCGAACGCTGCCTCGGGATTGTCAACAGGTGGTAAGGTGGCTGCTGCAGAAATCATGTCGAACGCTGCCTCTGGAGTGTCGGCAGGTGGCACACTGGCTGCAGCAGCGATCATGTCGAATGCTGCTTCTGGAGTGTCAGCGACAGGCGGCACGAAGCTGAGGTCTGGTAAAGGCTGCAGGGTGACTGGAGCGGGCACCTCCACCTGAACAATGAGGGAAGATATGGAGTCAAAGTCAGGGACTGTTATTTAATTTGCAAGTGCAAATTAAAGGAGAACAAGAAGCTGAAACTGTGTGTGAGGAGGTGCATGTGGTGACTAACTCAATTAGTTGGAGGGAGTTCAAACAACAAATTAATTCCTGACACCTCAAACAAGCACTGGAGAAATTTTGGACCGCAAATGGACACGCGTACTCCTATTTTCTGGTCTTGTCAGCAGTTTAATACATTTTGGCAGGATGTGTTTGATATGTAATGCTGAATCAGATCATCAGATCAGACTTTGTAGACAATACATTTACACCACGGAGAGGGAGACGTGCACAGACCCCGTCCACGTCTACACAAATGTGCAGCAGATTTAACAGAAACAGAATAAACTGTTTTAAACTGAAATCAAAAGTCTGTGCAAATCTTCCTCTGTGGTTTCAATAAAGGGAAGTGGTATTTTTAGCACTGAGACTAAGCTCCGTCTTTAAAAATACTTGCAACACTTTCTCATTGCCAAATGTACGCCAGAGACTGGAGCAAAGAACTGTGGCACTAATTACTGCCAACAGTGTTCGGTCAGCTCTGTTGTAGTGTCGGTGAAAGAATGTGAATGGCACAGTGAGCAGGAACAAACTGAGTGTAGTGTAGTGTTGTAATGCAGCAATTAACTCAGTAGAAACACTCTTACTTTCCTGCTGTAGATTCAAAATGGTCAGAGCTTTATATCGAAATTTTTCTGTTGTGTCCTTTGCAAATTATCAGTGGCATTTTTATATTTCTTTCCTTGTTTTTAAAGTTTAATTTTCATTGGAAAAAAACAAATAACACCACAAGACAAGGACTGTATGTTGAGTAAATGAGCAGCAATTTAGAAACCTACATGATGTAATTTTTTTGGTCAATTAGGAGGCGATCTTATGAGTTTAAATACTTGGAAATACATTGCTAAAAGTTAAAAGAGTCAGTGTTCTGTGAAATGTGCTTATTTATTTTCTTGTTGACAGTTGTCTACCTCTACTCGTGGGACGGCAACCTCGCTCAACTGTTGCGGCTCACACATGTGTGGCGTTCACACACATAAGCCCTTTTTAAATAGGAATTGTGCAAATTTGCAGGAAAGCCCAATCAGTGTTTTTTCAGCATTGGCAGTATAAAAACAAAATCGGGGAGTGCAGCAAAATGCCTCCTACCTACTTTTGTTTATACAGAATGTGTCTTTTTCAGGGCAATGGGGGGCGTGAGCAAGTAACAAAACGTGTAGCTCAGCGTGTGACGTAAACAGTGACATGGGAGGGAAGCCGCGGCTGGTCAGTCCTTCGGTGATTCTCTTATAAGTCGCCCCGTCCTTCACCGTCCCCGTTATCTGACGGTTAATGGCCTCTTCGTTTGCGAGGACAAGGAGGGCGCACAATTCCTTGTCTCCCCAGTTGCTCATCTTTACAGTGTCTGTCAGGTTTGTGTTTCCCTCTTGCTACTAGCTGCTCGCTAATTCTTGCTATCAGCTGTTTCCTGTTTATCCGCCAGTGGGTCGTATGTGCGGCGTCATCAACAGCTCCTCCCACAAGTCATCAACAGCCCCTCCTGTGGCGGAAGGCCGCCTCGGTCTGTTTAAACTAAAAGGGTTCCACCAATATGTCTACCCTACGAGGAGGAAAACTGGGCACCTCGGATCAATTCGCCAATCCGCCTCTGTGTGTCTAAATGCTCGCAGCTTGCCGGCAAAATGGCCCAACATTCACAGAAAATCTGGCAGTGTAAAAGGAGCTACAGACAGTGTTGTTGTTGCAACACTGCTGCAGCCAGCTGCTGTATTTCTAGTTCTTGTAATCTTTGGAAGGAGCCAAGCTAGCTTTTTCCACCTGTTTCCGGTCTTTAAGCTAAGCTAACAGTCTCCTTACTCTAGATTCATTTTTAACGGACAGAGTGGTATCAACGTTCTCATCTAACTCTCTGCAAGATTGCAAATGAGTGTATTTCCCAAAATGTTGAACTGTTCCTTTAAATGTGAGTAGTGGCTCTAAACAAACGTACCTGCGGAGGTTCAGCAGGCTTCTCCTCTAGTGCTGCTGAGATCTGACAACAAAAATGACACATTTATCACAGGATGTACTGAAAGACACTTGTATTGAACAGAAAATATATTTATAGTTTGATACAGTAGCCTCGAAAATCCATCTCACCTTCAAGGCCAGCTCCTCTTTGTTGTACCCCAGCAGTTCCAGGTACTTGCTGCGGATGTCAGTCTCAAAATTAGCCTGAAAACACAAACAGTCACACAAACAGTTTAAATGATGACAGCATTATTTTCCAAGAGAAAAACAGATTTGTTTCTGGATTTAATACCTTGAGGAAAGACCACAGAGTCTTTTCAAATTCATTCTCAGCTCCATCGATCTTTTCCTGGCAGAAATCCACGAAGCTGCCTGCGCTCAGCGTGGCCTGCAGCTGATCGGAGCGCTTCAGAAAGGCCGTTTCTGTGACAACCTGGCTGATATGTACAACGGGTGCAGTGGGCTGCTGAGGCTGCTGCGGGTTCAGCTTTGTGTTCTCCAAAGATAACAGCTTCCCACCGAACTAGGAGTGAACAGGAGCCAGAAGAATGTGAGTGTTGGTGAAAACAACCAAGCTCCATCCTGGATATCATGGAAAGCAAAGAAACAGGACTCACAGCAAACGAGGCTCCGACAGGCCTGCGGATCCACTTGGGGGGCTTCTTCAGGGGGTTGACTGTAGCTGGTGGGGCGGGAGTCTGCGGCAGCTGCAGTGGGGGTAAAGTTTGTCCCGTCCCAAAAGGATCCAAGTTCCCAAACGAGTTGCTAATCTGTGACACACACCCAGAGTCCAGTTAGACACAAAGGCACAATGCTTAAGATCCCAGAAATCATGATGTATTGCTGTATGTATGTATTGATATAACGTGGACAAGTGCAAACCCTATTTTAGGCACCCCAAAAAAATCAATATCAGTTGAAGTGTACGCTATATTTAGCATATTTTCATTGCTTTACCTTGCTATCAGGCTGTGATTCCTGACAGAGAACTGGAGCCGTTATATCGCTCTCCTCAAAGCCAGACTCCATTGAGAAAAACAGTGATTTAACACTGCTGAACACAGGAGCTGCTGGTCTACTGCTGCTTCCATCAGTTGGTTTATTCGTGTTATTGTGTGACTTTGGTGTTGTAAAGGGTTACTTCAGAATCACCAAAGTCACACAACTTCACAAACAAACTAACTAATCGAGGCAGCCGTAAACCAGCAGCTCCTGTGTTCAGGGAGGTAAAATTACGGCTTTTCTCAATGGAGTCTGGTGACTTTGACCAGAGCACAGATGATGGCTGTCTGATATTAAGGTGAAGCAGTGGAAATACTCTACATGTAGTGTACACTTGAACTGATGTTGATTTTTTTTAGGTGGCTAAAATGTGTTTTGCTCGTCCACAACAGTAGATTAGTAGCTTCTGTGGTGGTACGCCTGCATGCTTCTCCAAACTGGGGATGTGCCGACAGACATCTACTGTAGGTAACACACTGACTATGGATAAGTATAAAATCTTGTTGCTGATCAGTTCAAACCGCCGGCTGAACATTTCTCAAAGTTGGAAACACACATCCACATTTTTGAGTTCATACGACCTGACAACAACACATCCACCACAGATTAGACACACGATCTCTGTTGCTAAGTTACGCTTGCTGTTAACTACCTTACTGTGTGTTGCAGCAGCAGTTTGAAGATGCTGAACTTAGTGCAGTGACCTAGGTTGAGTTATTAACATTATTTGCCTTCTTTTTTCAAGATTATTTTTTCTGGCTTTGTGCCTCTGTTGGATAGGATGCTCTGGGCGTAGGGGGGTGGGGGCATTGCCTTCATATATGGGATGGCTGCTCTACCCACTTATCCACCAAGCACCCAATTATTTGCATTCTTATGAAAAATAAAGTCACAAAACCAGCTCATTTTTGCTTTGTTGGTCTGGAATCTGATTTATCAACTGATAAAATAAAATAAAATGAAATGAAACAATATAATATAATATATCAGAAATACTTTATTGATCCCCAAAGTGGAAATTGTGATTTGTTGCAGTCACTCTGATGTGAAGCACAGAGCATTATGAGAAGTAAGAATAAGAGTATGAAATAGAAGTGTAAAAATATAAAGCTATAAAATGAAATAGAAATTAAAATGTCCATTAAAAACAATGCTGCAGTGTTTAACACTAGCACTTAAAAAAATATAAAAAATATAAAAAGTCATAGACAGTTTCATAATCATAAAATCAAATATATTAAATATTAAAAATAAAATATATATCATCACTGTGCTGACGCTGTAAGTGTGAAAATTAGAACAAGTATAAAGAAAGCCTAAGTTGGCAAAAAAATTTAAAAATTTTTTTTTAAAAAAAAGAAACTATTAGGAGCAACTGCAACAGGCTGCATGCACGGTCGGCACGTGCACTAATAAATATTAAATTAATAATTAAATTCTAAAATAGCTTGTTACGCAATGATAAGATCATGTCACGGAAATCTGGACTGTTTTTAACGATGAAACAAACAAACTAAATGAGTTTCAAGTTTTTACACTGGGTGTTCAGGAAGAACAAAAATTTGATTTTGTTCGGACATTCTAGAATTATTGACATGTTCAAGTGCTCAGTGTAAATGAGTACACCCCCTTTGAAAAGTAACATTTTAAACAATATCTCAATGAACACAAAAACAATGTCCAAAATGTTGACAAGACCAAGTTTAATATAACATCTGTTGAACTTATAACGTGAAAGTAAGGTTAATAATGTAACTTAGATTACACATTTTTCAGTTTTACTCAAATAAGGGCGATGCAAAAATGAGTACACCCCACAACAAAAACTACTACATCTAGTACTTTGTATGGCCTCCATGATTTTTAATGACAGCACCAAGACTTCTAGGCATGGAATGAACAAGTTGCCAACATTTTGCTACATCGATCTTTTTCCATTCTTCAAGAATGACCTCTTTCAGAGACTGGATGCTGGATGGAGAGTGATGCTCAACTTGTCTCTTCAGAATTCCCCATAGGTGTTCAATTGGGTTCAGATCAGGAGACATACTTGGCCACTGAATCACTTTCACCCTGTTCTTCTTCAGAAATCCAACAGTGGCCTTAGATGTGTGTTTAGGATCATTGTCATGTTGGAAAAGTGCACAACGACCAAGGGCACGGAGTGATGGTAGCATCTTCTCTTTCAGTATAGAGCAATACATCTGTGAATTCATGATGCCATGAATGAAATGCAGCTCCCCGACAGCAGCAGCACTCATGCAACCCCACATAAGGACACTGCCACCACCACGTTACACTGTAGGCACCATGCATTTTTCTTTGTATTCCTCACCTTTGCGACACCATACAGTTTTGAAGCCATCAGTTCCAAAAACATTTATCTTGGTCTCATCACTCCAGAGTATAGAGTCCCAGTAGTCTTCATCTTTGTCAGCATGGGCCCTGGCAAACTCTAGGCAGGCTTTTTTGTGCCTGGGCTTTAGGAGAGGCTTCCTTCGTGGACGGCACCCACGCATGCCATTCCTCTGCAGTGTACGCTGTATCGTGTCACGAGAAAGAGTCACCCCAGTTTGGCTTTCTACTTCCTTAGATAACTGCAATGAACTTGCATGCCAGTTTTCTTCGACCCTTCTCATCAGAAGACGCTGCTGTCGAGGTGTTAACTTCGTGGACGGCCTGGACGTCTCTGTGAGATGGTTGCAGATCCATCATTTTTAAATTTTTGGATCACTTTTGCTATAGTATTCTGACTGATAAGTAAAGCTTTGCTGATCTTCTTGTAGCCTTCACCTTTGCGGTGTAAAGAAATTATTTGCTTTCTCAGGTCTTGTGACATTTCTCTTCCATGTGGTGCCATTGCTAACAACATGAAATGGGAAGGGGTTTACTTTAAGTAACACCCTTTTATAGTCAACTGTCTGCTGGACACCTGAGTAATGAATAATTAGACTCAACTGTGGTTGATTATTGTTAAATTAGACATTTGTAGTCTAGAATTTAGCTTTGCTTCAGAGACTTTCAGTGGGGTGTACTCATTTATGCTGAGCACTGTATAAAACACAAATAACAACACATCCTGACCAGTCACTGCATGACTGTTATGACAGATAGGTGGCAAGCTGACTCCAGAGCTGTGCTGAACAACTGATATAATCAAAGACAGCCAGCTGCTGTATAAATAATGGCTGATGTTCGTCAGCTGCTGCAGAACAAAGTCTCTAATTTCCTTTCAGCTCTGCAGCCCGTCACTTTGTGCTACGTTATAAAACTGCTCAGATATTTAATAACATGCAGGCCATCAAAAGACGATCACAAGCAGCAGATTTCCACCTACACAGCGCTGTGCTGACAGAACGTTAAAGACAAAACAACAGTCGGAGCACCTCCTCGTTGCTCAAACACACACACGGTCAATACTGCAGCCTGCAATCTGTTGATTTACATATTCTATGTTTCGTAGTGTATCTAGAAAATAATCACGCAGCGCAGCATCTTTCACAGCACACACTCATGTTTCTGTCTCAGGTGATTCAATCTCACCTGGTCAGCGTGTCTCTGGCTCTGCGCCTGGTTCGTTCCTCCCATGATGGAATAGATGTCGATGTGTCCATCAAAGCTGGCGGCCGACAGCACCGCAGGGTTCCTGGGGCACCACTGGATGTCAAAGCACCACTGACTGCTGGTGGGCAACTCGTACAGCACCTGAGCATTCATCATTAATTTAAATCAGAGGAACAAAACAGAGCATTTTTTTCAGTACTTTGGTTATGTTAATAAAACATGTATGGCAAACATTTACCTCCGCTGTGTTTGGATTCCAGCACAGGATCCGGTTGTCCTTCCCGCAGCTCAGGAGCAGCTCGGGGTCAGCCAAGCTCCAGGCGATGGCCAGGATACCCCTGCATACAGACAACAGTACAGATATGTCTTAGGAGATAACACTGGCACTATTATATACTTTTCTTATTGCTAACAAATCTGATGAAAAGACCAAAAACAACAATCTGTGAGTCTGTCTCTTAATACTTTCTGACCTCCCTCATTTTTCTGTGGCTCTCAGCTTCATGACCGCTGTTCCTACTGAAGATGTAAATCTTTTAAAACAGGTCACAAATAAAGAGTTTCATCACAAAAACAAGGCTGAATAATTTCCTTTTAACATCTGGACACTGTCTTTGTACAAAAATTCCCTGCATCTGTTGGGGACTATTTTCAGCAGCAGATGTATCCACATTTTGTGCTCTAGTATTTGTGGCAGCAGGACGGAGTATGTGGGACTGAGTCAAAATAAACTACAGTATGTGTGTTCATGTGCAACAGTGTGACTCATTGACGTGTTTGTAATAGTTTTTGGACGACAACTGAGCTCCTCAGCTGGCACAGAGGAAGAAGATCGTTGGAAGGATCAATTCACTGCTGGCTTTGGTCTTGTCATGAGTAAGAAAATTATCAAATTTAACCAAAGAAAATGAGAGAGTGCTTTTTGAAGCTTTGCTACACAACTATCAAATCAACTTTCCTCAGCTTAACTGCTTTTTTGCCATGAGGGAAACTCACAGATCTGTAACTTGAAATCTGCACAAAAATGGACAGGTGGAGGACACTTGTTGTAGCTCTGATTGAGGGTGAGAGGCTGTTCCCAAATCTCACATAACACACAGGGAAACAGAGATTTGTGTGGACACATGAGACCCTCAGAGAGAGGAGGAATCACAGGGAGTTGCACCAGCTGGTCCAGGAGCTCCGCCCTGATGATGGTTGGTTTAAGGCTTATTTTAGGATGAGTTGTGCTGCTGTGAATCATCGGGCCTAGTTATGGTTGGTAACATGTTGGAAAGTAGCTGAGGTGAAAATTTGTCTTGCAGTTTGCTTTGGACAACATTCAAAGCGAGCTAACGTTAGCTTCACACAAACCACGTACACTACACCACAAAAGGCCCATCTCTCAGGTCATCTGATTGGACTATAGGATAAAAAAGGAGATGATGTTGGGCGCTTTTCTGCTCTGAGTCGAAGTTATTTAACTCAAGGTGTTCAGGGCACTCCTCTAAAAACATGAGGCCCATAGATCAGGAAAACATGAGGCGCTCAACATCCCAAAAGCAGCGAGCAAAACGCTTCACTCACTGAAATTTCTTACAAAAACGCACTCTGTCTGATTGGGGCCTTGTGCTACTTTGGCTCCAAAGTGAAAATGTGTGTTTACCGTGTGTGGTTCTCTAAAATCTTGAGAGGAGAGGTAGCAAAACGTAAATCCCACATCTGGATGACTGGCATCCGGTCGTCCTCTGAGGAAATGACCAGCTGAGTGGCCACCTCTGGGTTCCAAGCCAGCCCGGAGCAGTGCATCTGAAAACAAAGACACGCACACAAATGCTGAGTCGACGGCACCTAAAGGATTGTGGCAATTTCCTTTTGTCCGAGACTTCGTCTGAGAGCAGCAGGAGGAACGTACTCTGTTGCTGTGGTCGCTGACTTTAATAATGAGGTCATTCTTGCGGAGGTCCCACACTGAGGCTCTGCCACTCGGGCTGGCGGAGGCCAGGATGTGTTGGACCTGTCTGTTCCACGACACACAGCTGATGTCCTCCAGAGGCTTCAGGACAAAAACACAAGCTCTTTTTGTCATTATATGATCAGTACAAGATACAAATGTTATTTACATGCATGAGAAGATACAGATTGTGGTGACATCTGACAAAATGATACAGAAACTTGTTAAAAAAAATGAGCTTCACACAGAAGATGAACTTCAAATTTTGACAGCGGAGATGACGCAGTATTCATTTAAAGGAATCATTTATATTTACACATTATAGAAGAAAATAAATGTTAATTTCAGTTCATAGAATAAAAATAAATACCTGAGTTTTAGGTCCTGGTGTCATTGGAGAGCCAAAGTTATTCATGTCCCAGATATAGATTTCAGACTCATTCCCACCTGATGCAACCAGGTTCGTCTGCAGCAGAGAGACAAAAAATAAAATCAGTAACTGCACAAGACAATAAAATATTAAAAAAAGCAAACCAACAAAAACAGAACAAACTCACAAAAAGACGATTAAAACTCCATAGAATAAAAAAAAAGCAAATAAATAAATAAAACAGAATAAAAATGAACAGGAGAGATAAAAGATTAAAACCACTGGTTAAAACTTGAAAACAAGGATTGTAATGTTACTCCACATTAAAAGATAGATCTTTAATTTACGTTTAAAAATACCATTCAATACGATATTAAATTCACCGACACTGGAGTCAAACGCATCTTACCTGGAACGGGTTGACATCGAGCGCTCTCACAGGCCCCGTGTGTTTGTCGCTCTCAGCAATGATCACGTTGGTCTCTCCCGCCATGATCTTTGCAGGGTCGTACAGGATGACGTTGCCGTTCTCCCCTCCTGCGACCAGGACCCCAGATGGGTGACCCTGGGAATCCATCCCAAAGGGACCCCACACCAGTTTGTGGTATCTGTTGGAAGGAAGGGGAACAAAATATGTGTGATGAACAGCTGCACTTAAAAAGGGGGGAAAGAGTCAACATGTGGTGTTGTCGGCAGCTTTTGTACCTGTGAGAGGAGGAGAGGCTGCCACATGACTTCATGTCCAGAGACGGCTCCGTCAAGTCCAGCTCAAAAAACTCCAGGGAGGCATTGGTGCTGAAGGAGGCGTCCAGCTGCTGGGCTGATGTTCCTGCACACAGAGAGCACAGGAAGCTTTGGTGCTTGTTGTGTCACGTAATGCATGATGCTGCCATGTCACAAAGACTCCTACTTGTCCGGCTTCTAAATATTACACATAACAATGATCTAAAAAGCCAACTAAGGAGTTAAAACTTTCTCGGCAGAGTGTGAAGAGTAACACACATTTATCAGGACACACACTCCTCACTGCAGCAAGTCTTCACATGATTGATATGAGATGATCAGAGACCCTGCATCAGCCATATTGCTCATTCTTTTAAAGAAACCCGTTCACTTTTTCTCTTACACATGATCTGGCAAAAACATGAGTAATAATAATGTTTAAAAAGTCAGTTTTATTTACAGAGTTTAGAGCTGGATTTTAACTTTAGTGTAATGTATTTTGGGAAAGAAGCAACCAGACAGAGCAGGATGGATATTTATTACAAATACTACAAGCAGGTTGTAAAAAAAGCAAGAACCAGGAAATGGCAGAGTAAGGAGTCTCCAACAGTCTCTGAATGGACAGAAATAGTTATGGTAATTTATGTTAAAGAACAACCGACTTTTTCTCTGAGTCATGCCACTAAAAAATGTAAAAAAAAAAAAAAAAAAAAATACTGGAAAAAATGGAAATATTATTTGACTTTAAAGTAATTTTGTTTAGGGAATTTTGCTTCGTTCCCATCAGCATCGAGACATACAGGATGGACTGTGGCTCATGAATGAGTGGAGGATTTCTCCCTCCTTAGAGACACCCTGGATTTCCAGGAATCAAGGTCAAGGATCATAAGGACGTTGGTGATCTTGAAGGACTATCACGGACATAAAGGGACATAAAGGGCCGTTATCCATCTGTTGTTATTGGTTTTGTCTACTTTTGTTCTTAAAATAATTAAAAAAAATTAAGTCTAAAAAAAGTCTATATTTTAATATCTACTGTAGAAATTAGCCTAACGTTAACAAAAATCCAATACATGTACATATATTGTATAAATAGGGCGAAAATTATAGGAAATTTGCTGAAATTAAAACAGAAAAAAAACAAGTGAAGCAGAAAATAAATTCTGCTGCTGGTATAATTCAGAGAAAACATATATTCAGGAGAGTTTAATAACATTTGACAAGTGCAGACAATGGAGACGGATGGAAAGTGAGTGCAAACAAAATCAGTGGCACCTTTATACGTGTTGTTTGCACCCCTGATAAAGAAACAAGTGGTAACACCCTATTTGGTGTTTGAATCAAATCCAAATATTAGACTAAAACCAGCCTACTCTGAAATATACATGAACAGATAGATAGCAAAATATTCATCATGACTATAACATTTTGTACAAAGACATGCCTCAGGGAGTTTGTGCTCACCTCTAGTTATGTACTGTAGTTTATCTTAAAGGTCCAGTGTGTAAGATTTAGGGGATATAGTGGCCTCTAGCAGTGAGGACTGCAGATTGCAATCAGCTGAAGAATTCCTTCAGTGTTCAGGAGGATTTTACCACAAGCTGAATTATCCACAGAGGTCTCTTCCTCTCCAAAACAAACAGACCAGGTGATTTAAACCAGTAAAAACACTGAATAAAGAAGTTTCATGTTACAAATCAGTGTTTCTCCTGCGCTGTTCGGCAGCCTTTGTTTTGTGTTTTCCCCTTGCTTTTTTTTCAGCGTGCAGCTAATCCCAATCATTCCTCATCAGCGAGAGTATAAATAAATGAAGGAGGAGTAGTGCTGGTGCCAGTGGGCCAGAAGACTGGGTAAATAAGGGAGAATGAGAGTTTGTCTCAGTGCTGTGATATCTGGTTGGCTGTGTTTAATCTTTTCTTTTTTTTGTGTGTCCCTGCTACAGGCGATCCGGTTCCCTTTCGGAGCTCGTTTTTCATTGGTGGTCCTTTTTCCCGTTTTCGTTGTAAATAAACGTATTTTAAACTGGCGGTTTGTTTTGCTTGCCTTTTTCTCTTTTTGAAAATTCCCACCACTTCACCGAGTTACTCCCCCCTTCCCCTAGACCTCTCGCAGGGACGTAACATCACCTTATGTGTGATTCAGACGTTGAGGAGATTTTACTGGGAGAGAAATCATCCACAGAGGTCTGCTCCTCTCCAAACAAACAGACCAGGTGATTTAAACCCGTAAAAACACTGAATCAGGCAGTTTCACCTTCAAACAAATCAGTGTTTTTCTGATGCTCTCATCACGGATCGACTGCTAACTATAGTGACTGACGCAACAACACAAATGTCCCTATCTAGAGTCAGTGTTTGGTTTGTCCTTTCAGAGCTACTGTAGAAACATGGCAGTGCAACATGGTGATCTCTGTAGACGAGGACCTGCTCCCTGTGTAGATATAAACGGCTCATTCTAAGATAACGGAAACACAATGATTCTTATTTTCAGGTGATTATACACAAAAGAAAACATACTTCTTATATTGTATTCCATTTCTGCCAATATATCCTCCTAAATCTGACACACTGGACCTTTAAGTCGTACTTAATTACATAAATCACTTTCATTCTTAAGTTAGTGAGTAGGAGTAAATCTGAAGAACTTTTTAAAGCTTATTTTTAATTTAAATGTAAAATTTATCTTGGCTCTGGGCTCCTGCATCTTTGCTATCTTTACATCTAAAAGCACAAGTCTCGGACTTTGTATTTTCCACTGCAGTGTCACTCATTGTCCATCCTCTCATAATGCCAAATAAACTAAACAAAATGCATTTTCTATTACTGACATTTGCCAAAGCATCAAACAGGCAAACAGGTGAGGTGCATGCTCTGTGACTCAGATTAGTTTAAACAGCTGTATGAATGTATGAAGTCAAAAATTATATAATGTCCTGTCACAACACCAGCAGGCGTGTGCTGGTGTTCGCTGCATGCTCATACCTGTTGCTAGGTAGATGGGGTGGTGCTGTGCAGGGCTCCAGCTCTGGATGGCTGTGCGGTTGATCTCTTTGAGTTTCATCCTGGAACAATAAGTTCACATTTTAAACTAACATGCAGTAACTCTAACATGTTTCCCTCCACAGGAATCACCTCAGATAACAGAGCATATTATTTACATTCAGATGATGTGTTAAAGGACAGGTTCACACCTTTTCACGCTCTCATGTTCAAACGTACATTCAGTACATTCGGTTACTGGTTCCTGTGACGTATGTATTAATGTTATGTAACTGCTCCTGCTGTGCATGCAGGCTGTGAAACGATGCCTTGCTAATGTGACTGCAGCGTATGTGTTTAGTGTGACATGTGTGTGTCCCAGACAGTGTTTACTTGCTGGGCCACGTTGGCAGGACAGCAACGCAAAGACGGATTTTAGAAAAACAGACACTGGATTTGTCAACACAGATCAAGAAGCAGCTAAAGTTAATACAGCAGGCCTGCAAAACACAAGCAGTTTGTGTTGAAACTGTTTCAAAGAGGTGTTTAGATGCTCATTTTGGAGGCTGTTGCATTGCATTAATTGAGCGGTGTTTCTATTTTTTACCATACTCTCACTGATATAAGCAGGGTGGACAAAATACTAGCAACACATCCTCCAAAATGGCTGCACAGTTGAATCAACACCTCTCTGAAACAGTTTAAAACTCAACTGCAGGGCTGCATGAGTGTGAGCCAGGTGTACCTAATAAACTGGTCACTGGGCGTAAGTGAGCCTTTAAAGGTTACAGGAGGCACACAGTCAGTGGTGCAGCCTGCATGTGACAGCTTTATAAACAAGTAATTCAGGTTTTATTCCCACTTTAGTGTGGTGTGTGTCCACCTCTCAGCCCAGTGACTGTAATAAACACAGCAGTCAGAGTTACACACAGAGGCCTACAGCCACTGACACTATTCATCATGTGTGTGTTGCATGTTAAAGCTGTGTTGCTGCAGTGAAAATGCAAATAGCATGTAGTTTTTAAGACAGCAGGGAACCAGTCGGCGCTCTTCATTCAAAGGTGAAGTCAGGGAGACATAAAGTAGAAGCTAGCATCAAGCTAACAGCTGATGGACACACACACTGTCTGTGAGGAGCCTCAGGAATGAGAGACATTAAAGTCAAACATCAGAAAACAGGCTCCAGTGTGTTGTCACTGTCTGTACCTGCTCTGCTGTAACATGGTACGGCATGTCCTCGAGCCACAGAGGGGATATTACGTTATGTAGCCTGCTAGCTGGCTGCACAATATAACAGAGTGAAGACAGTTACAGTTACACACACACACACACACACACACACACACACACACACACACACACACACATCTTATTACTCCAACTAAAGCGGCTTACCTTCCCTTTCTTTGCTCCTTCTCACATGAACACACACATAAAATAGGTGACACACACTAACACACTGCTCCGCCCGAACGAGTTCCTCCTTTCGCTTCTGCTTCGGGATTAACGGCTGTAAAAACACAAGAAGGAGGCTACCGGGTCCCGGCTACGGACTCAAGACAGATTTCCACGTCCCCACTGGTCTCCATCAACGTGGCACTAAGCAACAGCCTCCTCCTGCCACGAAGAAGAACAACAGCTTCCGGGGGACGGCTACACCGCTAACCCGGCTAGCATGCTAACTATGCTACGTTAGTTTTACCTAGTCCGGGGCTACGCCTGCTAGCATGCTAACTATGCTAGCTGTAATTATACACTGCTGCACCTACTAGCATGCTAACAATGCTAGCGTTATGTTTTACTAATAAATCTTCTCCTAAAAACAACATAACAATAAATAATAATAAAATATAAATTATAAAAAATATGTAAAAAATAAAATGAGAGACTTTATAAAGACTCGGTCATCCTTTTTTTAAATATACAGGGAAAAGACTCACAAATACTATATTAAATTTAAAGGGATTAATAGACTCCTCTATTATTTATTTAATTACTATTATCCTTCTCTCACCAATATGTCCTGTTCTTGTTTCACATCTCTTTTCTACCAAATTATACATTATTTATTGTTATATTCTTTCAGGCCATTTCTTTTGAATTGGTATTTATTTTCCTTTCTTTTACTCAGATGTTTAGTTGTTGCATCAGTGTCTACTGTAATGAGACTGAGTGTTTCCATATACACTACATATGCATACATAGAAGCTGAACAGTATATAGGGGATCTGCAATCACCTCTTCTAGTATATTGTGTGCTTTGTACATTTTGTCGAAGGGAGCCAAGCCAAATGTTTAGTTCTTGTGGCCATTGTGTGTTATTTTTGTGTTGAAAACTATAATAAAATATTGAGAAAAAGATGCTTTACTAAATAGTCTGAAATAACCACATGTATTCTTTACTATTTTGTTGTACTTTTATTCTGTAATTTATGCTCCATAAGTTCATTTTTTTTGCTTATATTTAATTTGTTTTAATTTTATTCCTTGTAATCATATTTCATGTTTTGATTCAGTGATTTTAATGACTTTTTTTTAATTTTTGATTGACTTTTCCCAGTATTTTTGTAATTTACCTTTCATTAAAAATCCATACACAAACCTTACATTTATACTGAATATTTATGATTCATTTAAAAGAAAGTTTTAGATACTCAACCTGAGTAAATACAAGAGAAAAATTGCTCTCTTACAAGTCAAAGCCTCAAATCAAAATTGTGCTTCAGTGAAAGTACAGAACAACAAGCAAAATGTACTGTACATTTTAAATGGTTAACCACTCATCTGCAGAAAAACATTACACTAGCTTTAGGCTGATGCAACAATGTGAAAGCCACAGTTTACTGTTGGAGCTGGTTGACACAGACCTAGTTTTAACTACTTTATATACAGTTCGGGAGCTTAGGCCACTGGTTCCCAACCTAAGGGTCGAACCCCTCCAAAGACCAGATAAATGTGAGGGGCCATTACATGATTAATGGTAAAGAAAAAATAATTTCTGCTGCTCAGATTTACATATTTTGGACTCTAACCTGAGAAGTAAGCGGTGACTCCAAATGTTATGTAAAAGAAGTAAGTATAAAAATACATTATTTCCCTCTGAAATGAAATGAAGCTTAAAAAAGCATCAAATAGAGATGGTCTGTAAAAGTACCTCAATGTTGTACCTACAACAAAGTACATATTGTGTAAAATAATTAATTTCCCACCACTTCCACCCAACTATGATGTGAAAGGATTAATAGGATGATTTCTGCCTATAGATATGTGATATACACATGAAATAAACAGGGACAGTCTGGTGCTAAATGTACAAAATGTAAGAAAGGGCTGTTAACTTTAGCTCCCCACAAATATCCAGCCCTCTCCTGAACAAAACACAACACACACACATCAACTTTGCTTCACAATTTGTATTTATTTGATGATGAATAACTTAAATAGAAGCCAAAACAAACCAGTCAGGTGCACTTTGTAGAAGTAGTTGTGTCAAGAATCACCTGAACTCGCTTTCACCTCAGCAGGTCGACCCTGAAAGAATAATGCAGATATTAAAATGAGACGAAAAATCACACAACCACAACTTCTTTAGTTGGGAGGTGAATGCCAAAAACCCTCATTTAGAAGTTCATGAATAATCTTCCCCAGACATATGAATGGGTCAGATGGGTAGTGATTGGTATAATCATTGGGATGGCTATTCACTTCATTATATAACACACTGCAATACATACATGCATCTGAGGTCCATCTGAGGAGTCCCTTTTCTTCAGATGATCTGTAAAAGACGACACATTAGACATTTTACCATCAAACCTGTAGGTGGTGAAATGTGTACACCGAATTACTGCATAAAAACAAGCGTTAGGATTGTAGAATGTATGCCGAATTAAAGAGCTGCTGCTTATACTTCAGAAAGAGATCATGTTTTGTTATTTTAACCAATGAAACTTTGTCTATACGTGAGTTCAGACTAAACACCCTAATCTTTAACAGGAGTTTGGCGTGGCCCGTCACACGCGCTGTCTTTTCTTGACCACGTGCTCTCACGGTTGTCGGTTTACCACGTTAAGCAATCTAATTGTGCCGTCTCCGACACTATATAACCAACAAGTGTTATAACAGGTTTAATTAATAATTTACTCACCTAATTACCGGACATGGACCTCCATGTGCAGAGATACAACTTCAGCTAACGTTACTGGACGAAACCTCGTTTCAGAATCATACTAAAAACAGAAGAGCGACCTAGCTAGCTACATATACAGACTAAACTTATTTAATATGCACAAATGCGCACTTCTTAATACTGGTACACGAAATTTAAATGTTCCTGTCTCAAGCATTTCCCTGAAGACGTCCAGCGTGCTGCTACTTCGTTCTGCACCAACCTTCTCCAAGCCTCTTCTTCCTTCATCTTCCTCCTCTTCTGATTGAAAGCTTGACTCTGTGTGCGCTGTCGCCACCTACTGGGCGGGATGAGCTGCTTCTACTTAACTATGAGGAAGGCTGGGGATTCATGCACCCTTCTCCTGTCATTATAAACATTTAATGAAGCCTCCAAGACTCTTAATTACTGACATTATTTTGTAACATGTATATTTTCAATTACTGGATAATATTTTTTTTTATTTCAATCAAAATTGCAGTTCCTAAGAGGCCTATAGGCTGACCAGTGACCCAAAAATAAAGCCTCATTCATACAACCTTGATGGCTGACAATGGTTTAAAGGGCTCTGTCAGGATATCTTTGGTGGAAATATTAATTTCCTTTTCTTTTTGGGTTTTATTTGAGACCATATTTGTTCTTTGAGATGAAAAAAGATGGATCGTTTGTTTTCAAATACAAAACATTTACAAATTTTGATCTAAAAGTGAACTAGGGTTGTCATGCCACCAAATGTTACAGTATACTTCATTTAACATAAGATGGCTGCTGAGATGAGAGTAAGCAAAGAAATTTTTTTTTTCATTAACCCTTTGAAACCTAGAGTGACATCATCTTTCTTGTGCTGCTTTCAGGCGCCGTTCTTGAGTATTCAAACCTTTGAACCCTGAGCAAATGGGTGTAATTTCTTCCAAGAACATGGGAATAAAGGCAACTTGGTGAGAAATGTTTTACAAGTTGCAAACAATTAATAGATTTAGAAAAGTATTTTTAAAAAGCTAAGAACCCCCCCCCCCCAAAAAAAGTATATTTTTTTTAAAATTATTTTTCATCCTTTTCTTATATTTATGTAAATACATTTTAAAATCTTTTTCATTAATTAATTTTTCATTTTTGTCTTATTTCCTTTCGCTGGTCAGGCTTTCTCTGTTTATGGGTTGGTGGGGTTGTTTTCTCTCCTTGTTGGTGCTGTTTGTTTGTTGATGCTCTGTGCATCTTGTTGAATTGTCAATAAAAATACCTTGTTTAAAAATAAAAGCTAGGGAAAAAAACAAAAAAAAAGCTGAGGGAAAACTATATCTATAGTTATCATTATTACATATTTAAAATTATGTTACAGAATTATAATTTTTAAGCTCTTTTTCAAGGTCATTTGTTTGTTTTCAACTGTATTTTCTTTTACTAATTTTCTTGTTTTTAATTTTCTCTATACTAAAAGGCAACTTGGTAAGAAATGTTTTACAAATTGCAAAAAAATAATAGATTAAGAAAATTAGTTTTTAAAAGCAAGGGGAAAAACAACAACAAAAAAGCTCTTTTCTGGGTCATTTCCTTGTGTGTTTGTTTTTAATTCTTTTTTTTTTTTTAATTTCTTGTTTGTAATTTTCCCTACACTAAAGGCAACTTGGAAGAAATGTTTTACAAATTGCAAGCAAGGAAAAAACTATATTATAATTCTCATTATCACACACTTAAGCTCTTTTTCTGGGTCATTTCCTTGTTTGTTTGATTTCATCTCTTTAAAAAAAAAAAAAAAAAGATTTTTTTTCTTATTTTTAATTTTCTCTTTAATTATTTCTTGCTATTTTTTTGGGGTCATTTCCTCTTTTCATTGCTCATCGTCTTCTCCTTCCCGTGTTTTTTAAAGAAACCAAGTCAATTTGCTCAGGTTTTAAGTGGTTAAAGAGAAGTGGAACTAGACCATGCATTCAGGACGCAGTGAAGGAGCAAAACAAAATGTCAGCATTTTCTGTCGGCTCTTTAAAACCAATTAAGACCTCATTTTAAAGATTAATGAATCTGACTCCTTTTAAGACTTTAAGGATCTGAAGGAACTCCATGTTGGAAAGGGCTGTCTGAGCAGCAGGGTAAAGCCTTGAAAATATTAGAAAAAATTTTTTAAGTCACTAAAATGTGTATTGCTGCTGCCCCCGTCCACATCAGTACATTGCTTAGCTTCTGTTGTGACTGCTTCTCCCAGCTTGAGGCATGCTGACCACCATCTACTGTAGGTAATACGCTAATTATGGAAATGTACCTCACACAACCCCACTTAAAAAATCCAAACCATACCTTTAAGTGATGCCAGGAAGACAACAAACAACGTTTGAACATGCCAAAGTAAACATTATTATTTACTCCTGTGCCTTACTGCTGTAAGATGTGAAAATGTGCATTAGCTCCCTTATTAGCGCTTCATCTGTGTCCCTCTGACATCACACCAGCCTCGGACACATCACTTAACTATAATTAGATCTGTGTTACGTTAACCTGCTCTCATCTACTCAGGAACATCACTTAACGAGTCGTGTTGGTCTCAGTTGTTTTTCCATTCATGGTGTTTTAATGTACAGTAAGCATGTGACTGATAACAAAACAGCACCAGAGGAAACGTCGACCTCCGCCCAACCAGCCGTGTTCCACCTACTCTGAGCAGTGCTGCGTGTGTGTGTGTGTGTGTGTGTGCACATAATGCATTGTGTGTTTGCATTCATCTTACAATTAATTTGCTTTTAGGTGTGAACCTAAATTTGCCTCTACTCAGTTTTCATTGAACAATTTAGCCTAGCGTTGGTTAATAATAATTAACAGCTTGCAGCACTATAAGCCACACAGTTATTAGCGCTCACAATGATTACAAATACTTGTCAAAATAAATATCAAAAGATACACGTTCTGTTTGTCTACCGTAAGCACAGATGATTACATAAAAATTACAGCCATTGCTTTGTCAAAAAGGGAGAAAGAACAAAAAGGAACAGAATAAAATGGAAGAACAAAAGTTGGAGAACAGATTTCATGGGACCCTTGGAGGGAAAGTAAAGTGAAGAAATGTTAAAATCCCTGTTCAGCGCTCAGCTCAGAGTCATTTCTGTCCATCGCAGCCAGGTGAACAAATGTGAGAACAGCTCTAAAGTCCGCCAGAGGCGCCGTGCTCTGTCCATTTGTCCTTCAGTTTGCAAACGTCTGTTCCATGTTTATTATCCCAGCTGGTCTTAGCTTTCCCCAGGCAGGGGAGTCTACTCTCAGGCCATTGTTCTGCCTTTTGTTGAGGGAGACAACCTGTTTCCCTGTAGGAAAGAAACCCCGGGGGTCCGAGACAGAGTGCAGAGTAATCCGTGCCTCTCGGCCCCCGCAGCTGGGTTCAGGTTAGAGGGTGGAGGGAGCCAGAGAGCTCGGCCTAGCAGTTGATGGAGGCACAGTCTGCTTTGGCTTTCCCCGCCGAGCTGATTATCCTCATGAGGCAGTGTCCGAACTCCTCCAGGATCATCCTCTCTGCTTCCACCTGAGGCTGGTGAGTCTGTTCGGCCTTTTTGGCCTGTTCCAGCAGACACTCGCACGTCGCTTCAAGCACCTCCTTTGTGACAAACGTGTACGGCAGCCTGCAGGGGACAGGAAAAGAGAGACAAGTTAGAAAACACATCATCCTTCATGTCATCAGCAGGCCCTCAATCAGATGTTACAGTCATTTAGTGTTTAGGCCTGTGTCAAATGTCCTCAGTTTATAATCATATTAAGTCAACCTCATCCTGTTTCTGTAAGTCAAGGTTTGGTTGACTAAAAGCCCGGACATTTTAGTCTAATCTAAGGCTGCTCTCAGCCCTAGAGTGGTCTCCTTCGGTCTGTTGTATAATTGCCTAGAGCTGGTTCATGTTCTCACGGCAGCATTTACAAGAGGACTAGATCAAATGCCTTGTGTGAGAAAGCTGCTCTTGATTGGTCAGAATTTCCATGTGGGAAAAATCCAGGAAGTAAAGCAAACGTTGAAGAAGAGTACACTTGCAAGATAAATGTGACACTTTCTAATGTCACAATGGAGGGACAACTACGCAGGTTGATTTTAGCGCTGCTCATCGTGGACTATATTGCTGTCATTGTTCATTTTAGTCAAAGCATACAGTTTGAAAACGAGGCGCGGCTCCAACTAGAAAACAATGTTTTGATGCATTGGATGTGCTGAATGTGCATATTAAGGCAGTACAGGAGGAGGTGCACATTAATAATCCTCCAGGACTGTAACATGCTCATGTTTAACCCAAACAATGTGTCATGTGACTGCAGTTGCTTCACATCCAGGTCGGAACACCTTCTCACCACAAACCAACCGCACCAGAGTTCCTTTGGAACCAGACTGAGACCACCTATTCAAGAAGGTCTCGGTCCGGCTGTTTTGGTGTGTTCACACCTGAGTGTGATTGCTGTGTTCAGTTTAGAGTCACCAATTAACCTGCATGTCTTTGGACTGTGAGGAAACCGGAGTACCTGGAGAAACCCGTGCCTAAGGGCTCCCCCACCCCAGGTTCAAACCAGGAACCCACTTTCTGTGAAACAGCAATGCTAACCACTGGTTTTTCCATGTCGCATGACATGCATTACACATTGCTGCGTACCTCAGGGTACAGCTGTCGTGCCCTTAAAAACAGGCACTTGGGAACACGTGTGCACCACTTTGGCATACCTCTGGCTTTATAGCATGGCCTCACAATGGATTTGAGGGCACAAAAACATGGTATGTGTCTGGGCTGTAAAAATGCAGCTTCTAAAAAAGCAGTGCATTGGTTTGATTTATTTTCGGAGCCTCATTTTAACAAAATGGACCCAAATGTCATCCTGTTTATTTCTACTAACCCCTGTTTTTGTCACTCTTAACTTTAACTTATGTACGTTCCTCCAAGTTCTTTCGACTGAGCTCATGGTGCGTTGCTGCTGTAGTCATGATATGCAGCACAAGACAAAGAACTGCAGCACTGGGAGAGGAAAAAACAACCCACAAAAAATAATTTGTCTCTTCTTCTTTGTCAAAGACATTAAAGTAAATTACATTTAAGTCTTGTCGTTTTCCGTTAACAGTTAGTTATAGATTGCATTTAATGACGGTGCCGTGTCGTCACAATCATAGAAAAAAAGGTCGCTGCCGAACATATTTAATCATAGTTTTTGTTAACAGCATTAACACCGTTGCACACAGACTAAACTCAGAATTCATCAAAGGACTCTGAGTTATAATCCCAATAACAATCATGTAATTGTTCCTCAGCTGCTCCTGTAACTTGTAATTGAGGTAAGTGTCACAGTACCTCCCGCCTCCACTTGAAATAACGGGCGTCGTCCTCATGAGCAGGTCTGAGATCTGTGACGACAGCTTGGTCTTCGCTGCAGTTTGCTGCTGTACTCTCACTTCTGCTGCATCTGCCAAGTGCATCAGCGTCTTCCTCTCTGGACTCTCCTCAAAGTTCTTGCAGCCGATGCACTTACAGATGGACGAGCACATGATCTTCGCCTTCGAGGTGAAACAAAGGAAACATAAACAACAGTTAGAGAGCCACAAACAAAACAAGGGTTTCACAGTTACATTAAACAGCTCCTGCAAACGCTGCGGCGAAGGCAGACCCACCTCGTAACACTCGCAGTAGTTCTTCAGGCAGCCTGAGCGTTTGCAGTTGCAGCCTTTGCTGTGTCGACGGTCCGACTCGCCCTCTTTGCCTTTACCGATTTTAGGTTTGAAGGCCTCCGGGTTCCGGTCCAGACACGTCTGTGAAAACACATTTTCACCTTAATTCATCTGTTTGACAGGATGGACACTGGGTCCACCAACACATCTGGCAAACTCCTGACTTTACCTTTATAGCTTTGAGACGTTCTGTTTCATGCTCCAGGTTATTGAAGCAGTTATTGCAGTTACAATTATTACAGAACTCTCCGTTTGCAAAGCAGTCACAGTATCTGGGGAAGAAAAACAGAGCTCTGCTTAGTGAAACATTCGGAATAAGAACATACAGTGGTACCAAAACACAAACTGAAGTAGACCAACATTTCTTGTTAACATTTATTTCCATCAGCAATTAATTATGGAGAATGAAAAATGATGCTATCAATAAATAAATAAATGTATAAATACAAAAATAATAAATACATAAAATAAATACATGTACAAATAAATACAGGAATAAATTTTAAAAAAAAGTATAAAATACAAAAATAAATAAAATACAAAAATAAATACACACAAAAAACTGAAATAAAGAAATACAGGAATACATAAATAAATATGGATATAAATAAATGAAAAAATATAAATAAAATAAATAAATATAGGTTTAAATAAATACAAAAATAAAAAAATCTAAAAAAAATAGAGAAATAAAAAGATAAAATATGAAAATAAATGTATAAAAAACAGAAAAAGAAATTAAAAAATACAGAAATAAATAAATAAGAGAATAAATAAATGTATTAAAAAATACTGTAACAAATAAATACGGAAATTAATAAATGAAAAATTAAATGCTGAAATATGGAAATAAATAAATAAATAAAACTAGATAATTAAACAGGACACAAATATCTTAAATTCCTTTCTACATTTTTTTACAACTATATTTATTCATTTATTTATTTATTTTTGTTGATGAGGTAGGAGGATCCTACCCTCTGTCTATAGCAGGAGTTGTTTCAAGTCTGTTGATCCAAACACGCATGGCAGATATTTATTTATCCCCTTTTAAAACCTTATTTATTTCAGCATTTATTTATGCCCGTATTTATTTTTGCTTGATACTTAACATTTTCCATCCTCCACATTTAACACAGCAACACATACAGGTCGTGGTGTATCTACACAGTCTTGGCAAACAAACACAACACCTGAAAAGACAATAGTAAACAGGTCTGAGAGACAGTCGTACTTACAGTTTGAGACACTGTGACTTGGTGCAGTTACATGGTTTCCTCGGCCTTGAGGTCGTCTCTGCTGTTGACAAGCTGTGAATGAACGCCATTGAATAATATTAGTTACTTTATTTAAAATCAAATCAGTCAATTAGTATAGCTTAGTTAGTTCTATGGTCTTCATTTTTAAAATAAACTTAAGTCACAGAATGTAGTTTACAAAGGTTTTTCAAGTAGATAAGAAAACGTTTCCATTAAGCCCAAATTCCTATTTTAGCTCACACTACATTTTTATTCTATTTTGAAGAAAACAAAACAATCAAACAGTTTTTAAGATAAATGGTTTAGTTGCTCTGTTCCACATGATCCCATAAGAACTGCATTTACGTCCCTCCTTACCCATTGAGTGGCAGTTTGGCCTGAGTCTGGACCCCAGTGGACGCCGGGAAACCAGAGCTGCTGGCGAGGGTCACAAACGGCGTCTGCTGGAGCTACAGGAGAAGCAGGTAACACATCAGAGGACGCTCATTATGGATACCAAAGACCTTTAAAACACACACCAAAAACACCACTCACCTGTGTGACATATTGTGCTGGCACGACGGCGTAGCCCACGTTCCCGCCTCCTGGAGCTGGAGCCAGAACGGTGCCTGGAGGGAGGCTGGTGAAGTTGGGCTGGATCTGGGGTAGCGGAGTGGCAGGCATGATCAGGCGTTGCTGGGTCTGTGTGGTGGTTACTACGGCTGCTGATGTCAAGGGCTTCGGTGCCATCTGCAGGGAATATGATCCATGAATGCAGCTCGGGAGACACTTCACAGTGAAAGCTCAGTTTGAATAAAGATTTACAGAAAGTTACCTGCTTGATGGTCTGTGCTGGGACGATGGGGACAGACATCCTGACTGCTCCTGTGCTCACCACCATGGGTTTAGCTGTGAGACATTAAGAAGTGTAAGCTGCCACAGAAAAGCTCCCACCGGTGTCACCCGGGTTTGTTACACAGCTATAAAAAGGTCACCTGTCTGTATGGAGCTGGTGCTGGGACCGCTGGGCTGCGTCGAGCTGCTCGCTGTGGTTGCTGTGACGAGGCGGACGTAGTGGAACCTGCTACCTGGAACCTGAATCTGCTGCACATTTGGCTGGGTGGCCAGAGGGATGATGGTCTTGAACTGGGAGCCACTGACGCCTCCCACGGCCACAGACTGCACCGGTTTGATACTCTGAAAGATTCAGATACAACAGCAGACAAAGCTTTAGGTATAAATGGTGAAACTTTGCAGGAGAATCAACGACAGCAGGAGTCAAGTTAAACCTTAAACTTCAAGTATGTTGTGACAGATTTACAGATAAGTCAAACCTAGTCTCACTTAGCCTGACCTATCTCTACAGTGCTGTGTCAGCGCTGCAGAAAATACTAATTTCAAAAGTATCTGCACCTTTATACTACACAAACACTCCTTTAAACATCCCCACACACTTCACCGTCATCTGTTTCTAGTCCAGAGCAGACACGTCTTACTCCAGCTGACAATAAACCACCTCTGTGCTCTGATCTTACCTGCGTCGTGGTCTGGCTGGTGGCCACCTTGACTGGAGATGCAGACGTGGACTGTTGGACTGTGAGGATCTGCTGGCCAAGTGCTACATTGACAGGGAGCGTCACTGACTTCTGGGAGGCGCTGGAGGTCGGGGAAGCCACAGACACTACAGTCACCTGGCAGGGACACACAAGGAGAGCGAAGCATGATCAGTCCAGCTACTGACCTGATAGATATTTTAATATTCTCACATGATATTAATGTTCGGCCCAAACATATCAGTGTAACACATGAAGCTGGAGGCCAATATAGTTCTCAAACAATAAAGTATGAATGCTGCATGTGCTGCAGAACCTGAATGAAAAGACAACTGAAACGTAGCCTTAAGAACAACAGACCTTTGTCACAGAGGATATTCTGACTTGGCAAACACAGGTGGATATCATAACATTAACGATGGCTGTATTGCATGTAGGTGTGTCTGCTGCACGGCTCTGGTTTTGTGCAGACTGACTGACAGACACACTTTAAGGAACATCGTTAAGGTTATTCATGACACCTGTGCTTCACCTGCTACAAATCAAAATGTCCTATTACTTGCAATAAACTTTATGAAGCAAACAACATTTCGGTCATCAGACCTTCATCAGTAAAAGAAGAAAGAGCATATCGAAGCATATACAGATAACGTCTACTCAGCTGAGGCCAATCAGAGACCATGAGCTGACATCGCAATCAGTCCCAGTCTGTGTGTGTGGGTCTGCACCATTACCTGCCGGCATATGCTAGCGGTGCGCCGAGTAGGTGGACTCTGTCTGTCCACTCTCTCCATTTGATGTGTATTGCAGCCGGCAGATGAGCCAGATCTGCCGCCAAAGTTTGAGTGGCAGGAGCAGCATATACATCACCACGACCACATGGCTCATACAACCGCAAACAAATCAAGGGAGATTGATAAGACAGAGAACCGATGAATGTCATTCAGGCTTACATTGAATCAAATTGTGAACGACATTGCCACTAACATGGCTTCTGGCCTGTAGGCCGATATTGTTGTTTGTTTTGTCTGACAATCACATAGCTGCTGCCGCTGGCTGACACATTACACTCCTGTTAAACTTTCCCAGCACTCGCAGTGACATGTTAAGCAGTGCAACGGCACACTGAAATGAAGCGGATCCTGTGTTTATCCTGTAAGAAGGCACCTCCCACCATCGAATATGATCACTTTTGGCAATAACTGCATCAATATACACTCTGAATAATATAATTTTAAAAAATCTATACAAAAACATATCTAACAAGTCAGCGATCATGTCAGGCTACTGATAAATCTCAGGGCAAAACCATTACAGTAACACTTCACCGCACACACACAGCTCCAAACAGGAGGCGGTCATGTTCTTTGTTCTTTTATTTGACCTGATGAAGACCCGCTGACTGAAATATTATTCGCTTAATAAAGTTCATTGCAAGTAAAAGGACAGTGTGGGGGAATTCTGATTTCTTCACCTATGGACAGTAGGGCTGCAATGATTAGTCGACTAATCGATGACTGATCGACTATTAAAATAATCGGTGACTATTTTAGTAGTCGACTAATCGGTTTGAGTCATTTCTCATAGAAAAGTACTATAAAGTCCCCCAAAATACTCTTACTGCAGCTTGTTACGTTCAGATATTGGCAGCTTTACACACTCTCCCATGACGGTGAACTAAAACCCTTTGGCGTGAGTACGAAACAAGACATTAGATGACGTAATTTTGGGGTTTGGGAGAGACAGACCGACATTTTTCAACATTTTAACACATTTTTCGATAAAATTATTAGTCGACTAATCGAAGAAATAATCGACAGATTAGTCGACAATGAAAATAATTGTTAGTTGCAGCCCTAATGGACAGTTTCCTCCTGCGCACCTCTCTAAAAGTTTTTGAAGGTGTGTATGAGCTTCCACATTCTAGTTTTACAAGTCTAAATATTTTGAGTTGAAAATGGCAGTGATGGTATTTCTATGCACCTGCAGCTTTAATTTAATTAAACTTAAAAAAGAGGGAAAGACTTCACTGACATAATTATAATCCCTTGTTTGGTAAATGAGGAGCAGTGTGTAGGATTTACCTTGCTGGGAGTCTTGAGGGGTGATATAGCGATCTTTTTGCCGGGAATACTTTGTATTGTTGTGTTGTGGGACTCAGAGAGGTTGATGGTCCTCGGAGGCATCCCCGGGGAATTCTGTGTCAGGACCCGCCCTATGAACACACAGCACAAGATTTCAGAAAATATGGCTTTGTTAAACCTGAAACTGAGTTTAAAACATTTTAAAAACTGTGTAGTCTCAACGTAACCAACACAAATATCAGCAGTGAACAATAATGACACTACAAAGATGCAAATAGACATACCTGCAATAACAGGAGACACTGACGTCTGAGGACTGAGACCTTTGCTGTTCACGGTTTTTGTGATGATGAACTTGATCGGTGCGGCTGAGGACACTGGTGTCTTATTAGCAATCTGTGGAGATATTCATTAAGAGTTGGTGTTCACACATTCACAACTTAAAGGGCGCATACATCTAATTTTTTTAGATTTTAAGCAAACTTCTGTCACACATGCAAACAGATAAAAGTCTTCAGTTACAGAAAAGCCTCAGCACAGGTCACAATGTAGTACTTCATATTAAAAGATTATTGTTAGCTTTATTTCATGTTTGATTTTCTCTCTCTATTATTGCTTTATCTTAATTATTCTGAATTTAACTGACCAGCTTTTGCTTACCATGTGTACAGCACTGTACATGGGTGCATCAAACTATAGATCATTTGTGTTTTATTCAAGCAAGCTCACTATCCTCTGAAAAACTCTGACTCTGCAGCTCATGACATAATTCCATGATTAAAAAATGTAAACAAAGAGGTAGTTAATTGTTGACGAATCTGACTTGTTGCTCTCCTAGTACACATAAAAGAGACAGGTAAACACAAGATAGTCAACAGTCACAGAGACAAATCTAGGGAAGCTACAGCGGGTTCAGAACAGAGCAGCTTGGCCTGCCCTTCAATATACACCAACAGTCAATCTAAACGACATCCATAATAGACTTTAGAGGCACTTCTGTCTTTTGTTAGGAACATTACCAAACTGAAAATCCACAATTGTTCGTATAGTAAGCTCAAAGTTAGCTCTGACACACTCTCATACCTCACCAGACATGCTATGAGGGGTCACTACACTAACCTGCCCGAATAATCAATCTACTGTTTATCATTTTATGCATTTCCCAGTAATTAGTGTGTAGCTGCTGACATGTTGAGGCAGAGGGTACTGTCTGTAGCTCTGGTTGAGGGTGAGAGGCTGTCAGCAGATAAACAGAGATCTGTGTGGGTACATGAGACCCTAAAAAGAGGCTGGATCATGGGGAGTACCACCAGTTGGTCCAGGAGCTTCTCCTCCGTCATGGACGTTTACAGGCATATTTTAGGATGACTCAGGGGCAGTTTGACAACCTGCTGTCTATCAACGGGTCTAGCATAACAAAAATTTGAACAACGGGAAAAAAGCAGAGATGGCATGGGAAAAAATGCCAGGCTCCTAGAGCGCAGAAACACGAGGCGCAACACAAAAACAGCGAGCAAACAGCTTCATTCTCATTAAAAACAATTACAAAAAGCCGCCTCCAGCTGCTAAAACACTTTCTGTGTGATCAGGGCCTAAAGCAAGGTTTAATAAAGAAGTAAAGAAGTGAAGCAGGTCCTCATGACTGTTAGATCTTAATGTATATCAATGACCTATAGTAACCCTTTACTGTGTACTAAGGTGAATGTCCGTGGCTGTTCACACTAGATATTGATGTGCTTCAGTGACCTACAGTAACCCTTTACTGCGGACTGACATGATATAAACACACATGTTCTGTTGTATGAGGTAATCACACAGCGAAGTATACTAACATGAGTATAAAATGTGGCAAACTATAAAATGCTTATGATATTAAATTGTCAAATAACATCAACATCAATGTGAATAAATATTGCACGACAGCACAAATCAGTGTTACCTGTACGGTCTTCAGCTGCTGGGCCTGTAGTGTGGTCAGCTGGTTGCCAGCACTCCCGGCCACCGGCTTCAGCTCCGACCTCCCTCCAATAGTCACCACTTTAAACTGTGGCGCTTGAGATTTGGCATCTCCTGAAGTCTGTGAAACGCCAGCCTTGCTGCCTGTGTGGGGCAACTGCAGCACTATGGGCTGCCCCGACTTTCCTATTGCTGTCACCAAAAGTTTTTGTCCTTCCTGCTTGATGACCTGGGGCTGAGTACCTGCAGCCTTCGCCGCCTCTGTGGCTTGAGATGAGGCCACCTTGTTGAGAATAATCTGGTGGTTTGCAGCAGAGATGGTAAACGGAGCCGTGAGCTTCTGTAACCCACTTGTGGAGATACTAGTCCCAGTCAAACTGTCTGTCGTTTTCGTGGTGGCTATGGAAGTAGCCAGGGCTGGTTTGAGGGTAAGAAGGGATGCAGACGTGCTGGAAATTGAGATAGGAAGCTGACTTCCGGAGCTGATGCTGAGCGTGGAGTCTGAGGTGGTGGAGGTGGTGAGAGCCTGAGTGTGTTCTGTTGAAGTGGCATCTGCACAGAGGCTCAGGTTTTCTGCAGCTATGGGTGTATCCGTCTCCATCGGGACCGGTGCGTCATCGCTGGGCTCTGACTGGACCGTGGTGCCGTCGGGTTGGGACTGAGGGATGTCCTCTATCGCCTCAGTGTCCATGATCTCATCAGGAAGGAGGCTGTTGAGCTCTGGTGACACCACATCCATGCTTGCAAAGTCTCAGCTCTCTGTTAATCCCAAAAGAATAATGCAGTTAGTCAAAGACATGCACATATAATTCGTAGCTTTTAAAAATGTTAATTATTTTTAATCAGTTAGGTGAAAATATTTTAACCAGATTTCAGAAAAATATGCGCTAACTGAACTAAATGCACCATGATGCCTGATGCACACAACATACATCACAGACACAGGGTTCTCACACATTTTCATGGACAACATTTCCAAACTTTTCCATGCCTTTTCAAGGACCCATAATAAAGATTTTTTTCTTGCCTGACTTGTCCGACATTTTTTAATCATATCAGATCCAAGCTCTATTTAAACATAATTACAGTTAGCTGGCATACAGGAGAAAATGTCAGTGTCACAAACTGACGCATATTAAAGCTACATTAAAATGCACACAACATATCACAGACACGGGGTTCAAACTTTCCCATGACTTTTCGAGGACCAATAATAAAGATTTTTTTTTCTTTGCCCCACTTGCCCAGAGTTTTTCAATCCCCTCCAATTCAAACTCTATTTAAACATAATTCGAGCTAGCTGGCATACGGGAAGGGAGAGACAAACCCAGGGAGAAAATTACTGTAAATATGAAAATATGAAGGCGATGGTGAACAAAACATCGTCACTCATTGATGCATATTAAAGCTACATTATGTTGACAGCTAAGGAAAATTAATTTGCTGTTATTTCACACTAAGTGAAGCGTTATATACGGAAGATTATTTATAGTTTCTTACTTTATTAATTTCATTATACAAAAAAATTCAATGACTTTTTCATGTTCTCCATTACTGTGGGAACCCTGCAGACAATGTGTTGATTAATCTACCTACTGTACATTCATATGTATGTGTATATATACATGTATATATGCAACCCCACCTAGACTGAGCCTAACCAGACCTGTTGACCTGTTTATATTTTTATGATCCATACTGTTCATCTGATTCTGGCATTGTATACATTTTGAATTTGCACCTTATTGTTTATCTTAGACCAGTGGTACTCAATTTACAGCCTGTGGATGCTGGGTGGCCTGCTGACCATTTTTCTATTCACAATTAAAACGAATTAATCCACACAGCCATTTTTTTAGTATGTTGAATGTAAAAGGTGCAAGAAAGCATGAAACAAAAACCAGAATAGAGCTTGCTTAAAAAAAACAAAAACAAATAAATAAAAAAAAGCCAGGAGGGTCCCACAGACCCCCTAAGAGAGGTCTGGGATGAGACCCGAATGTCCTCCAATCCTACAAACACCCCTGTGCAGGGATGCTGCATCTACCTTTGCCTCCTTTATTCATTTTACCTGATAAATATTATAAACGTTTTGTTATTAACTGACCCCTGGTCTCCTATCATTTTCCAAAAGCGTGTTGAGTATCCCTAACCTATATTTTTATATTTGCACTCTTCCCATTTTGTATCGCAGGATAAACAGCTATAATTATATTTCAATCATTTACTCATAGTTGTTGCATTCAATTGCAATAAACAAGATGTACAATTCAAAAATACATACTATTAACTTCTGGTGTATTGTTCTACATCACTAACAGAAATGCATCACTGGACAACAGTGCAGACTGTTTACAAAATGCTTTGCAAGAAAATAAACAAACATGCAAGGCAAGTGAAGCTAGCGAGTTAGCCACATTCACAGCAAAAAAAAACACCCGGTTTGCTAACTTTATGCAGATACCTGTGTATTAGTTTCAGTAATCACGTGAGGTTTAATCAATGGAGGGGTGCACACGAGTCACGTTTGACACGGCCTGACAGCTGATGCTGGGTTAGCTAGGCCGCAGCGATCATCTCAGGCGTATCTTTGTCCTGCAGCACTCCACTCCCAACATTAATCCACCGAAACGCACATATGAACCCTACCCACCACACACACACACACACACACACACACACACACACACACACAGCTAACTGCTCTGATTCTTTCCATGTAAGCGACCGAGACAAACCCTCCTGAGCTGGACTCGTCAGTGTGTGCAGACCCGGAGCAGTGGTCCCATCTGGGGCAAAGACTGAGCAAAAAGCGACAAGCTGCTTGCTGGCTGCGTTACTATTTCAGGCCGGGGTTGGATTTCGAAAGATCCGCCATTTTTACCTCGTCATCAACTCTGTTAGCTCCCCGGCTAACACTGAGCTACTGATAAGGAGGGGATGCATTTAATATTATTTACATCCAGCGCAGACACCCACACACAGCAAAACACATCAGCTAACACACATCAGAGCTGAGGATCATACTTGCTGGTGACTGTGAGCTATTAGCAAGTAACTAACTCTTTTATCTGCAGACTCTGACAACGTAAACAATGCTAGCCTTCAGTAATTCCTGCTGTCACTTGAGACATCCATATGGATCAGGACATTTTAGGTCCAACAATGCACTTAATATAACTGCACCTATAGATCCACATACCGGCATGTGTAGCCTGTGCTTTGGGGCTGTGAATCAAGTTAGCGTGGCCTAACCTGTTATTAATGACATACTGTAGTCCTGTTTTGAACCAGTGAAGACACACTATCAAGATCCGTCTCTAAACCAAACAAACGTCAGATACAATATGAGGTTTAACGCTAATTAAATGCTACATAACCAGCTAGCAGCAAAGATAACAGCTATTATGTGCTGTTATGATTTCTGACAGCTTACAGGAACAATTAAAGTGCATGAATCGCTTTGCCACCAGATTAAAACAACTTTCAATACGCGTGTTCAGCTAACTTAGCTTTTACTTTTCATCTGCGGACGCATTAAGTTGGCGTCACATTAGCACCAATTTAGCTCTAAACTGTCTCATAGTACACAGTAAACTTTACCTCAGTTAACACAACACTGTAATAGATTAGTTCAAGGTTATATCTTGGTTTCTGTGCTCTACACTGGTGCCCAGCCATCGCTATCATCTTCATCATCAGCCTCATCAAGACAGCCAGCCCAGCGGGCAGGACAACTGTACTAGCAAACTTGCTGAGCCTGCTAACCTAAGCTAGCTAGCACAACATTATATCTCAACATTAGTACACAGTGTTCAGAGTGAGCAGCTTCCTGCCGGGTGAAGTGTAGCGGGACGTGGAGTGGGTCAACACACAGACACGCTTACCGGAGATTTTTACGCTGGGCGACGTTTCCAGATAAAACGAGGAAAGGAAAAGGCGATTGTTCAAAATACCGCGCCGAGCGCCATTCCTCCCTGACATTTCACAAGTCGACCACGCCCTCCGTGCCATACGTCACCGTGACGTCATTCTTAAAGGCGCAGAACACCTTGACACCAGAATGATGTTTTATCTGTTGGAATAAAAACATTAAAAACACAATTTTGCCAATTATAAAATAGGTAGAAAATATATTTATCATTTAGAATCGCAAACTAACTCCACAAGAAAGATAAACAAAGCTCTACAAAAAAAAAAAAATCAAGTACATAGGGCCACCAGTACTAAGAATTACAAAGGGTATAAGAGATCCAGTAAATTCTACACAAATAGCGACAAGAAAAAAAATTATACCAAAATAAGAAGGGGAAAAAAAGAATAAACAGTGTTTAAGTATCACAAAACAGAAGCATATCTATTCTTTTATATATATTTTGTGAAGTGAAGTCACATGCGATTTGAAGACAACAATATGCAGAAAAATATAAAAATAACAGGGCCAATGCTGCTAAATAGAACAAGGATAATATCTTTATTAATGTTCATTATTTGATTTTAATTAAAATACAGTAGATTCATTTTTCTCCCCTTCTAGCAGAATGGGTTTGCAGAGAAATCATTTTACAAACTGGTTAAAACAAATAGTATTACTTGATATATGTGATATATATACTACTATCACTATTATTACTACCAATATTAATCAGCCCTAAATAAACATATAGGGAGGATGTGTGTATCTGGCAGTATGGTTTTGTGCACTTATGCATTCAGTGGTGTTTCCTGCACATATTTTGTTAAGAGCTACTTTGGCTAGATTTGATACCTGAAATATTAACTCTCAGCATGTGAAAACCTTATCATATATAGCACACTGTAACTGTCAAAATGCTGTTCTTTAAAAAATGTTTTTCGTACATTGTGTATGTATACAGTAACCTTTACATACCCATCACATCCATGGCAGACTACAATAATCAGCTTCATTATGTTTTGCCTGCAGCCCCAGAAAACATCTTTAATTACACACAAACGTTAAGCATCAACTTCATTCTTTTATTCTGCACCAGGGGCTGGGGAAACACAGTTATTTCTCTGTGTACTTTACTGTATATATACATATGGGGGACAGCAAAGTCTCTTTCAACTCCTTTCTTATATGCACAGAAATAATATAGATATTTAAACACAGTTTGGGGACCCTCTGCAAAGAAGGGCTGGAGCCATGGGGCAGTGTCAGCTTTGCCCTGTTGGTAATCTAGTCTTGGAAGAGAACAGCTAAATAGATGGCAGGAATCACTGATGGAATGTAAGTAAGTATGGGCTTAAATACAATTTTAAGGTACTTGTACTTTACTTGAGTATTTCCATTTTATGCTGCTTTATCATTTTTCCTTCTATATTTTGGAGACAAATATTCTACTTTTTACACCACTACATTTATTCAACAACTTTAGTTACTTTGCAGAGTTGGATCATTAAATACAAAATGTAACTCAACTAATAAATTATGATGTATTATTATATAGGTTAAAATACCACATAGTATATAAAGTAAAATTAGCCCCACGTTAAACAGCTGAAACATTAAAAGTGATGAATACACACTAATGCATCATTATTTATTACAGCTGCAACAATCAGTCAATACAGTCAACAGAAAAAGAATCGGCAACTTTATTTTGATAATCAACTAAGGTAGTTACAATGGTCCCAGTGCACATTATGATGGGCCCTAAGGCACAGTAGTTACTTGTTATGCACCTAAACTAGCTACCATATAGTCTTATCATCACATGATCAAATAGAAATATCAACATAGATATCACCCAGAAATCATCATCGCATATACGTAAAGGACAAAAAATTCAAAGAAGATAAGGAATTAATTAATTTCATGAAAAAGTTTTTTTCAACCTTACTTATAGTTTATGTAGAGTAAGCATATATATTTTATAATGTTTTCTTATCGACTGCAACAGGCTATTGTACAAAAAAAAAGCCAGAAAAACCATGATGGAGATAAGTTTGCCTTTTTAAAGGCATATAAAGCACATGGCACCATTTTTAATTGCATATGAGTTTTTCTATTAACACAAGCATGTGTTTGAGGTGGCAATGGGCCCCAGTGCACCTGCCCTGCCTGCACTGTCTATATTTACGCCCCTGCATCTCAGGTATTTTTCAAGCAAAAATGCCAAAAATGTGATATTTCCAGGTTCTCAAATGTGAGGATTTGCTGCTTTTCTGGGTCTTAAATCATAGTACATTTAATATTTTTGGGGTTGGAAATCTTGGTTGAACAAAACAAGACATATGGTGAAGTCACCTAAGGCACCAAGATGTTGTAAAAGGTTTTTCTCAGTTTTCTGATGTTTGATGTTTAACATTTTCAGAGTGTATGTCCTTAAAAAAAGGGAAACATATGATGGGGTTGTTATGTTATTTATAGGTTATTATATAGTGGTTTCACTGGACCGGCCCACTTGAGATCAAATTGGGCTGCATGTGGCCCCGGAAATAAAAATTAGTTTGACACCCCTGTTTTAAACTGTATACTTTTGATAACATTTTAGGTCTACATGTTAAAGCCCAACTAGGGCCAAGAGTTAAAAAATAGCAATAGCTCTAAACTCTCTGTGCAGCATATCAGTACCATTGTTTTAAAAATGTTGGAAGAACACAATAAGTAACGAAAGAAGAAATGACCCCCCAAAAAATGAGAAGAAATTGATAAAAACAGAGACTTAAAAACAAGCAAATTAGTAAAAAAATAAAAATAAAAAATAAAGTTAAAAACAAACAAACAAGGAAATGACCCAGAAAGAGTGCTTAATAATTATTGAACATAATTTTAAAATATAATAATAATAATAATAAATATAGTTTTTCCCTAGCTATTTTCTTTTTTCACTATTTTTAATTTTTTTTAATTATTATTTTTTGTTATATTATTACTTTTTATTTCTTTATTTATTTCTTATTTTTATTTTGTGTTTTTGAAGGCAATCGCACCAATTTGCTCAGGATTCAAAGGGTTAAATTGTTGTAAAAGGTGTCTGAAAGCAACACAAGAAAAGTTCGGTTGTTACAGGGTTTCAAAGGGTTAAATTGCATGGCCCCTAACAAATAAAGAATAAATACTAATAGTAATATTTATAGGCCTGCATCATTTAGAGATGGGCCATTCTGCATAAACAAATACTTTAATTTTGGCACTTTAAGTAATCATGCTAAGACTTGTGTATTTTTACTTAAGACAGATTTTGAATGACTTTAGCTTTTCTTCTTCTCTGCTGGTTGTTGGGTTGGAGGACCGATGTACCTCCGCGCGCTGGGTACTCAGACCGGAAGCTCGCTCCGCTCTTGGCAGCAAGAGGAAGCCGGTGTTGTTGACACTTCGACAGGCGACAATGGCGACCGACGTGAGACAGGAGCTTGCACAGCTGATGAACTCAACTGGATCTCACAAAGATCTCGCTGCCAAGTGAGTTACGCTGGTTTTAAAAATCATATTACCTGCAGATAGACGTCATAGTACTCTCCCAAATTTAGAAAGTGAGCGCCTCGGCAACTGTTAGCTAGCAATGATAGCTGTGACAGACCCGGCTAAGCTAACGTTAGCCGCCTAGCTACATTAGCCATACATTCAGCTAGGTAACCGTTAATTGCTTGCAACTGCATGCCAAAGCTCTTAATAGTACAGATTATCATTTAAACGGTAACACCACGTTTATGCAACATAAAAGTGGCGAGGCTAACGCTGACGTCACTGTTATATTTTAGCATATTAGCATCTAATAGCTACTGTTTACTAGCAACACAGCTAGCTGGTGCTGGGCACAACATAGCTTTAAAATGAGTTGAAATTGGGCTAGTAACCGTAACCTTCATTAAGATGCAGGCTCAAAATGTTGTTAGACAAGACATTTAAAAATCTAACTCAACATTTCTGCTGTTTTACACTATATTTTGCCCAATAAATCTCAAATTTTTACCAATTGTTACCAACAGCTCAGTGAAGTTTGAAGTTTGAACATTGTCAAGATAAGTGTGTCTTTGTGACAGAGTGTGTGTGTGTGTGTGTGTATGTATGNTATAATTCAAATGTCCATTGACCAGTTGCAGTCCTCCACTAAAAATGAGTTTCAAACCTGCAATGGTGAAAGAAATACTCAGATTTTTACTTAAGTTATGGCACCAATTCCAGAGTGTAAAAATACACATTTACAAGTAAACGTCCTGCATTCAGAATCTTTCTTGAGGAAAAGTACATAAGTATTAGCATCAACATGTACTGGAAGTAGGGATGCACAATTTTGGATTTTTGCTGATATTTGATACGCTGATATTTCCAAACTCATTTTATTTTGGCCGATTGCAGATACCAGTATATGCACATATGTTTTTCCACCCAATTGCAGAACACATCAAGTCTCTCCTGTTGTGGAACTGACATATTATTATGCCTACTTTAATTGTGATGGCCCCGGTGGCAGATGCAGACATATAATACAATGATTTTTAAAATGTACATTGGGCAAAACAAGAAAACTACTTTAACTTAGGTTGCATGTAAAACATGCTATACTTATTTTTATGTAACATTTTCAAAGAAAGCTGGAAAATTCCCGGACCCGGATAAGCGGAGGACGACGAGACGAGACGAGACGAGGATGATGGTCTCCTTAAGACAGTCCTGACAGCATCCAAAACCCCATTCAAATCTGACCTATTTCAACTAACTGAAGTCACATAATCCAAGCGTCATCTTATTGGCTTGACATATTGGCAGAAATGTTCAGTTCAGGCCAATGTTGACATTTCATTTCAAAGCTGTTATCTGCCAATACCGTTGACCTGCAGATAGTATCATTCATCCCTAACAGAAAATATGAAAAGTAAAGAAATCACTTGTGAATTAAATGGTCTTGACTGTACAGAGGATGAAAAACTGTAATCTGAAAAAGCTGTTAGGCTGAGACAAATGTAAAATATGTACCTCTGAAATGAAGTTAAGTGGAAGTATAAAGTTGCATAGAATGAAAAAACTCAAGTACTAGTACCTTGAATAT